TGCAACCATCTGTTTATTTTTTCCCTATGATCTAATGTGTATATTCCTCAAACATTTGCATGTCATCAGGACATAACGTTATTCGCATCACTGACTCTTTTGGCGTTAATTCAAAATGAAAGGAATGGTATGATCTCGTTGTTGTAGTGATTTACTTCATATTTGTATGAGAATTATGTCCATTTGACAGGATAACGTCTCTGAGGTATGTCTACTAACTTTGCATAATAAAATGTGGGACTATATATCAGTAGTTTAGTCAATATTGCAACTCAGCGTATTCTCGGGAAAAATGTTACTTAGCCCCTTGTCTTCTTAACCCAGAGAGAACTAGTTAACTTTCCTGTTATGAGCAGAATTTGATATAAACGATACCAAAAAGCGGAGATAATGAAATTAGATTCTCACAACTTTAAAAAAACATTGAATTATTCCTCTCGTTCCCTTGGAAACCAAATCACTAATATCTGTTACCTAGATGTTCGGCCTCAATTAAGACATTTAGGGCAATAAGTTCCATTAGTGAAATCTGACAAGAAAAAAAGGCGCATTTATCTAAAGCTAGACATGTTGAACATGTCCACACACATATGCAAACATACTGTAAGAAATTGAAACTGAAATTAATTAGAGAATGCTAAACTGTTTGATTAGCAAAAGTGAAAGCTATGTAAGCACAGATGTAGAAATACTGTAGAACTCAGAAAACATAAAGTAAAAATACAATGTTATATTTCAGTTAGAATGAAGGAACAATCCGATATAAAGTGAAAATGCTGAGACCCGCCTAGCGGTTCTGGTTTTTTCATATTTGATCTCCGCACAGATACAGTATGATTACTGATTGTATTATTTCGCCCACTATAATGTTCATTCGATTTCCGATATGAATATTATCAGGGAGAGGTGAATGCTTATAGCATACAGCCTTCTTCAAAACTTGCACACAACCATTAAGTCGCTTACCATCCTATCGCCCTTGTCAGATCTGCCAAAAAAATTCACGAGAACACCATCAGAGCATGTAACAGACTAGATATCCTCTCCCCCCAAATATTATACTCATTAGATGAGGATTTTTCTTCTCTCTTGAAGATAGCATTTGCTTAAAACCATTCAGCTAGGTCATGTTTGACTTCTAGATCTCCACTTCATTTGATAATCACACCTTTCCCATTGATTATAAATATTGACGTCCTCCCACCATTAGGATTTGAATAGCAGTAACAAATTTTTGAGGTCACATCTTAACATCTCATTTATACTGCTTTTGCAAAATGAAGTTTCGTTTGGAAACCATTTGAAGTGTTCCCAAAAATATTATGTTTAAAATTATAAAGAAGATCTGTGGCTCAAGTAGATTATTTTCTACACCACGCTCATTTAGTTGGATGGTTTAAAAGTCACATGTTTACTGTTTCATTTCGATTCTTGAAAATGATTCCTTAACTGGAATCAGAGATCGTCAGAAAGCAAATTTATGCATATATTTGTTGAATTTTATAACTGCTGCTTGAAGACTGAATGCTACATATAGCCATTTTGTTGTCTACTAGAAATGGATCTAGGCTCCACCATAATAATATTATTGGGAATAATGGCATTGTGTTTCTCTGAGTTCTGACTATCTTCACTTAGAATGCAAACTGTCTATGATCATGAGCAAGCTTAATTCAAGAATGTCTTCTGTTTGTTTTCATTTTGTATCCACTGAGGAATAGACAAATGTTAATGAGGATCAGTGAGTCAGCAAGTATTCGAGGAAGTGACCACGCTACACCACATTAATATTAACGCTGCTGATAGTCTGATCTTCTTTATCTATCTACCCTCTCCTTAGCTGTTCAAAGTTAGCAAATAGTTCTCTCTGTGTTGTGGGTTACTTATTATTTAGTAGTACTCGTTCTTTATATCTTCCATTGTACAGTCATCAGTTCCGTGACCAAACTGTTAAAAATAAATTGGTTTGGGTTAATGTTTTTCTTTATTTTAGAAACTAGTAATCTAAACCAGCATTCAACGATGTACTTTTCCTTTTGCAACAGAAATTAATATATTACTAAAGCGACAATGTCAGAAGAAGTAGCTGAATACTCTGAGTATGAAACGTACAATCTTGTCACTATGGTCACACTTCAATTGTATGTACTATATATATATATATATGTCCCATGACGTAGGAGTCCTCTTCATCAGTGGCTGCTATTGTAGTTGACCTTGATTACAGGCTATAATAGCTTTATTATGAAGTTTGTAGCTCGGATTCTAGGAAGCAAATATGCCCATTTCAGAACTTAAACCGTTGTTGAAAACCACACGGAAGACATTTTAATTCTGTCATATTCTTCCAGAAGATAAAATTGAAACAGATTCGGATATTCGCAGTTAAGTTAGTTAACGATCAGAGGAGATATGTGTGTACGCGATTCTTAAATGCCGTGTTAATCATCACATCAGTAAAACGACAGTGACAACACTATTCCACATAGCTTCTTTTCGACTGAAAGAATTCAGACGACACTTGATGCTTTCAGACATTTTTATTGTAATTCAGAGAACAGTTATCATAACTAATGTTATTACAAATTATATCAGAAACATCATCTTCCGTCCAGTCATTCAATCTAGAAACTGCTAGCTGCAGCCAAAAATTATCTGCCTGATGTTGTTTGAACACTCCACATTTTTCCCACAAATTAAAAAACTAATATGACATAAATTTTATAACACCTGAATGATCGGTAAAAATGATTTCTCTGTCCAAAAGGTTTGGAATTCTGATTTTGTATTGTTAATTCGTTCTAAATAGAATTCATAACCTGGTAACAAAGACACCAGTCACTGAAACGCTTGCATACACACAGTGCCAATGACTAGCAAAGAGCTAACTGGAAAACATGTTATCATGGAGTATGCTTTATTATATGGACTGTTACAAATAAACACCTTATTTTTTTAATCACATCAATCCTATCTCTGACTGATGAAAGTTCTAAGATTATGTGACAGCTGTGATTTTCTAAGGTCACCAGTTTGTTTAAGTTCGTTAAATAGAAATTAAACAAATACAAATAGTTTTTAATGTATACAAGTACTATCTTTTTGACTGTTAGTTTCATAAAAAAAGCTAAAATGTCTAATTCAGCAAAAGCCCTGTACATAGGAGAAGATTTAAAGTATATTACTCAGTGGGTATGAAGGGTAACCTTTGTCTACTTTGACGCACATTCTGGAACCATCATGCAACATGATGAATGACAAATAGTTGAAGCCAAGACCAGCAGAAAGAATTCATTATGGGTAAAATTTATCTCGATAACGTCTCACAGTGTTATACAGTAATATTTACTGATGAGAAGGTCAACTACATAGGTCATACTAGTAGATAGTGAGTAGTCACACTGTCGGAACATAAGAATTCTGCTAAGGTAAGAATGATTGACCCGGAGAAAATTAGTAATTTGGAAAAAAGCTCAGCGACTGCACTGCATGCATTGACACACAACTAAACACTAGGGTGGGACAGAGTCAAAGTGTTAAAGAGTAATATAGGTAGGTGGAGAGAGAGGTTGATTACTGAATCCTTGTTCATCGAGTCTACACCCAACAAGTGCAATAAGAATGACTCATCACTCATACCGGAAATATGGAAAATACTACTACCAATCAAGTCAAGCCATGGAAAATTATGGAATTATATAAAAGAAGTTAGAAAGTTGTGTGAGTACCTTGATATGATTATGAGCAATAATGAAAATTGTGCTCAAAACGTGGTCATCAGTAAATATTACTGTATAACACTGTGAGACTTTATCAAAACAAATTCTACCCATAATGGAATTATGCTCTACCACAGTGCACAAGTTCTATTCTTATATCAACAAAGAATTCACTTATGCACTTAGTTTCTTTATCACGTCAGTAACCTTCATTATTAATTAACAACAAGGAATTCTAAACTCAAAAAATCGACTAAGACACTGTGGTTGTTACAGTTATCATGGTTGCCATAGTAACGTTTTTCCGCAAATTCATCCCTGAATGGAGCTGTCACATTCTTTACTATATGATTTTAAAATGATAACCTTAGCCGCCCAGTTATCGAAACCTTGACTGGTTTTAATGCTATCCAATAGTACGTTTAACAGTATGGGAAACTTTTCATCATCATTTTTGAAAAAGGTATATTACTGATAGTATTTTAACTCAGAGATTATGTTCGTGTTCATTTGTTCAATTTATTTAAGATCGCTAATGCATCCAGAGTTTCCACATATGTTTTAAGTCCATTGCACATATTAATGACATAAATAAGTCTTTAAACTACATGGGATTAACAAACGTGGTGTGAGGAACTTTAGAGTGAAATAGACACAGAATGCAGCATCACTGGTAGATATGGAATAATATGCATAGGTGGACACTAAACACATCTTCAAATGTTCAGAAATGTTTCAAATTAGCTCAATTATATTTTCCATCCATACTTATTGAAAACTTCCACAAAACTGTTAAAAGGATTCTTTCATTTTTATGCTTTATTTTTTTATCAATAATTTTTACTACACATTAGGGTTTCTTACCAATGTATGTTCAAAAGAGGGTTAATTACTAGTGTAAAGAGATAGGCAATTATGAAACACCAGTAAACAAAGACATTCATTCATATGATATGGAAATGCAAACTTTTATCTAGGTGAATTCTTTTGTTTATTTTTTTTAAATTCACCAATATCTATTGAATAATAAACAAAACAGCAGTTATAAGTGACGAATTTTGTGCTCCTAATAAAATGTTACTAATGGATACATTGAAAATGGCAAATAATAAACCAGTCTTATTTATAAGTAATAAAATAGTTGTTGGTGGACAAAATGATGAAAACAAGTAACCACTACGATGAAAATAATCATAATAATAATAATAATTGCAATAATGATCAGAACAATGATTGCTCAGTTGACAGACTGCATTACTTTGTTTTTATCCTTTTGTAAAGATATCAAATGCCTTTGAAAGAATATCTGAACGATTACCCAAAGCTCTATTGGAACCAGTGCGCAAAATGATTAGTCAGGATGTTCGCGAAAGACCGACATCACAGCTCTTCGCCTTGGTGAGTTAATACTTATACTGTCTCCTGTTCAGTAAGGTCAGTGTGTGATAAAGTTACAGTCTTGTTGCCAAACGCTTTCACGGTGACAAGAAATTCAATAATAAAGTTTTTAGAAGTTTCTGTTACAAATTTCTACAATAATAAGTCTGCATGATTAATGGTTATATAGGTCATCCCAATAGTTATGAAATGTCCTATCGCTATTAACACTGATAGTATATTTATATTCCTTACAATCCAGTTACAACAGCGAATAGTGAGTTTATGATGCATGCCTAGTGTAGTTGTCAGTATGTGCTTTACGAACACACGTCTATTGTTTCCATGGAACAGTGAATGAAATCACTGGTGCAAGGAAAGGCAGGTATTCAGAGGCACTGGCAACAATAAGTTTTTTCGGCTTTACCAACTGACCACCTGATGAAACTGCAGTGCACAGATACATTTTATTTAATAATTCTGTAATGCGTCTGCAATCTAGTCGCTGTTAAAGGTTAAGTTTTGTTTGGAAAGCATACTCTTTAATTAAATATTTTAATGAGATAACACTTTGTCAAATTGTTTCATGCTAATGTGAGGCAACACAAACAGTCGACCAACTTAGTGAACAAGTCAAATTCGGATGTAACGCACCGTTTCAATGTGACATTGTACTCATTTTTTTACATTTACTGAGCAAGATGCATAATAAAGTAAACTTTTTTAATCCAGTTTAAGTGGTTTATGTCGTGTTAGTTGGACAGTCATACCTCAGTAAAGGAAAGCAACTAAACAGAGTTTATGACTGGACTTTTGGGATCATTTCGCTAAATAGTCCTGCCATCAGGCCGCTCAAAGATCGGTGCCACTGATAATCGTCGTGTGGGGAAATCGTAAAGAAGTCAGACTGTTCTAGTATACACTATACACTAGACGGGTGTTTATTATTAAACTGGTAGAGTCATCTGAACTACGATGATTTTTCAGATAAGATTTGTGTGAAAGTCAAGCATTAATGCTGTGACAAGCAAACATATTATGAATCTTCGCATATCATTGGTTATTTAGACACTTTAGAATTCATTTCATGATAAAAATGAATGCATATACATTATTCTATTTATTAGAATGATTTGTTTATGATGGATCAAGTATCGAAATAACAAAATGTTTAACGGAAACCAGCTGTCAATGCTGTTAGCATTGATGGTTCGTAATCTAAAATACAGATTTCCGAAAATTCAATGTTGATTTTATCCTGACTTTCATCAGTGTTACGGATGACTAATCGCATAAATAACTTAACAATAAACATGGAAATGAGCTTAATAACATCTGCCACTAATATGATTATATTAAGACTGTTATCGATACTTTTGACTAACTGAGTAATAATTGTTTTCCTAAAATAATATACCATTCTCACTATGTAGCGGTCTGTGATAATTTTATGTCAAGTAAAATCTGAAATCACTCATGAATGGATGCACTAAACTCCTTCTTATCAGTTTAAGTGAATGCGTGAATCCGATGCATTCAACCGATGGCTAAACAAAATTTAATCCAAACAGTACTAGTGGCAATGTATGAATAGCTTTTATCCAGTACGCTTAAGCTTTCAGTCAATCATAATTACCAAGACATACTTAGGTTATGGTACAAGAGAGATATCTCAAAATTATCAAACAACTTTGTTATTTAGTTCTCTCTTGGCTCAAGAAGATATTTCTCACAAAAAGAATGCCAATAGAAGTAAATTAACACTTGTACTGAATTAGACATTGACAAACTGTTTAAGCTTCTAGCATATCTTGAATCAAATTCGTGATTTTTATAAACTCACTTGAGGTTTGCAATTTACACAGTTCCAGGTGAAATTTCACCAAGACTTCCTTTGGAGAAGTGAATGATGTGAGCAGTTGGATCCCGCTCATATCAACCGGCAGCGCACTGGTTTACTGGTTCGCACAAGTAACCAGCCGGAATTCGGGTAGCTGGAAGTGATACGACTCTGTGGGATCAGTAAAACTAGATACATGCTTGGTTAGCTAGGCTTTAAACGAGCAGAATGACCGTCTGGTGTTTAGACCACCTGGATTCGTCTAGCAAGAACTACTAGGTGATGTGAGTGGTACGGAACTACTCACACCCGTCAGTCAGTGGTATACAGCATCGTAACTTGTTTATATTGAATATAAAATATCACAGCTAACCATTTAAGAATTGTAAAAAAATTAAACTTTGAAATCATCAAATCATTCAGATATCTTATATAAAGCGTCCTAATTCACTTATGCATTAACAGGTCAAATAATTCGTAAAGCATTTTGGAGCTTTTTTTCATTTTCCTAATCTTTTATAAATACTTTTAACAAAAATGTTTAGTTATATCAATTCATTACTGAATAAACTTACTTACTCGTGATATTTCTGATATTTGTTTATAGTTGAAAGTATTTAATGAGCCTACAGTTCTGTCCTATGAAGGTCTTCTTACTTTAGGAGATAAATCGGTCAATCAAAAAAAAGAATTTTTCGGACGACTTCCCAAAGTTATACCGTTATTTGAACCAGTAAGTTGGTGGGATTAATGAATAACTATTTAAAGCTGAAAAGCATAATTCTTTACTACAGATTGTCATTTATATTCATCACAAAAGCATTCACTGTCATTCCATCATATTACATTTATAATTCACTTTACCAATCATAATTATATTTATTTATAAACTTGTCATTCAGTATTACACTTGCAATCTAAGTTTATTACTTTTTCAAGGATGCACAGATGTCTTGCTGACAGATGCCAGTAAGCACAAGACCTAGGTCCAAGGCTTCCTATTGGCTGCCTATTACAATGTTATGTCAAAACTATTGTGTATAGTAGTCAGTGTGTAATTTAGCTACAAATTTTAGCGTTCATGCAACTCTGAACATAATTACAGCTATATAACTATTTAAACAATTCTTGGTGGAAAGTGGATTATTAGTTTCTAATTTATTTGTTCATTAGCTACAGAATTATTAATAGTCACGAAGCACTGAATATTTATTAGGTTACAGGTGATGAAGTCTACTTTGCCAAAGGCAGCATGAGGAACCACGTCAGCGGCTTATACTAACTAAATGTTTCAAGTGAATTTCTACGATAATCAACTGTTTTCATGAAAAAAGCATACCTAGCTAGATTGCCTTAAAGTCAGGACACCAGGTTATTCAAAATAAAACTTGAAAGCAATACCCCTGTTTTTGGAATATAAGCAGATATCACACAAGGTGAGACGTTGGTGAGAAGTGATTCGAATGAATATCTATACAAGAATAAATTTTGAGCACTGTGGTAGAGTATAGCCATGCGGGTTAGAGTGTAATTCCATCAAATAATAATTGATAATTGGTTAGGAAAGACAGTTGCACAGTATTGTCTACTTATGAAGTTCCTAGCTAATTCTTTACTCATAATCATATCAAACAAAAACTGTGCTAGAAACGTCGTCAGTAAATAATCCTTTTTCATTTTGTTTTTTATCAAATGAAATTATTCTATTATGGAATCCACACCAAAAATTTATACCCTTCATTTTAATTTGAAATGAACTGTTAGCACTGATGACAGTGGTTATCTCGTTGCTAGGTCAACGATTTCAAATAATCAAGCTTCAAGTACCACACCTTTAGGTTAAACAGTAAGTATCCTGAGTTGCTACATTCTAATTAGTTTGACACTGATGTTTTCTTTTTGAGAAGAATTTTTCATAATCTTTTGTCACTGGAAAATATAGACAAAAACAATTCTACTGAAAATTACTCCTTCATACTTTTGCGGTATTATCTCATGGACTTTGCTTGCATTAAATTACGTTTTTTCAACATTTTGACCGAATCTGTCTGATTTTTATAAAAAGTGGAATCTGCGAAGATTAAGATTTCAAATCTTCATTAGGTTTTGAATAATTTTGTCTAAATGAATACATATATATATATATGTAATTATATCACCAGGCCATGCGTGGTTGTTTATCCATCTGCGCCGTAACATATCTGAGTCAAAAATAATTTGGAAGCTGGAAAATATTAAAACAACACCAAATAACCACTAAATAAGCATCATATATATATATTAGGTTTCATAACAGTTTCCAAACTTTGATACTAAATTTCATCCTGAGAAGTTTAGATCTTTTTGTGGACTAGCAAATATTCGTCACTTTCGAATATTAGCTATATGATGTCGCTGTTGTGTCCCTTCAGCTTTCCTTTCCAAATTCTGAGTGATATGACAAAGAAAATTGACTTTCACATTTCACCATCACTCACTTCTTAGCTACTGTTATACCTTAGTATTGCAAACAAATATGTGGATGAATTTCTCTAATACAGTAAATTTGTAAGGGAAACAAACTAACTGGTTTTTTTTTGTTTTTGCAATATATCTTTAAAAAAAATTGTTGATGAAAGACTAACAGGGACGACTGGCGATGTAGAACAACACCTGTGCACATGAAACTTAAAACATAACTCCAAAAAAATTGTGGGATAACAAATTCTTTCATATGAATTTTTGTGGACATCTTGAAAGACATAATACCCAACGTATTTAACAAGAGTTGAGGTGTGACTGACAGGCAATAAGTACATAAACACGATATCAGATGCAAAGGTATTTTAAAAAATATATTCCAGTGTCTAAACTTTACTATTTTGCCAACAGCAGAAAAAGGAAACATAAACCACTAATAAGTGGTCATTTGTCTCTACTTGTCGTACTGGCTTAAAGTGTTTCCAAATAGTTGAACACTTGTATCAATAGGAAATTATGCTAACAGAGGTATTACTTCGAAGCTTCAGAATTGAAAGTGAATCATTTTCATTACCTTTACATTTTTATAAGTACAAAAGTATTATTGCATGTAAAACACTGTGACTGTTCACTAAGATTTCAAAATGATTGACAAGTTGATAAAAGGATAAAACATTGGCACTGTGGTAGAGTATAACTCCATTATGGTTAAAATTTAATTTTGATAAAATCACACAGTTTTATACAGTAATATTTACTGATGACGTTTCGAGAAGTTGTCAAAATTTGCCGATTTAACAGGTGTTTTTTAACTTGATACATTAACATTTTACATGGAAAATGTTTAGTGTTTTCATTAACTCTGAGACTACAGTAATTTATTCCTTCGGAGAAATTCTTTGCAGCGACTACTTTTATGTTACTAGAAGGTAAGCGATAAATAAGATTAGAAGGCAATTCTGAGATTAATTAACTATAGTACCTGTGGTAACAGTTAATACCATCGCTACTAATTGGTAAATCAGTGTGACAAATTTGAATTACTTTAGAGTTATTTGCTAGAACTCAGTATGTATTTTCGCTCTACCAGTAATGTGTGCGAAAGAAAAATAATAATCAGATTTATTAATTATTGCAGAAGAAAAACAGAAGGAAATATTTTTTCACGCCTGAATATTTATTATTAATGAAGCAGGTGTGTATTGAATAGTATTCAGCTAGGTTATCACTATCATAACAGGGTCTGGGATTTATGAAGATAAATATTCAAGGATACAGTAATTTTATTTATTATTTAGGATATTTAGGCCGATTGCATCAAATCACATAAAATCAACCCAAAATACACCAAAATGTGACCCTCCTAGACAGGTGAATGACCACATTTCAAACTTCATTGATATAAATCAGTCAGCACCAAGGTTTAAAATACAAGATATTGATTACGTCTTGGTGTTTATCAGTTTATAAGGAGAAAGCAATGTTTCCACTTAAGTCTCCTCAGGGGCTACAGTCTAATTTACATAAATTTACAAATAAATTCTTAAAATTGCCCGATTATAGTGCTTTGTTAACAAAATCATAAGACTGTATATACAAAATGTGCATATGTTCATTACAATAAAAGTTATGATAATAATTCTGTTGATGACAACAATAAAGAAAGGGAAAATGTGTGGTTATGATACTATTCTAAACAGTATGGTTGAACAAACATGTGTTCAAACAAATCTGGTAGGTAAACGGTTGGAAAATAAATAATAAGATTGCGGAACACTTGGCTTTTATGGTAGTAACTACGTCATGTTCTGATGAATATATTAAAACACTAATTAGGGGTTGACAAAAATAGTAAGCAAGATGTTGAAGTTATACAGGGATATTGTAGTTAGTCAGTTACTTAGGTCTTCACTGTCAAAGGAAGAGAAAATCCTGAAAAAACTCTCCGTCAATTCAGTTTATGACTGCAAGTTAGATTACTAACACCTTCAAATATCTACAGCCGAATGCTAAGAATATAGTTTTCAACTTTCGCATACAACGACAGAGGTTACCATGATTATTTATTAGTAAACGTTAGCGTGCAGAGACAATCCACTTAAATGCAACGTGTATACATAAGGCTTTCCATTGTAGTTAATATATGTCAGCATACCTTGTTAACTAAACAAATTAACTGACATCCTCTTAAAAGTTTGCTACGCCTTGCACAAAATAATACTTTGCAATCTCTCAGCTTGTTACCATTACCTTTTGGCTTCACTCATTAACTTGTAAAGTTACCACAAAAAATGTTCTCACACATTCTCAATTTATACAAACAGTAATTACATAAGTGAATTTGATAACGTCATCGTCTTCTGCTTATCATAGGACGACCATTTTTATTTCATTTTCCGCCGTCGACTATTGGATATTTCAACTAACAGTTTACTTTGTCATTTGTCTTCATTTTAGGTTGTCAGATACAAATATATTCTACCTCTAATCTTACGTTGGTTGTATGAGTCGAATGAATTAGTCCCCTACATTCTACCATCTTTCTTGACAATGGTCAAAGTGGCTGAGTCAGATGACTATGACAAGTGTTTGAAATCTCATCTGCATAAAATTTTGACAGAACCGAAATCACTTCAGGTAATTGTCTCTTTTTTCGAACCAATCATTTGAGTATACGTCATGCTAGAGTTTTAAAAGAAGCTTCTTTACCTTTTTATTAGGAATTCCATTCACCTTCAATGATCTAATTGTTACCAATGAAAATGTTTTCCCAACATTTGCTTGTTTGTACAGTCAGTCTGAACATACGTAATATCATCCATAAAGTGTATGAATTTTTATCCATTCAGCAGAATGTCTGTACTTTACACTGGTACAGTAATTTCTATTACTTAACAGTATCACAGTGAGAGCTAACTGTGTATACACTTGGGTGGGAAAATACTTCTCACGGTAATTGAAACCACACCTGTCTCTTTAAATTTTCAAGTAGCATAAAGATCAGGACTCGATCAGAATTCTTAGAATAATTCGAGTAATTTATCATTATTTCCATGTGCTTTGTATGTTATTGGTTTTGCATTTGTTTCAACTTCCTGACGATAAGCAATTGAAATGTGGTATAGACCAAATAATTGTTGAAATATGGTTACATTTAGACAACAATCAATGAAACAGTACTCCGGATACTAACACAGGAAAAAGTACTGGGAATACCAAAATTTAAGTAGGATTTCTAGTTCCTATTGGTGACAGAAGTGTTCTTTGCAAATGGATACTTTCACTTGTCCCTTAGATTTTGTTAGAAATATTCTTGGGAAAATCAATCAGTTATTTTGAAATCTAGCTCGACAAAGTCTTGCCTATAAAGACCTGTCTCTGTCAACGTTGAATAAATGCTTACTTTTACAGAATTAAAGATTAAACTAATGACTAATCAATTAGACTGAGAAGCCATTTTGATATTTCGGTGATAATATATACTAAGAAAACCATTTTAATAACAACGTTCACTGAGGACGATTGAGGTGATGCTGTTCCCTAGCGTCTTTTATATAGTCGTTTCTTTTTGTGGATCATTTTTCTTATGTTTGGAAGTATTCCTTCTATATTTCTTGTTGCAAGAAGAATCATTCGAAAGATTAATCCTCTTGAATTCACTTAGTACTTTTTCTACACCAAGAGTTGTCATGATATGATTTTCTGCGAGAAATTTTCTGGTTAAACTGATTAAATTAATTAATTGTTCCCACTGAAAAAAAGAAGTCCTTAATGTGAACTATAGATACTCAGGGATATCAAATGAACACCAAGCACTTAACTGTGGAGTTTCTCTGTTTAACTAAATGGTTTCAAATTCAAAAATCATTCGATGTACAGGGTGGAAACTGTGTGTTTACACTCTCATAGATCATTTGCCATGTAAAAGCGCTAAGGAAAATCTCGACATGATCTCGAAATAATTCTCAAATATCCTAATTATCACTGAATTCTAAGTGGAAAAAACACACTAGCCTCTTTTGGCTGCTTCATGTACTTATCTGCATTCCTACAGACGATCACAGAATGCTAACACTTGAAACAGAAATGTAAGATTGCATTTCTAGGTATCTTTTCTTAAGTTATGCCAAAAAGTAAAGAAATTTTGAAGAAGCATATTAGTTATCTTTTAAAGTTCTATAAAAATTTTAATTGAAATATATATTTGAAGTAAACTTTTATCCCATAATTGACACATAAAATTTGACTGAGCTCATTACCTTAATCTTTTAAGTAAACAATGAACGAGGTCATTAGTTGTATGTTTTAAGATATTTACATCTTATCTTTTGTTCTATAAAATTAGAATTGATTAACATTTCATCTAAGTTTGACACAGAATATAAAATTAAACGAAAATATTTAGAATAATGCTTATCTGTATTCATTCCTAATTTGGTTATCATTATTACTATTATTGTTTAAATGAAGACAAATGTTGACGTATTTTCTCTTGGCATATTAGAAGAACACCTTTATTTTTCAGTTTTAGGGCGTAGAATAAAAAGTTTGGCTGACTCAGGTAAGGAATAGTTTTACTTAAAACATTATAGTCTTGTAGTTTGCCTTAGAAAAAAACAAATTCCCAAAGACACGATTAGTATTTCTAACAAAATTTAGTTCTTACTTTAGACAATTTTTTAATCATACCTGGTTCAGATGGACAGTGAGAATTAGCTACAACGAACTCTGTCGAAAAAGCCATCAAGAACCTATCGCTAATCAAATATGCGGAAGAAAGTGGAGGTGGACTGCAAATACGGTGACAAGACCGCTAAGTGAAGAGCCAGGCCGATGGGTTGAAACCGAATGAAAGACGATGAGTTGGACATGAGCTGAGATTGACATGAGGGGAATCGTGAGGGAAGGAAATGGGAGATTACAGTCAACTGTAGAGCCAGTTGACAAATTGCAAAAGTAAATGAAATGGAGAATAATAACATCATACTTAGCCGCTTAGTTTCGACTTCTCAAATGCACATTCTCAAGTAGTAATGCTGTTTAGCATTATTAGATAGTTATTGGAATTTCCAAAGGAAGACATTTTACTTTATAAATGAGAATAAGCATCAAATGAACCACTGGAGTTAAGCTCAGAATAAGTAGACAGACACATTTCATTTGATCAGGGGATAAAACCACCAACAAGAAAAATATGTACCTCAAATCCTAAATTCTGAAATCTTATTTTTTTCTGTCACGAAAACAGCATGAATTTCAACGGAATTTTTTATATATCACGATTCTCTTATTTATATTTTAGACAACTATGGTGATTATGGATCTTTCGGACTTTTTTATCAATCACATTAGCCAAGAGGATATTGGAAATCTTCTTGTCCCAGAACTATTTGTTTGTCTTGAACCCGGTACTCCAAAGTCATTGGTAAGAGTATTTTATTGTTGCACATAAACTCATATTCAAACGTAAATGCTTGTTTAAGTCAGATTGTTTAAATGTCTTATGGCTAAAAATGTACTATAACCTGTAGTTCCATGATATACACATTGAGTGCACATAAAATGCACTCGTATTCCTATTTTAAATGATCTCATGATTATTAATGTTAGCAATCACAAAAATCAGATATTATTTTTATGTGAAAAGACTTTGAGAATTAAAAAATTTTAATTTCACCAATCATACTAACCAATAATGTTACAGAAAACAGTAAATGTCATAATGGTAGATTTCGTGGACGCTGCTGGTTTAGATGCTTTGAAAAAGATTTGGAAATTCACCTTAAAGATGTTCACTACAAAAAAGCAAATTCAGTTTTATTTATCAGGGTTGTGAGTTGTTCCATTTTATGGAGGTGTATGAATCACTGTAAACTAGTCATGACTGTATCCATTTTGTGCTAGGGTATATATATACAATATATTTGTCTTTTACCCGTTTTTATTATAATGTTAGTATTACTGTCTATACTGTCTTAAAAAAATTTACTTTTGAAATAGTTCTCAGAGTTTAGCCTTGAACAAGCAATCGTATTAAAAAAGGATATCAGAACCTGCACAGATTGTTAGTAGTTAGGATCACAGTTCTCGGTAATCTTTCCAACGAGAATAAATTTAATACAATATAATATTCCACTATACGGTATGCACAAAGCCTTCACAAACATCTTACAGCATGAAAATTCATGCTAAAGCATGCTATTACTATTATTATTCCCTTGGGTTCAGAGTGGAACATAGGGCTTCAACAGCACATCTCCACTTTGTTCTATTCACTGCTGCCCTCTTCACCTGCGTCCACGATTGCCAACAATCTCTCATCTCCTCCTTGCACGACCCACTCGTCATTAACTATTCTGGTTTCACTGGAGCTGTGGCCTGCATTGCGCGATGTCGTTCGATGGCCTCCTCAACGAATGCCGGATCAATCCATCTCCATTCTCTCCTACATATTTGTTGGGCGATCGGCTCTTGCCTGTTGGTTTGTTCCCATCCAGAGTTTCTTGTTGCGAGTTCTTTCTGGCTGGCTGACTGGCTGGCCATTCGGTCTTCAGTATGGAGCTAGGGAAGTGGGCAGCTGCTGAGAAAAGTCTGCAGTTGACTGTTGGAAATTCTTTTCGTGACACGCACGCCAAGTTTCTGACCCATATACAAGAACTGACTGACTTGACATCGGTGTTGAAAATCAGAATCTTATTCTTTATGCTGACTGAGTGCAGATGATTTCCAAACTGGTTTCAGGTTGATGAAGGCGTATCTTGCCTTTCCGATTCTGGCTGGCTGACTGGCTTTGACATCTTCATCCGTGACGTGTGTCTGTGATTGAAGCTGTGCTTCCTAGGTAAGTGAATGCAGGAAGTAACTTCTGTCCAATCTCTCCCTTTGATGGTGATTGGTACTGGTTGTTGTTGCTGTTGCTGGTGGTGGTGCTTATCTTCATTACCTCCGTCTTCTCTATGTTCACCTGGAGTCCTGTCTTCTCAGTCTTTTGTGCCAGTTTGTTGGTATTTGCCTGTAAGTCTTCAAGTTTATGTGACATTAGACATATTTCATCTGCGAAGTCCGAATCTTCTGGAGTATTCTTCTCTGTGGTCCAACGTACTCCTGTCTCCTTGCTCCCCATGGCCCGACGCGTAATCCAGTCCACCAGAATTAGGAATATCATCCATGATAATAGACAGCCAGCCTTTCTTACTCCTGTATTCACTTCAAACGCCTCGCTGAGTTTTCCATTGTGAATCACCTGACTGACACGTGGCAGGCATTGTCATATAGCCAGCTGTTGAATGAGGTCGATAAAGACTTGAGCACTGCACACCATAATGTTGAAGTAGTTTCCAAATTACTTCTCCGTCAACGCTGTGCTGTCTGTCGAAGCCCTTTTCGAAATCGATGAAGGGAGTTGAGGTAGAAAGAGGTTTGACTGCCATTCTATGCTTTGTTCGATGATGATGATGATGCGTAGAGTTGCAATTTGATCAACACATGATTTGCCTTTCCTAAATCCAGCTTGTTCGAGTTGGTGGGATGGAGTTATGTATCCAGTGAGTCTTTTATTCTCTCCAGGATGGTGCGACTTAGTATTTTACTCGGCGTGAACGAGAGCATTATTCCACACCAGTTCTTGCAGAGTGAGACGTAAGTCGCCCTTCTTTGGCAGCTTGACAAGGTAGCCAACCTTTCTTCCATAGGTAGTACCTTTCTTTCTTTCCAAACCTTTTGCAATAATGTTGTGAGCACATCTGCTGAAGTCTCTAGGTTCGTTTTCAGTGCCACTAGAAGGGAGGGATTCCGTCTGATCCTGCTACCTTCCTGGACCTCAGTGGTTTAACTGCATTCAGGATTTCTGATTCTGTTGTAGGACTGGTGCCTATTGGCAGTTCCATGCGTGCTGTCGGTAGTGCTGGTATATCTGGACAAGTTGCAGATGATGATGGTCAATTCAAGAGTGGTTTGAAGTGATCAGCCCATTGTTTTGTTTGTTTCACCTCCTTGGCAATTAGGTTCACCTGAACTTCTTTTATTGGTTTCATCATCTAGGTTGTTCTCTTCCCGTATAGCAAGCAACCTGGTTATCTGATATAATGTTTTGAGATGTCTTTTACCTGCTGCCTGCCTGCCTATTCTGCTTCCATTGCCGGTCAGTGTGTTCTAGGATTGTCTTTCGTTTTTCCTAGCACTCTTCTTTACTTCTTGATTCAGCTCAGTGTACATTGCTATGAACTTAGCTTCTCCTTCTCTTGTCCATCTTTGCATTAAGTTATCTTCTGTTACACCGTCATCCTCTCCTCGATTAGCTTCCAGGTAGGGGTCCGTTTAGAGCCATTCCTTGTCGTGTCTCTCCCTAGAACATTAGTGCACCTTTCCTTGAACATCAACTTCCGAAAGTTCTAATGTTCTTCCATGCAAGTTTCCTCACTGATGCCACGTAGTGTCTCCGACTTTGCTCTGATATCTGTGGCGAAGACATTTTTTGTAGTTTTGTCCTTCAGTTTCTGAATGTTGAACTTGAATTATGGTGGTCTGTCTCCAGTTGTTGTGAGGGATTTCAGCTTCACCTTGAAGATTCCTAGAACTAGATGATGGTTTTAGCACGCCCACATCTGCTCCCCTTCTCGACTTTCTGTCTAGCAGGCTGTGTCTCCACTTTCTCGAGCGACGAGGGCTTTCTGGTTTTTGGTGTGTCCATCAGGCGAAATGCATGTTGCTTTGTGTATGTGTTGTGCTTTTGCATTCTGCCTCCAGTCATCAGATCACTGAAGGCATAGAAGTCTGTGAATAATTCTCCGTTCTCAATCATTTCTCCAGTTGAGTGCCTCACAACCCATGATGAGTTCTCTTCCTCTATTATCAGCTCCCAGTTCGGCTGGCATTCATGTCGCCCATGAGGATTTTGATGCTACCATTTGGGATGTTGTCCATCACTGTTTGTAGTTGTCTGTAAAATTCTTCCTTCTTCTCTTGTTCTGCGTTGTTTGTAGCACTTTGCGTAGCATTGCATGATAATTGTGACCTTCCTTCCTTCCTTTTGAGTTGAATCTTGCTGTCATGATGCAGGAGGAGATTGGTTCCCACTGCCAGTGGTGACATCATGATAGCCACTCACTGCCCTAGTGTGCTCGTGGTTGTCGTCTGGGTGACCAGACTGGAGTAGATTACTGACTTTCCAGCTGATAATTTCGATAGTCTATATCCATTCCATCTGCTGTCGCAGATACCCAGCACTTCTAAGCCATATGTTCTCACTTCTTTGGCCACCTGGGCAGCCTTCCTAGCCTGCTTCGTACATTGCACGGAAACTCCACGTCCCCATTCCTATTCTTGATTTCATCGAGAGAAGATACATCAGCTGGCCGACTGGCTTCTCGAAGGCTTCCATCAGCCCGCGTCATTTCACCTCTCCGATTCCAGCGAAGAATATTTTTTTAATTTAATTTTTTTAAATTTTATTATAGCTTGATTCAACACAGATTTTGGTACATGTATAAAATCTTCAGCATGTGATATCGGTAGCCCAAATTTAGCAGGCCGACCATGGATATCAGGTGTGCGTCGGCGAGGGATCGAACCTCGGACCATGTGCATGGTCGGTGAGAGTCCTAACCGCTGTGCCACCGACGCACATGTTTTTGTGTGTTGAAGTTTCTGTAGCAGTTTGATAGGTTTAGTAGTGTAGGGCTGCTAGATCCATGCCCAACTTTCCCTCTTTACCCTGGCTTGGGACCAGCTAGAAAACTAGCAAGCTGGTTAACTAGCAAGACTGTTAAAGCATGCTGAAGATCTTATAAAACAGATGGCGTTCCAGGAGACTATTTGATTAAGATGAAGTAAATGGCTCCCTTTATTTAGGTAGTTAATAAGCATAAATGATTAAGGACTACTTGAAAACTAGTCTTTTTTGAGTAAATTGACAGTTGGTTTTGCCCTTTTGTCACCTTTATTTGCTGCTTGTTTTCATTTCTTAAAAATGCAGGAAACTGTACAGAATGCAATTTCAGTTTTATCAAAATATCTGAGTAGTACTCAGATTGTTCAGTCCATTTTGCCACACCTTAAAGAAATTTATCATCGCAAAACGTCAAATCCTAAGGTAAATATGTTTTACACATGTCATTTAAACAAATACCTGAAATGTTCTGAATTTTGTGCATAAAACCAAAATTTGACATATTGACGCATTATATGTCTATTATGGTGTTTTTCCCCTAAAAACACTTTTTTATGTCACTCAAACTCACTTGAGACTACAAAATATCACACTGTCAAAATAGTACATGCAGAATTATATGTTGTCTTTAAGTTTTCTTTAACTTGTTCCATTTGCACTGTCTCACTTTCCTCTGCTCAGTTTACATGAGTTTTGTTTTCTTCTGAGTGTTGGTTCCATTATTTCGCTTTACTAAGCATATCTGCTCAAGCTAAAATAAATACAGCTGACTTTCTGAGTTACTGTCATTGTTTAAGACCTATTTGTTCGAATGTCAGGCATAACGTGAATCTAATTTAAAAATTTCAATTGTTATTCATCAACCGAATGAGTATAAAATCATTTGATTATGTTTATCCAGTCAACTAAAGCCAAGTCGAAAAGATGTGCTTATCAGATAAACGGATTACCTTTGTGTTATTTTCCCTACTGAGCAAAAACAGTAACATGAATTAATTTCAAAATGAACAAGTTGTAGAAAGTCATTGGGCACGCCTCACTTATAAGGTTAAACCTAGAAGAGATTTAGTGAGAATGCTTGTAGAATTATACTTTGCCGCTTCTAAAGAAGACTTTAGTAAAGGTCAAGCTGAATCACTGTTGCATTAAGCATCTTTGGAATAGATAAATTAAGTTGGCACTTGCTTTCGCAAAATTTTAATGATTTTTTATGCCTAATAGGAGACTGAACTTTTGCCAGATGTACAGAAATAAATTTGTTTACATTTTCAAGAAGATTGTTTGGTTGATTTTTCCTTTTGCTTGCAGATGCAGTCACCCATTGCAACATTATAATGATCTTAAACAAAATCTAATGCTAATAAGAGATGTATTCGAATCCAATCATCCATGAAGATGATAGCAGAAAGAATCTACAACCATTAATTAACCTGACACAGTCTTTGGTTTTTGCATAACTAAAGATTACACTTCTTTATGACAATTAATTCTGCACCAACTAAGATGAAAGTCAGTTCATATCACAGAGGAGATGTAATCCAATAATTAACTGACTAATTTTATTTGTGTCAAACAGGAATTGATATAAGAATAGAACTTGTGCACTGTGGTAGAGCATAATTCCATTATGGGTAAAATTTATTTTGATAAAGTCTCACAGTGTTATACAGTAATATTTACTGATGACCTCGTTTCGAGCACAATTTGCCCTGCATGCATTAACACACAACCACGCAATAGGGTGGGAGAGGATTAAAATTCTAAGAAGTGATCTAGGTAGATGGAGAGAGAGGTTGATTGCTGAATTCTTGTTCATTGAGTCTACACCCAACACATACAATAAGAATGACTCATCACTACTACTACCAATTAAGTCAAGCGATGGAAAATAATGGAACTATATAAATGAAGTTAGAAAGTTGTTTGAGTACCTTGATATGATTATGAGCAATAATGAAAACTGTGCTCGAAACGTGGTCATCAGTAAATATTACTGTATAACACTGTGAGACATTATCAAAATACATTTTACCCATAATGGCATCAAACAGGAATTGTTGGAAAAAAGTCTATCAGTTCATATGAATTTTACTTAATAGTGAATTAAGGGTTTGAACACCGTGTAAGGAGTAAACTCCTATACAAATTTTATTTGTGCGAATGTCAGCCACTGTGATATAGGTTACTCTGACATTTCTTTCGGTGTCCTGATAACAACAGAATATATAATATAATTAGCACCACCTTTTAAACTTTTGTAGAGCAAAAACATTTCGGTATGAATTTAGCTCATTTAATTCTACAATCCTCAGATCTTCAACTTATACATTAAGTCAGAAATTGGTGTACAATTTGATCATTTAGGATGTCGCAATGGGTTACAAATTATTTGGCGTAGTTTAATGGTTAAGTCAACACAGAATGAGTGTTTTCACACCTATGTTTCTAATATATATATATATATATATATATATATATATATATATATATATAGAGAGAGAGAGAGAGAGAGAGACCTAATTAATGAATACAGGGAAGTGCAAACTATTATGAAGATGACATATGACACGGTTAATTTTATCAAGGAAATGAAATCCTACTTAGTAAAACAAGTCCAATTCATACTACAAGATTCTCTTTTCCAGTTTTATTTTAAAAATTTTCTGTTATTTAGAGTGTGTACACTTGCTCGCTTGGTCTTCAGCTAATATACATGACCAAAATTATATTCTAATGATATCAGAAAATGAGGAGGAACATAAAGATTAATTCTGTTAGGCTTCGTATTGAATGAAATTTTTAATAAAGAACAAAATGACTTCATAAAAGCTCTATTCTACCATAATGGCATAAAAATCAATCCATATTACAAGCCTAGCCAGTGATAAAACATCTTGATAAATCTGAAACTCTCTGTTCACAGTTGATCCGGCTTCTGGCTTGCATTCTCGTGTCCAATCACGATGGAATGAATACAGTTTAATAAGCTTGTAGCAGTATTATTTATGTAGAGTTTGAAGTACACCTTGTGTAAAATGTATATTCATTCGTAAAGCATTTGTTTAGAATATTTATAAGTGTAGGACTTCACATATGTCTATATTTCATTTTAGATTCGTATAGCTTGTTTGGAATGTATAGGAAGACTTTTGACAAATATGACCCTATCCACAGTGTGTGAAGATGTACTCCCTTTTGTCAGCTCTATTCGAACAGTCGATCGAGAATTAGTTCTTGCTGTTTTAGGTAAGTTATTCATTCTGTTTTAAATATTTAAGATTTTGATGTAGGAATTAAAATGTGTGCTGATGTGCATATTTTGTAACTTTTGTATAGTCACAGAATAGCACTCCATCAATCAGTAACCAGCTTTCTTTTTATTTGTTATTCTCTCAGTTTCAAAGATCATGTGTTTATTGTCAATTAATTTCTAATAGTTCATTAGAACGTGTAAGTATACTAAATAAGGCAAACAGCTTTTGACACGTATAGCCGTGTACAGTGCATTATGAAATCATTAAGAAATCAGAGCTACCGCAGTAACGAAGCTGCTGAAGCCACAGCGTTTTTAAACAATAGTAAGTAGCAATTCCCTTGAAATCATCGGTTTTCTTTACACTGATATTTGAATGTGTCTTTTATAAGTATGCACACAAAGTTTTAGTGTAGTTTTGTCTTTTGAACTGCCTGCTTTCTGAATTGAATGGCCCTAGACAAGTGGCAGACGACTCTTGATTTGTCAGCTAAAGGACTGATGTCCCTGTAAAGGTGCGAATCCGTTAGTTTATGGTAGTAAGCTGATAGTGAAAATTCATGACATGAATTCCTTCATAATAATCCATTTGCACAGCTGTGGACATCAATTCGACTGGGAAGACGTAAAATCTCAAGTAGAAGCAACACAAATAAACCTTAAGAACTCCTTGTTGCTCAGATCCCTTGTCAGTCAACAAACATATTAAAATAGACTGAGTTTGTCGACCAATGAAAAAATCACCCATCCAAAAATGTCGGATTTCAGGTCACTGAGATCAGTACCAATACAAGTGAGCCAGTCGTAAGAAAATATCCTCGGACAACTAAGAATTTGCAAAAGCACACTTTATTCTAAATTGAGCGTTGAGAATATTTTCTGAAATCTCTGCAGGTAAATCCTCAAGCTGATTATACGATGTAATGGTACTGAAAAAATTTACGTAAGCTACATGTCTTCATTGTAACGTACTGCTAATTTATTCATGATGTATATAATAAATGTATACGTAGTACAAAATGGAGTCAAAGGGAAAATCTCTAAATTTTTCTTAAGAATTCTAATTAGCTTCAGTCTGAGACTCTATGATATACTGGACAGCAACGTGTTTCTACAGATGTCCAGTCAAAATAGGAGTTTAACTGCGAAGTAACTTTCCAGCTGAAAAGTCGGAGTTGCAAGACCGTCTTGTTGGCGTTTTTTGACAATCTGTCTACACAAAATCTTGTCAGTCAGCACACTTATAAATGACAAAGGGAACATAAACACAGTTTTACTAAGGGTAATTATCATCATACAAATCATAAGTTCTGCATTTATGTTATACAGTTGTTTTCATAAACATTAATTCATCTTCAGAGAAGTAATTACGATTCACTAACACTGTGACGCGATAAAAACGTCCAGAAGAGATTATGAAACCATACGAATGCTTTGTTTTCCAGTGAATATTACAAAGTGGGTTAATTAAGGCTTAAAATCTCCAACTCAGTCACTGTAAAAGAAAGAAAATAATTCAGGCAAAAAAATGTCTCTTTTCATTTATCTATTCATCAACAGCTTCCTATTAACAAAATACGCTTCAAAAATTACGTCAAAATATCTATTTTATATGACTGAATTGTTGTTTAACACTTATTAATCACGACATTACAGTTTTGGCAAACGATTCAGACATTAAATAATGAATACTATAGTTGCAAAAAGAGTTGATAAAAACTGAATAAGTGCAATTCGATGTAAAGTCAAGTTAGTATTACAAGATGGTGGGGTAAATTGCACCTCAGGTAGATGATTTTTGGTGTTATTGTGTTTTCTCTAAGCTGAATAGTTGAATAACAAGTAACAATAAAATAGACGCTTTGTTTTGGTGGACACTTTTAGTAAATAATTACGGAAAATGAGGAAGAAAGAACTTCCGATGTTAGAAAAAGAAGACAGCTAGCTGAAAACCTAGTTTTATTGAGTAAAATTTTTCAAAAAAGGTTAATTTATTTGAAAGGCTTAAGCAAACCATACTTTAAATTTGTAATTTCTATTGTAATACTTGTAGTGATGACATCCATTGTATGTACGTGAAGCAAGCAAGAAGTCACGTAAATGGTCGAGAAATCCTAAAAAAGAACTGCTTGCATCCAGTTGATGATCATTATTTAGGTTTTACACTTCGAATCTTTTCTCGTCCTTGACGGATAACACTTGAAAATTCTGCTGTGAACTTGTTTGGTTGTTTACTTGATGTAAGGAGTAGCTGAATGCATAAATGCCCATAGCAGACACAGAATCACACAGTGTGTTTATCCTGCATACTCCAATTATTAGGTAACTATAAAAGATAGAACAACGTTTCTCAGTGTGCAATGTTTTCTGGAAAATAATTGTTAAACGTTTAGTCAAAATGTTACTCATGATGGTATCACTGAATTCGAGTTTGAAAAATTATACGTATTTCTAAAATTTTTATAGTTTTACAATTGAATTAGTGGCCTGGTAACACATGTATAAACATAAACTGTATGCATAGAAAATGGAATGAGGAAACACTTAAACTCATAAATTAATGAACTAACTAATCTATTTATTATTCAATTAAACTCGACCGAGATATGCAAGTTCATTTCTTTCGTTAATAATCATTGTTTAGTTCAGATGTGAAACAGAACACTATTCATGCCCACTGATGTTTTACGGTCACTATATTTGTCCATTTTAAATGTAAATTTTGTCGCATATTTTCCTAACAAATAGTACTGCTACTTATTTCATTCACCAGAAGTACACATAACTTGTTCAAAAATATTACTATGGCTTATTTAACATAATCATTATGTATATATAAAGCATAATTTGCCTATTTATACTGGATTTATTGGTTCACATATACGTCCAAACCAGGTATATTTACTTAGTTATGTTTATTCAGGAAATTCAAACGTGACCAACTAAAGTAGATTAAACAGTTTAAAATAAATAGAGTCCAGATGTCTACCACTACTAAATTACTTAAAAGGATGTGAGTATGTTTTTTTTTCAGAACTAAATAAATTTTCACCACTCATGATATTTGGAGAGGTCTATAATAACTACTGCCGCATTTTTAATTTATCCCCGCCTTCTCAACTGTTTTTTTTAATTCTTCAGTCAGTATTTGATAGTTTTAGTTTCCTTGTGAATCTTGCTCGAATTTGTACCGCGTGCAGTTATGATTCTCATTTCGGTTTAACTAACCAAACCTGAGGCGATTATATAGCCTAATTTTCTTAACAGACTTTATGCGGGATTATTCAAGTTTAAACACTTTATTTAACTATTCAAACATCATTACTTAGTGCTTTTAATTCTGGCATCTGACAGTGTGTAGCTGGTTGAAGGTTAACAGTTCCTGTTTTTGTCTATGCTTACTCCTAGTTTTTAACGTACAAATATTGTTCTTTTTGAGGAGGCTAAGCCTTTTAAAATTGACATACACTTCTCCGACAGTGAAACAATACATCGTGTTGTTTTCAAAAATCTTGCATAAACAAACTATGTTATGCCTTGAGTAACACTTAATTTCTTGTTTAAATGTATCATTCCAAATAAATAAAACAACTTATTGACTTGACTTGCCACATACAAGATATATTTAAGTGGAAGACGAAATTAAAAAAGTAGCCAGGATGTTTGACTGACTGAATGACTGACACATGAAAATGAATGTCTAAGTCAGGTAGCTTGATGACAGTACTTGACTCAAGCATGTGTGCATGACGAAAATACCCTTTCAGAATAATTCTAATAGAAGTGATAATAGCATTTTTCTAAGATGCATTTTCACCAACTGAGAAACTTTGATTATAGTGCTTCTGTAAAGTTATCCAAATGTTCACTAGAAGGCTAATTCATGCACATGTTCCAGTAACTATTCGCATCAGAAATCCAAGTAGTTTGAAATTAAACTTACATGGGCTTTATATAAATGTGAAGTAGCGTGGTCACTGGCTTTACAATTAATTCACCACTCATCACCGTTACCAGTATTCCTGTCCCATTTTTACTTTCATTTTTCTAGTGTTCTGTTTTAAAGGTCTATAGTTACTGTATAGCTACTGAATAATTCTTACTTCATGAAACCTGATGAATTTTCCCCACATTTAATAGCTGTTGAACTCGTACTCAAATTCCACTAGCCTCTTTATACTTCACCTTAAAATCTTGTGGTGATCTAATGACAGATAAAAGTCTTAGCGACCAGTTATCATCTTAAACATGAAAAGAAGTGTGTTTGCCATAATGTCGTTTGTTTCACTCCTAATTACAATTAAGCAGGTTTTATTCATCATTCAAAGAGATTTCATTTGTTATGAATGAATTTGCATAGAAGAAAACCTTAGATTATTAGAACTCAGATGGTTTACCTACATTTTCATTTCGGTAAAGTGTTTAGTTACATTTTCTGGAATGACCTCAGTTTTATTTAATTTTATTTTTTTTTCGAAATTAACTGTTTTTATGCAATGTCTTTTAAATATTTTCAGCATTGGTTTTGTAGGGATTTTTTCTTTTGTTTGATTGCATGGAGGATTTCATCATGAGCTGACATCAGTTAGAGAACCACTGGAAAACCTATGAGTTCTGGACACCTGTTTCGTCCTAGTTTGGGACTCTTCAGCAGTACGCGCCCACCGGGATTCGAACCCAGGACCTTCTGGTTACAAGGCGACCTCGTAGACCATTGAGCCACTGGGACCCGATCCAATGGTCCTTGAATTCTAACTTCCGCCAATTCACGACATTTGTAAATATTTGTAAAGAATGCATCTGTCTTTACTCAGATAGTTTTTACTCTTGTTTGAATAAATGGTATATACTTAATTTAAAACAATTAGTTCCCTTTATGAATTTAGATAAAGCAATAGGAAGACGTAATTTGTCTGAATCGTGTAATGTATTTGAGCAACACATTTCGAACAATCTGATCACACACGGACTTGTCATAGGAATATATATGAAATTAATAAAGAGTTAAGGGGTGAGACAATAAATTTAGGTTGAGTTAAAAGGACATATTCAAGGTCAAACCAAATAGCAGAGGTTATAGTGTAACAACAGAAGACAAGGGCCAGGCAACAGATCGTTTATTAAGGAAAATCAACACATATTTATAGATTTTAATGTACATTATTGTAGATTATTGTTAGTAGAAAATACGGTCTTTTGATTGGTTGTTTCTCACAGAAAGTTAACCTTGCATCTCTTTGTGGCTGTGTCAGATCATCCATATGCTAACTGTATCTGCCTACGCAAAGCCTTTGTTCTCATTTTCTCACCACCAATATTGGGGACATAAACATTGACGTCAATTACTGTCTACCAACTTTGGCTAGCAGCCAGCTCTCACCACAATAGTACATCTACTATGGTATCAAAACAAAATTTACCAAGGAAGGTTTAATGTGATGACGAATTGTTTTTGAACGCATAAAGGTGGTTTAAACTTTCTAATTGCTAGGGCTTCCACAAACTTTAAGATACGCCCCAAACACGTTTTATAGATAGGTTTAAAAGATGTGTTAACGTCAATTTTATGTCCTGTCTCTATAATATGTTTCGCAATAGAGGATTCTAAAGATCCCACTTGTTTCTGGAAGCCCTAGCAATTAGAAAGCTTAAACCACCTCTATGCGTTCAAAAACAATTCGTCATCACATCAAAGCTTCCTTGGTAAATTTTGTTTTGATACCATAGCAGATGTACTATAACCTCTGCTGTTTGGTTTAGTGGTCTTCATTGTTATTTTGACCTTGAATATGTCCTTTTAACTTGACCTAAGTCTATTTTCTCACCTCTTAACTCTTTATTAATTTCATATATATTCCTATGACAAGTCCGTGTGTGGTCAGATTGTTCGAAATGTGTCGCGCAAATACATTACACGATTCAGACAGATTACGTCTTCTTATTGCTTTATCTATATACTTAATTGACATCATACCTACAAATATTCTCAGTTTTACTGAAAACGGAGTACTCTAAAGCTGTCTAAATTTTCATTAAATGCATCAGGATTTGTTCGGCACCAACGAGAAAGCACATAGTAAACAGAGAACACCGAGTATTTAGATACTTCACTCATCGACTTGATTAAATTGTATCCGAATGATCTAATTTATTCCAGCATTTTTGTTACGCTGAAATGTTCAACGCGTTGATTCCCCATTAGCGTCATTTGATGGGAAACATGTCCCTGAAACTCTCATTTATATCTCTTAGGCAGTCAACAAATGCGTTTCATCCTTAGTTAAACAAATTCGTAGTACAAAACAAGAGAATATCAGGACTTTAAATGGGATCACTAAAATTTTGAATTTAGAAGTTCATATACCAGATATTCTCTTGAATGATTAGCATCAGAGTCTTACTCAGAGAAGTGCAGTGCTTTCGTTTACAGTTATTATTTTATTATTGATATATTATTATTACTCCTATTGGAACGAAGGACTTTAATGACATATCTCTGCTGCATTCGATTCTCTACCACTTTCTGCTGGTTCCACGACTGCCCACAAACTTTCCTTTCCTCCTCACATGACCCTTTTTAAATCATTCTCCGACATTCAGCCCGTCGGTTTGTGTCTGGGTTCCAGTCGATTATCTGACGTATTATATCTTTTGAAAGCCTCTGTATTATTTTTTTCAATCCATCTTCGTTTTCTGCATATTTGTTGGACAATATGTTCTTGGCTGTTGATTTTCTGACTGCCAGAGTTAACTGTTGTTTACTTATCCATCCTCAGTATACAGCTACAGTCACTATTGATGAAAGTCTACAGTCTGTTGGAACTGTTTTAGGCGATGCCCATGCCAATTCTCTGGACCATTTACACTGAGTAATGAAAACATATCTTGCTTTCCTGATCATTTATGGTTTTTACAGCTGAGATGCTGACTAGGTCAAAGAAGGAGATCACTTCCTTTAGATTTCTTCAACTGATGGTTACTTCCCCGTCACCCTTATTTGTAAAATAGGTTTTTTTCTAATGTTTAAGTCCATTAATATTTCAAATGATAATATTTGTTAAATTAAACACCCACTTAATTTCGAAAGTAAGTGACAGGAAACAAATGATACGTCTTGAAATTTAACAATTTCATCATTTCTTTTCTTATCATTTTAGCTTTAAATCGTCGACTTATATCAGACAGGAAAGGAGAAATTTCTTATACCTACATAGCTGGAATGTTATTACCATCTATGGTTAACTTCCTAGCTCTACAGACACTAACTATTTCTGATGTGAGTTTGCTAATTATTTATATGCCTGAACCATATCGATATGTAGGTTGTCACTTAAAGTTATTAGGAGAATCTTATGTATTTCATATGAGCTTTGATTAATAGGTAATCTGAAAGTTCCACAAACTTTTTGCGTTGATTGAATAGTCATATGCAAAAATCTCAGCGACCATAAAACAATTGATTCCAACTTTTTGTTTACTAGTGGTTTGGGTGTCATCAGGGAAACAATCTAAAATTTAAAAAATATCAGAGGTTTATGTGGGTTGAAATTCATATCTTTTATTCAAACTCTTTATCCAGTCTTGTCTGAGTTCTAAATAATCTTCAAAATAACATTATTAGTCATTTAGTTGTTCGCTGTAAACAAAGAATTTGTTTGTCTACTTATAATGTAATCTACGTATGCCAAATGAAACTAGCTTTGCTTGGGTTTCGATAAAATGCTGACACCATTACGTTTGAAAAACACTTATAACACAAATTTCTGATCAGATGACTTTTGACAGCTAACTAAACATACTTTCCAGCCAGAATAAAGTTTCATTTTTCTCATAAACGTAGGGATTTGCAGTTTATTACAATTATACTTTTTAATTTTGGTAGTATTTCGAACGAAATTACCACTTTTGATCACACCAGTTTCTGAGATTCTCCCAATATGATCATCTAAAATAATTTCAGTAAGAATATCACTAAAATAAAAACTTGTCATTGTGTGTACTCAACCATGACTAAGATAATTAAAATAAATTAATCCATTTTACAGTGCGTTGGTGGTGCAGCTGTAGAATGCTCGCCAACCACGCATGTGTTTGGGGGTTCGATCCCCGGTGACGCACTCCTGTACCTTGCTAAGCCAGTAATAAGACTACTAAAGAGGGAAGGTTGGGCATACGGCTAGCAACCCCATCCTGTAAAAATAAAAACACCATGGCTACCGAAACTTCAAGCCTCTAGCTTGAAGCCCTGTGTTACACTGGGAACGTAAAGGGATAGAAAACCATTTTACAAGATATAAACTTTCTACAGACAATAGGTATTCGCAGCAGACCTCATAATTTGTGTGTATAACATTATGCGAGCACTTGCGAGTTCATTTTTCTTGATAATAGTTATGTTAGATCAACATAAGCACTTTATCTGTTAGCTACCTGAACTTCAATTATCAGTAACACTTCGTATTCTCATTTAATCAGTAACAATATATATATATTTGTTAGATAGTGAATCGTTATCGGCATCAAATGGCCGAAATCAATTTCATGGTTTGACACCATAATCTCGCGTTTTCATTATCTTGCTGAACAAAACTGTTCATTTGTTCACTGTACTATGTCTCTTTATTTAAATTTACAAATTTTCAGTTTAGGGCAGTCATTAATTTAACACGGACTATGTTGGATTTAATTGACCGCCAGCGTTCAATTGAATTAAGGTCTCAAACTGGTTCAAAATCAGCCGGTGGAAGCTGTTCTGATATGAGGTTTGTTATTAGTATTTTAACAATCAGCACCGAAGTTTGCCAGCAGAACGCTTAAAAAGCTAATTTATACTATTGTTATTATATTATTATTATTGTTTCCTTTAACTCCTAGAGGAACATAGGCCTGAATCCTGAACAGATGCAAAATTTATCTACAGAATATTACATACTATGTTTGGAATTGAGTAACAATGAACAAAGTCCGATTCATACAGAAGTGTAATGCTGGCTCATCTGAATAGGCTACTGATGTTTCTGATTTTAGGCACAAATTTCACATACTGTTAAGTTGATTCACAGTATTATTTGAGTTCGAAAAACATTTTTCAGCGAATAAATAGGCGTTGAAGATGACGGCAAATATCTACAAGAGAACTAAATTTTTTGACTGTTATAGCTTGAAAGCTTAACAGTGGATTCATTATCGTCATGAAATGATTTTCAAACGATATAGGTACCTTTAGAAGTTTCTAAAATATTTCACTCTCTCCAAAAGAAACACGGTGCACATTAGTTTCAGTTATACAGTATGAAATTTAAAAAAGAAGAAACTCCATACTGATCGGTTACTAGTGAGTTATCAGTGTGATTTGTCTAGTTCTTATCATGTCTGAAACGTGGTTCACCATTGCCATGAAATACTGACGATCGCCTTTGACCAACAAACATCAAAAAAACTTATTGATTATCTCACAGAACTGCAGAAAAATGTCATTTGGTTAGTCACAAGGATGATAAAATACGTCACTTTTGAAATTAATATTAACATATTATCAGTTTCTTCAGCCAACAGTTATATAATGTTATATACCAAAGACGCCTTTATGAATTTCTAAAATACAAACCCACCTTGCTTATTCCTTTTCTCAACCTTATTATTATTTTTTATTTTTGTTTTCACAGTTCACCGTTTGCCCCTCCTCGAAATCTTCCATTAATTGCTATGCAGCGTCCAACAATAGATTCGGAATTACTATGTGCAGATATGGATGATCCAAAACTTTCAAGATCAAGTTTAGGTAAGATATATATCTAATAGACACTGTGTTTACTAACCTGTGTGCAAGATTTATACATTGAGGGATTCTAAATCATCCATTCCGGTAACCCTCAAAAAAACAGATGGTTATGTACTTCATTTATGCGCTAAAATAAACACCACCCGTAAAGGAATAGCACCAATCTAAGAGATTTACGGGATAGTCAAACAGTAAGAGTCTGTTAGGCACTTAATCAACCTCATGAATGTTTAAAGGAAACACCATATATTGAGAATACTTACTGGGATATTTATAATAGACTCCTAAACAGAATAAACACTGAAGAAATTTGGATACAAAGCAGCTGACAAAGAAACCAAACGGTTGGGTTAAAAGCAGCTTAACACAGGTCACCAGATAATTTGACCTGATGCTTTCCTATAGCCTACACCCAGTATTTTCTAGCAGTGATACGCTTACTGTTAAAGAAGATAAGTTGTGGCAGTATGTACAATGAGAAAAACTCCATTTTGTATAAATAACTAGTTTTAACTAGTTGATTTGTAAGGATAAGATTTGTTTTTTACTCGTAAAAATGAATAATTAGTTTTGGGAATAAAGTGATTACTGTTATTACTACTGATGGTATAAAACTGTTAGCAGTGAAAAACAGGAGTATAACTAAGGTGTAGTTGTTTCGCCTACAGTTTATTCATAAATTTTTATTCAAAACAATGAAATCCCAAAAGACAATAATTTTACTTCATAAAACACAATAAAACAGTGTTATTTACTGATAAAGTTATGATGATTAACTTTTGCTCAAAACGTCATCAGTAAACAATAACGGTGCGTCGTTGGCATAGCGGTAGAATGCTCGCCAACCACGCAGGTGGTTCGTGGTATGATCCCCGGCCGATGCACCTCTATACCTCGCTTAGCCAGTCATAAGACTGGTAAGGAGGGAAGGTTGGGCATGAGGCTAGCAACCCTCTCCCGTAAAAATAATCACCACTGCTACTGAAACTCCAAGCACCTAGCTTGAAGCCCTGTGTTCCACTGGGAACGTAAAGGAATAAAAAAAATAATAACGCCGGATTACTGTGTGCTTTTATCAAATAAAATTATTCTGTTATGGAAATGCACTCTGCCACAGTGACCAAATCCTGTTCTTATATCAAAACAATGAACTTACTTGCTAACAAGAAGATTGCAGTTAACTCGTATGTTCCGCAAAGTAATTTTTTAACAACTATGAAACCTACCCAGTCGAGTATTTCACCTATAAATCTTGCGGAAACGCTGACCACCGTTAGTGCTGTGTATATTTAGTGAATGTACATACGACTTAAAAATACAAACTGATTGTTTATTTGTTTAAAATATTAATTCTTTCGTCAGATTATCGACGTAGTTCTGGCAGTGAAGTAAGCGGCACTAGTCGCTGGAGTAGGAATAGTTTGCTGCTCCAACGATTGCAAGCATCACAGCATCGATCAGAGAGCCTCCTTTTCAACACAAAGCACAGAAACTGTAAGTTTTATCATAATGATAAAATTTATGAATATATTTCCAAAAATTATGCATTTACTTGCATTCATCTTAGGTTGTTGTTCCTGTGTACTTGGGTAATAAATTTGTTTCCAGTGTTTCTAAATTTATGGAGTGAGTTTGCGAACTAATCGACTAAGATAGTGCACAAAGATTTATTGGATTTATTGCTCTGAACTGCGTCAAGTCAATCAAAATTTTAACACTCTATTTATTCACAGCTGGAGTTTAAAAAGAAATTATACTTTAGCACAACGCTTAAGTTTCACATTTGTATTCAGCCCTAAATTTGTTTTAACATATACTAAGAAGACCAGCCAATGAGTTTTATTCGCGTATGCGAATATATTCTGGTGACTGTGTTGCTTGCAATAACATCAATGAATTCCACATCTCAAAGAACGGTCGATGATAAGAAACTCCTAGAAAGATTACATCATGGGGTTCAGATTCATTCACTAGCTAAAGAACTGAACTCAAATTTTCGATGTGAAGTATTCTGGTGGAAGACGTTAAGTGAACAAATAAGTTCCCATCTGCATTTAATTAACTTATTATACGACTAAAAGCGAAGCAATGGTGCACAATTCGTAGGATTACAGAATCACTAAGAAGGAAAATGTTACTCTCAAGAAAAGAGGAATAACTGTTTTACGCCTCAGTAGTTTTATGTGGAAAATCACAGTAGTAATCCGAAATCGACAATATTTAAAAAGCATTAAACATGACTTTCTTAACTGTAGGATGACAAAATAAAATTAAAAGGTTAAGAAGGTTTATTCCCTAATAGAATTTGAAAGCTAATTTCATAGATGAGTACCCACTTTTTGTGAATGAAGCTACGTACGAGAATGACTAACAATAATAACAACATATCACCCTTCCCCCCCCCTCACACTAAACACAAACAATACACTGGTTTAATGAACCTGTTAACTATTCAACATATATTTATCAACTATGAATAAGACTGTTTCACTGGACATTCTACAACTAAAATATATTAAGAGTGCCTTTCTTACAAATCCGAGTTCAATGGCATTCTGTGTTACTGGAGTAGGAAGATTTTATTTTGCTACTCCAGCATTTTTTGTCATTTTTAAATAAACAGCTGCCAAACCAGTCTGAATTATTCAAACAGTGACAGACTTTAAACCATTTTTTCGTTTCGGAAATATTTTAGAAGATAGTCATTATCAAATCTCCCTTCAAACAGTTCGATAAACCCCGATGTTGCTTACTGTTATGTCATAAGCATAATAATAACAAATCTCTATTGCTGATAAATAAAAAAACTTAAAATTTGCATAAACTTGTTGCCTAAATACTTGTCTCCGCATAATTTACGATTTCACTTTCTTAAAAATGCTAATTAACTTGCATTAGTTTATATAAACCTGTTTTAAAGCAGTTGTCAACTTTGTCCCTGATATTTCGGTTGCATATTACTAAGAAAATTATTACATGAATAGTCACTAGTGAGTAAACTATGTAAAGGGTTCTAAAAACTAAAATGTTAACGCAGAGGACAATGAAAGTAATTGTGGACCTATATTTCCAGCCATCAGTATATCCTTTTAACCAGAAACATTGAAACATCCACTCCACAAACTCATTGTTTTTAACAGAAATTTATAAAAGATACTATATAATAATCCTTTTGATATCTTCTCTATATATCATCATGTATCAACTTGTCATAATTAACTGTCAGTAATATCAGACATTCATTAAATATGTTTTGAGCAGGGGAAACAGCATTTGTAAATAAGGTGTATGGAGCATATAATATATTCTTGTCCACTGGCATGGTAATTACTATAATTGTTGGTCTTACAATAAACTCTACCAGACTCCTTTTTATATAAATATATATATGTTGCGAAACAGAACAAGGCATCCAACAATATCTTATATTTGGTCGTTTGTAATTAGGGATGTGTCACAAACAAAACTGCCAGATAAGGAAAAAGCCATTTATCTACATTATAATGACTTCATATTATCTCCGATTCCCACATTCTAAGAGTTTTAAGGTTTCGTTTATTATTGAAATACTAGTAATTATAACTGAGGTGGAAATAATGAATACTGGTTTCTTCTTTCTGTTTAGGCTGACTCTGGGGGGGGGGTTCTTGACATGACAGCTTTTCACTCACCAGTTTTGGCAGAACTATTGTAGGTGTGTCGCTAGACTAGGTATTGGAGGGTTTATATTACAGATGAAATTATGAACACAAACTACGAATGGAAATCTTCGTCACTCAGCATCAACAACAAAATTCGGATCTTCAATACAAACGTCAAGTCAGTCAGTTCTTCTATACGGATCAGAAACTTGGCCAGTGTGTCACAAAGAATATTTCCAACAGGTTGCAGACCTTTATCAACAGCTGTCTTCTCTCTATACTCAAGATCAGATGGCAGGAAAGAATCACCAACAAGAAACTATGGGAACAAACAAAACAAGAACCAATCGCCCAATAAATATGCAGGAGAAAGTGAAGATGGATTGGACACTCGCCAAGGAGGCCGTTGGGTGACATTGAGCGTCAGGCCCTCGATTGGAACCCGAAAAGGAAGCGGCGAGTGGGACGTCCAAGGGTGACATGGAGAAGATCGCGTGAAGAAGAGTTGAAACAGTATGGACTAATATGGATGCAATTGAAAAGTACAGCAGAAGACAGGAGCAAGTGGAGACGTGTAGTTTAAGCCCCATGTTCCACTAGGAATCCAAGGGAACAATAATAATATAATAATAACTACGAATGACAGATAAATCTGTCTGCCAAAATTCATTACTCAATAGAATTAGGAATCAAGGAAAAGAAGTTTTATCGAACAGACACATTTAAGAAAGAGGCTTCTTCGTTATAAAATCTAGAAGTGCAAATCACTTCAGGCAAATCCTGCTAGTCTACTATATTGCTGATAGTACACAGTGTTGCAGTAGACTGACTTATTTTGATAGAGTTCAAGTGCTAGTTTCGAGTGGTCAAATTGAAAACTTTGAAAATCATTCTGACTACTCATTCGGAATTACCATTCTTATCTTTGTACTGGTCACCTCCTTGAGCTTAGAGCTACCCAACTATCCTCTGCCATGAAACGCTCTGAATTATTCCACTTTGTATTTGTTTTCACTAATCAAAGATGTCGTTATATCATACAGTTTTACACGAGCATTTTAAAAATGTTTCATCTTATCGCTTTTCATATTCCCCATAAATTGGTAGGAGAATAACAAAGGGGATGGAAATAAGCATTTGGAATATTCAAACATAAATCAAATAACTATCCTTGAATTATTTAGCTCAATTTGTAGATGCTGTGTTTATTTCTCTTGACTTTATTCATAAAAGGGATAATTACGTTGCAGTATGAAAACGCTGAGAATTCCATTCTGTACAAAAACATTATTTAGAATAATGTGACTTATTTCAGTATCATCTCAAGAAATGCTTTAAGTTTGAGCTAAATTTATGCTATTACTTATAAATTTATAGGAATAATATTTTACCAGTATCACTTGCCTGTTTTTAGAGGCTCGGTATTTTAATTTTCCTACTTTCCCTTCGCTTTCATTTGTGAACACACATGAACAGTATTGTCCAAGGACTGGTGTGACATTTTGTCGTAAACTACTGAATGAGACTACGTAAAGATAATAGCGAGATTCGGTTTGATGGTTGGCTGATCAGCCTGATAACTGCAATTGTCTTTCAACTTAATGCAAATTGGTTTCTAAAGTGATTGTAAACCTAGGGAGAATTTTAACAAGATATAATATGACGTTATACACAATTACGAATCGACAACTTTACATTCTGTGATTATTTACTGAACCATTAATTAGAAACAAAAGTCCCTAAAGAAGTTCATACCATTTTGCCAAACGAAACGTTGGGATTATTTATTTCACTTTCTCTAAGATTTTTAAAAATATGATTTTTACGGAAGTTTAACTTTACTAGGATGAGGGTGTGAGTAGTGCTCCACATTTTTTTTGTTTAATATCTACACAATATATCCAGTTGTGACTGTCTAATGTAATATTCTTGTTTTTGTACCTATTAATGAGTGGTAATCTAAACACTGTAATAAACTGTCTAGACAAATGATTAGGTTTATTTAGCACTTAGTAAGCTGATAGACTTATTACTGGTCCGTATTCACTAATTACTGTACAGGGTTATGGAATTGTAGATCTACTTTATGCCTATCACTTGATTTTGTTTAATAAGCATTATTTATGATGACTCCAATTCAATTCGACTTTATTCATAAATCATACAGTCTAGTAAAATTTTAAAAAGGCTAAAATTAACTCACAAATATAAATATATATATTGTTTTTTTAACTAGACGAGGTTCGCCAGCTAACTTAAATTACATTCCCCTGAAATAATTTGTTGCTTCACTTCAACAGAAATAAAACTTCTATTCGACAATACATTTATTCACAATATAGAAATAACGTGTCGAATAAATAATAAGTTGAAAGAAGCCATCTTTACAGGCTTTGCCAATGTATTCATATTTATCAAAACATATAGCAGTCTACTACTTAATGATAGAGACAAGTTGTTTCACTGATTCAGTCACCTAGGAGTGATTTTTAGAGACTGAAATTTAAAATTAGTTAATAATCAACAAGAAAATGGCAGTGAGCTGATCTGAAACTTGATAAGGCATGTGCTGTTACTAGATGAGTAGCCAGTTGGACCATTGCTAAAATAAAACCTATTCAAATAGACAGATTCATTCCAAAAGTTCCCAGATTTAACGGGAATCTTATAATATAAAGCTAATGTTTTTATAAAACAGACAACTTGTTCCCCGGTTGGCTATTCAATCACACAATTTCCAAATTGAACAATTACATATCACCTTGACAACAATAAACAAAATATTCTACAAACTATGCTAAAAACTAAACTCAGTTTTGACCAGTTTTCAGGAAATGAAAAAAAAACTACATGATGTTAAAAATAGTTGTAATCAAATGGATGTTTATAAAAAGAGTAATACATTAACAGACCGGATGCTAAAATAAGGTCAAGTGAATTAAGTACAGTTAATAAGAAAAAAACATGTTACACGGGTACTGTCGGGAGAGAGTGCAGTCAAGTTTATTGATAGATTAGTCTTTAGACAAGCTGCATTTCCTCTGAATCAAAACAACAAAAAACTTCTTTAGAACACCATCCACAACATTGAAATTGGGGTACTTGGTTTTCAGATTCAATAAGTTCCCTAAAACTGTATACCAGCTTTTTTTTCTCATCCTTAGCCACTGGAGATCACCGATTCTGGAATGAAACCTCAAGCAATCCGAGCTTTAATTATCATGCACATTCTGGCGGCAATTCTCGTATAGGTGCCAGTCCTTTCTACATACAAAGTCCAGTTTCTGGAGATTTACACAAGATACGAAGATATTCTGGAAATTTGCCAACTCGGTCAATGGAAAACCAGGTAACTCTATAGTTCAATAACTAGTTGTTAGAAGATTATTTGAAAGATAATACAAGAATGCGAAAATCGCGATGTCAGAGACGTGGTCGTGATGTCATCCTCTGAGAGGACGTAACCAGGGTTTTTGTGATATTTCACAGACCTGATAGAACGTAAAATGAAATGCTTAGAATGCCGATAATATATAGGATGATCTTAAGTTTCTTAATTTACAAAAGAAGGTCCAGAATCTCTTGAAGCCCCCGGAGATTATTAGTTGATAACTCGGCGAATTTGTGTGTTTGTAATAATGCATTTCCAGCCTGGAATAGAATATTAACCGACACTTCAGCTACTCAAAGAAGTACAATTCTGTAACTGTGAGTCACCTTTCACTCTGCGAACCGTTTCCTTACGAACTGTCATGTACTGTCCACTGTTAAAATCTATGGCAAACCGTGTAGCGGATTTCTTCTTTTCTTCACATTTCTTTAAGACGCAAGCACAGTCGTAAACTACACTCACATAAGATTCAACAAATCTCAGCCATTATTTGGTGGTCATGCTTTCCCATTCTTGATATCATTCATTCCTGTCTAGAACATCCATAGCATTTTATGTGAATAAAATTTCAGAAGTAAATTACAAAATTAATAATTTTAACTACATCTTATCATTGGAGCTCAACAATAAAACTTCATATTCAAAATTAAATTCTGATAATGGGATCATGAACACTCTGCACATTACTTCAACCATCAAATGCAGTGTCTAATTTATGAAATATACTTAATATCATGAGAAGTAAGTTACTGGATATAAAAATGAAGAAGTATTTTTCCACATATCGGAATATCGAATTGCTAATTTGAATTTGTTGCTCGTTTGTTGCATTTTAGTCTGCTTCAAAGGAACCGCACTTATTATGCCTTGCACTGACTAGATATTCAACAGACATCTGCAAACTACCGGATTTAAACATTTCTGCCTCTCAGAATGCACTCGTTCCCTATACATCAAAAATTTAGTGAGCTGATTACTATGAAAAGATTATGTATATATACATATATACATGATGGATAGATATCACTATTTATGCGAGGATATTCGTGTTACATTTATCACGGGGTCAGTCGAATTTAGGGTTATAACTACACCCTGTGGTGATATCCCAGTTGTGACACATGGACGAAGTACTAATTTTTTGCGTTCTCCCTTAATGAATTCGTGCAGACACTTATACTGAAAAACACCAAATAATTTAACAGTATTTTCTGACGGATATTGTAAGTTTTGCTATCATATCGTCTTAGCAATAAATTGATAAATAATATTTCATTATTGTTTTCTAGGTGAACGCACTGTAAAAAATAATTTCTATTTTATCTCTTCATTCAAAGGACAACTTAGGTTCACTAAATGTCCCAAGGTACAATAGTGGATTTTTGGATCCCAGAAGACATAGTTACGGTTTCACACCAAGTACATCAACAAAATCCTTGATTACTGTTAATGTATGCGAAGGACCTTTTGTTACTCCTTTCAGTTATCGTAGTTCAATACGTCGAAATTCTGGTTGGAGTTGTGGACAGTTTCCAAGTTCTCAAGTGAGTATAACTACTTTATAAAGAAATCAATTATATTCGAAAAAGTAGTATACAGTTTCTATAACAGCTTTAAACAAGTTAATTGGATATTGATGATGCTAATGTGAAATGAAAGTGAAGTGGGTTTGTAGAAAATTAACTCAACATAATTAAATTTATTTCTCAATGAGTGTAAACCTAGTAAGCAAATGCTTCATGGTTGGTATATCTTATATCTGAATTAAGAATATAATGCCAGGTATGTTTTTACCAGGATTTTTAATGAAATAGCCAATAAAGTATAGATATTATTTTGAAGCTGATACAAAAATATTTGAAGGTACTTCTGTACTAATTAGAATGGATTTTAGAATTATCTCTTTTAGTATTAGGTTACTTCAGAGATGTCAGATTATGAGATAGGTGCTTCACGACAGCCAGTGATAATACACAACTTCAAGTGAATCGAAATTTCTCTTTGTGCTATGGTGGTACAAGGTTGAGTGTCTCAGTCACTTAAACTCAAATTTGCTGTATTATAATGTAAAGGAAATTCAGCGAAAATTGGCATAAAATGAAGCCAGTTACAGTATTCTTAGTAGAGAAATATAACAAGAAATACAAAAGTGATAAATAAGATAAAGATCAGAGCCTGATTTCAGCATTTTAAACTTTATAGCTGTTTTATCGAATCTTACAGTCAAAGAAATACTACAAAACCACTTTTGTTCTCGTAACTAAACAATATTAAACTAGAAAAATGAGATACATTTGGACGTAATTAATAAAGCTATTTGTATGAAGTGAGTGACAGACAAAATGTCTGCAGAGGTAATCTAGTTTTTCAGAAAATGAAAATGTTATGTGGGAGATCATCTTCCTGGTGTTTCTCATAGCAACCTTGTATGGATACAAATCGGGGTGTGGCAAAACGAATAGCAGCATCTCCCAGGACTTAATGCTCAGATACAGAAAGAATATTTCAGTATATCTCGACAAAAACAAGCTGTCTTTTGTTCATACTGATTTGTCTGTAAAATACATGCATCTCATAGAGGAAAGGCAATATTTGCTACATGAAATTTTGCACAAAAGTTATTTTTCATGAAAATATTATACTTTTTACATGCTAATGAGCAGTAAGTTTTGTTCGGAATTTCATTCACTAAATGTCACCATTTAACTGTGTGGTGTGGTGCAGGCGAAAACCAAAAAACTGGCTGAAGAAACCATCCGCGAAGACAGGACTCTAAGTGAACATAGAGAAGATGGAGGGATTGAAGATAACCAGCCAACCAACAGTAACAACAACCAGTACCAATCACCATCAAAGGGAGAGATTGGACAGATGTTACTTCCTCCATTCACTTACCTAGGAAGCACAGTTTCAATCACAGGCACACGTCACGGATGAAGATGTCAAAGCCAGCCAGCCAGACAGAATTGGAAAGGCAAGATACGCCTTCATCAACCTGAAACCAGTTTGGAAATCATCTGCACTCAGTCAGCATAAAGAATAAGATTCGGATTTTCAACACCGATGTCAAGTGAGTCATTTCTTGTAGATGGGTCAGAAACTTGGCGTGAGTGTCACGAAAAGGATTTCCAACAGCCAACTGCAGACTTTTCTCAGCAGCTACCCACTTCCCTAGCTCCATACTGAAGATCAAATGGTTAGCCAGCCAGAAAGAACTCGCAACAAGAAACTCTGGATGGGAACAAACCAACAGGCAAGGGCCGATCGCCCAACAAATATGTAGGAGAGAATGGAGATGGATTGATCCGGCATACGTTGAGGAGGCCATCGAATGACATCGCACACAATGCAGGCCACAGCTCCAGTGAAACCTGAATGGGTAACGACGAGTGGGTGGTCAGTGCGAGGGTAACATGGAGATCGTGCAAGGAGGAGATGAGAGATTGTTGGCAATCGTGGACGCAGGCGAAGAGGGCAGCAGAGAATAGAACAAAGTGGAGATGTATTCCACTCGGAACCCAAAGAAATTAAAATATTATGATAACTGTGTGATGTATCTATTGAATAAACTAACACAGAATGATGCGCAGGCACAGTAACCCAGTATTTTGTTTGATTCTTCGTATCTATGACTAAGTTGTTGTAAAAATTCATTATAAATAAAGCACATATCATGAACATCAATCTGTTGTAGCCAATCGGTAGGTAGCCTAACACCTAGGCTTCGGATTTATGAATATCTTGTTCATCACATTCACATCAGAACCCCATTAAATTACCATAATGATATCATGTTGTTATTTATGAAATTTCTTCTGATTATGAAACAGCAGCATTCTGAACTCAAGTTTTATGCTAATAAGCTGAAGATAGTTTAATGGGGATATTCTTTCATAATAGGCGTACTTTTAAAGCCATATGGTCACATGTACCCATTTAGTTGATTGACTTATGTCTTAGCTATATGTTTTTGCTTGGGAATTATGCTAAACGACGTAGTAACCACAGAATTAATCAAATAGCTTTTATTTTGAAATGAACATTGAAAGTAAGTATGGTAGTTACTTATCATGACAGACACTGCAGTCATGAACAAAATAAAGGGTAAATTGATGTAAACGCCACACAATTTGCTTGTTATACTTTGTTGTTTATTCCACGTTTCTGTAATTTCCACATTTCCTTTACAATTTTATGCATTAGGCCATATATATATATATATATATATATATATATATATAAGACAAACGTGTTGTTTTTAATATGTAGATTCTGCACTACTGATAAGTCTAACATTAGTTGAGAGTTCAGTTCTCAGACCATTGAACCACAGGTTCACTTTCCAACTCTCTTGTTTCTTTAAATGAATATTCTGTTACTTACTGATAGATAATACACTTTTAATGCAAAATAGCATTTCGTTTTGTACATCTAAAATTAGTTATTGTGTTTAAAGAAAATAGTCGGTATTAGCCGTGACTACAAGAAATAACTTATCAATCCGTTTTAAGTGTACACACAGTGTTTCAGTACATATTTATCTCGCCAATATGAAGCTATGGTCACATTTCCATGCTGACAAAACAAAAAGAACACATACTTCACACAGCACAGTACAATTTATAAATGTGTGTGTATTTTTATTTCGAAAATTAGGTGGTGAATACTACAGCTGAAGATATTCAAAGACGTTCCAGTTTGAATGTTATAAGTGATCTGCTGGTGAGCTAAGTAAAATTAGTCCATACTACCACTTACTACTAACACTAATAACACTGTTGTGAAAAAAAAATATCGTATCCCCACAAAGCTGACGGTATGAAAGGCGTTGCTAGGCTATTCAAATATATATATATATTTATATATCAATAATTGTGTGCGAATTTTATAAAACTGCTGATCCTGTGTTTGAACTACTTAGCAACATGCCTTACACCGACAGCTCTTGATAAAAAGCATAATATTGAAGTATCTTTGTGTTATAACTCTGTTGTGCTTCTGAGTTTATTTACACCCCTACATGTGTTTTTATCTCATTCGTTGTATCTTAGAGAAATAGTGTTATTTTCACCTACTTATTGGACTATCAACAGAATTTGGTCTAGTGTATTTAGCGTGCACTGCTTACTAACGTTTAACTGTTTTCGTTGGTTTTGGTTGTTTTTTTATGTCGCCAATCGTGTTCTCTAGCTCACACCTGATTAAGCATGATTTTCTTTACCAATTGATCTTGTCTGTGATAACTTTTTGTTAGCCTTCATTAATTAAACAGCACCATAGTTCATTAGAATTATATTTCAATGGTGTAAACACAGTGATAAGTGATTTTTCATTTTGGTAATATTCCGAGTAAAATTACTGTCGAAACTGCCTTTTTTTTAAAAAATTTTAATTCCATCGTAGTTGCTTACAGATTTAATCCTGTTTACCAAAATAGAATTGATAGACACTGTATAACTTAGTTACTCCTTCATTACCAGTGGCGTCAATTAAACGCCAATAAAATCCTCCATATTCGAAAATATATTGCCAATAAACACGTAAATGGTGTATTTCAACACCAGTGTTAACATCCACATTTGGTAGAATTCAGATGATTAATAATGACAAGCTGCTTAGAAACTTGAATCTGGCACGAAAATGAAATATTATGTGTGAAAGGGTTTTCATTTTAATGTCATTTGGTTTCTATGTTAAAACCGCTATCTTACAAGGTGGAAATAATGAGATCCTAGCATCTGTTAAATGCTTATGCATCCAATCATATAAAAGATCCATTTTTATTTATTTCACTTTGAGAGGAGTAAAAGTGTACAACTAGGATCTGTCATTCTTGTATTTCAAGTAATCTGAACGTCATGCAGACTGTGGGAATGTTATTGTTAAATATCCATTTTCGATTGTTTGTAATCAGTGAATACATGACTACTTCACGTGTATTAGTTATGTGCACAAGTCTTATTTACTTATCTTTCTTTTTGAAATAGGTGTCAACATTCAAGAAAGTTTTGTGAAAGACAATATCAATACTGCTAGAAAAGAACTAAGTATAAATTAAATTGTGGATATCGCCGTTATTATTCTTACTATTAGTATTACTATTATTACTGTCAGAGTGGTGACTGTCTGTTATTTTGATGTTTCTACAATTTTTTTTCCTCTTGTATAATAATACTTATTATTATATGAAATAAAAGAAGATTCAATGTTCAATGGGTTCGTTTTCCTTCACTTCTAATTAGCTCGAATTAATACCTAGACAGATAAGCCATTAACTGTTACAAAAATTGTTGTTATTGACAATGCTTTCTAATCACGTGACATGAAATATTCTGTAGAGAAAAATGAAAAGGATGCTTCATCTAGTTAACTTATTGTCAACCACTTTTTTTTAAAGTTTATCTAAAGAAAATAAGATTATCTACAATACTCAAATGGTGACAAACGTAATCAGTTAGACAGGAAAAGTAGAACCTTTAATTTTCTGCACAATAAAGGCATTGTATCTCAGTTGCTAGATTTTTGTCATGAACTAACATCAGTCAGAGGTATCAGTGTAAACCAGAGAGCACTGGACAGTTGTTCCGTCCTATTATGGGACTCCTCATCAGTACGCACCCACGCCTCCTCCAGTGACTGAGCCTAGGACCTTCAAGTTACGCGACCAATCTCGTCGACAAGTGAGCCAAATGGGGTCAACTCGTCAGATAGCGCTCCTTTCACCAATGCCTTCGATGACTGGTCACGACTTCCCTCTGCAGCTTCAGGAAATCTATCCAGTACGCGACAGACGTCTTGCATGATTGTTATCTATAAAACACGACTGCGGAACTTTAATGCCACACGAGTGAGATTTAAATCACAAAAAGAAAACAGTTCTCCACTTAGGAAGTATACTTATTTGACTGGTGTTATAAGCGATGAAATCGAAATTTGCAAACTGATTAACCGGTAACAAAATGTTTTAGTACCAGGTATCTTATCTTAGCATGCAAGTAGTTCCGACGATCAAAAACTCACTATAGGATTATACTTGTGAAGGGACATTAGTATTTCTGAAGAATCCTATGTTGTTTCCTCTATTCAAAAGGCTACAGTTATGGTAATCCATATGCGAAAATTGCTTTTACAAATTTTTACTACTTTTAACCATTTAAGTAGGAAAACTGAGTTGATTCTCAGAAATAAAGTGATTTATCAAAGTTTATTTATGAGAAATGTGGATACACGCAAACATCTTGGCAGAGTTAAGTTTCCGCTTGGTTATCAGTTTCTAGAGAGTTCATAAACCCAGTTTAATAGTTCGAAAGACACTGGGCATCAAATATCTTTAGTTTAATAACTGGTTTACATTGATGTAAGTAACAATTCAGGCATTGTGGAATAGATCAAATAAATTATAACTATACTTCACTGCTTTACACACAAGTTTTTTGTTTTGGTATACGAACCCAAGATGAAGATGTGGCTTTGTATTACGGAGATAGATGACGATGTGATTCATTGTAAGCTTTTTGAAACCCACTCAAATAGTTTGCCGGCTTTTCGCTCAGAAGCAGTATTATTTCGATACCAGCTGTAATTTGATGGACTGCTCAGCGGTCATTGTGTAAGACCTTGTTATCTAAAAAATAAGCTCGTCCATTCCTTATTCTTATATCTGTGCACTAGTGTGTAGTCAGCTTATGTTTACTGTTTATTAGCAGTCAACATATTTGAATGTGACCAGAATCCTTTAACATGGAGTATCGCAAATAAATAAAGATGGAAACATTTTCAGAGATTTAAAGGACCGGGTTTCCAGGCTGTTGGCTTTGGGATAATTTTGCACCCTAGGTACAAAATCAGTGACAGGCATTCAGAAAGACTGATTATTACAGAGGAGAAACGATCGCGAATATGTTGTCCACAGGGAAACTGAATACATTTCATCTGCATCAAGTAGTAACTAGAGAGCATATTGATTCCTGCTCAACACTCAGAATCTGAATATACTTGCATCTCAATGTTGATGTCTTCAAAGAATCATCAGCCCAGAAAAATTCACTTTAATTAACGAAAACATTGTAATCTAAGCCATTTGACTAAACACGTCAGACTTTTATAGAGACTTTAAACTCCTCCTGTTGAGTTCATCTAATGTCTCCGGTGTTTTTAATTTACCAACTTTAGTTTTTATAACCTCATTAGTTATTCCATTAACTACTGTTAGAAGAACTCTTTAGCAAAGGCAGTAGGCACCCACTGGGGTTCCGACCCAGGACCTTCCGGTTACAACGCAAGCTCATATACCATTCAGCTACTGGGACCCGACTCGATGGCCCATGAATTCTAACTTTTCAATGGTTCTGTAACTGATATCAATCTGTGGTCAAACTCGTAAAACCCAAGTCTAATCCTTACAAACCAAATATTGAAAAAAATCGCACAAAACTAAACCTTGTTGTAATTAATCGATTCAATTGATCTTTAACAAGTACGAAACTCGACGCTTATAAAGCAAAGTTTCAGAAGACGTTTTAATGACTAACGTACTACATCAGTCTTCAATTAGATAACAATCTGGAATAAATATACTTCCAAAAGAATGGATTCTGAACAAAGAATATTCTTTGCGATAGCTTCGTCATCAGGCTCTTGTATCTACCAATTCAAATGCGCCTGTAGAGCGAGTTATATCGGCCGTTGTTTGAGGAACTTGATATTTCGTGCTCGAGAACATCTCCCAGTATGGCTAAGTAAAGGTTTAGTGAAAACCATCAACAGTTCGATATTAGACCATCTGGTCCAAACCAGCCAAAAAAACAGTGTTGAAGTATCCTTCTCTATCATCTACTGGCTTCCAAATAAATTGCCAAAAACATCGAAGCACCGCACGCTCCAAACAGCAGAGGCTATCAAAATTCGCGTGAAACAACCAGTGCTTTGTGTGCAAAAGAAGCAAGTCCAGCCACCAAAACTGCCCTGGCCTTCGGTAGACTATAAATTCATGAATTTGTACTATTATCTTTCCTAATTTTTCTGACATTGAGTTTATTTTTATGTTGATGCTATTGAACTGTAATCCATTTATATTAGTATTATTGATTCGATGTTATTTAAACAACATTAATGTTGTTCATTACACTAATTCATTCACTATAACTGTACAGCCTGATGAAGTTATCGAAAAGAGTATTCTTTGTTCACTATCTATTCTTTTGAAAATTTTAATGAGCATTTTTAATCAGTTAAATATATACCATTAGACAATCATGTACTCTTCAGTTTGGGTGTACGTCAGTTACATTGATTTCACATCTACGAGGAATTAATTATGACACAAATCTTAAGTCTCTGAAAGTATCAATACCTTAGACCTAAATCGAAGCATAATATTTACTGCTGCCTTCCAATGAAGTGAATTCTACACATTTTTCAAAAAGAATCCCCACTGACTTCAAAAACAGGTTGGCAACTTGGTACTTGTTGCACATCTAATTTTTCATCTCAGACTATTTTATCTCTTGACTATACCTCTTAACTTATATTTTACAAGTACCAATGTTAGGCTGAATATCGAAGACGGTTTTCTTTCAAAAGAAATCAGTCTTTTTCTCGTTCATATAAATGCCATAGATCTCCTTCAATTTCAAGCAAAACTTCGTCGTAAAGGCCATTCCATTACTGATCGTTTACTACACAAATATTTTGTACTGGTCCAGGTGCACTACTGACTGGTTTCAACATAGAACTTTGCACAGATGTGCAGCACTTCACTTAGCACACAAAGCAAGAGAATAAAGTAAAAAGAAATGCAAAATAGACACAGTAAACAGAGATATGAGGTAAAAAGAATAGTAATATCGAAGAACAATATAGTTTTATCGGGTATTATAGGTCACAAGGAGTGGATGCATATGCGCCAGCCATTGAGAACGACTTTGAGCCATATCACCAATTGTCTCCAGCCTTCATTGGTTTTTAACGCCCCAGGAAGTCTACACCTTCCTACGTAGCTTGCTTAAACTAACTTTTGTGGATTTCATTGACTGATGAGGCCATGTTTTGGTTTGACCACCACTAGCTCTTTCCCACCCTGACCCTACGTCAGCTAACCTCGCCCGTCGAGGAAGGCGATGGCTAGGCATGCATACGTAACACATGTCCTAATCATCTCAGTCGATGTAACTTCACAGCCTCATCTATTGATTTTCCCTCCTTACCTAGCACTCGACTGAAGCCTAACCTCAATATTGCTCACCCTATTATACCAGTTCACACGGGAGATAGAACGCAGGCACCTATGATCAAAGACAGCTAGCCTTTTCATGTCTTCTACTCCCAATGGCCAGGTCTCACAGCCATAGAGGTCGAACGGAGCGGACTGCTGAGCAGTATACGCGTCCTTTGGTCGATAGCCAGCCGGATATCACGTCTACGTCAGAGACGGCGTAAGCTGGTATATGCGATACTAGCCTTCTGCATCCCTGCTGAGATTTCGTCAGCGATCAACCCGTTGGAGCTGGCTGATGCGTCGGTGACACAGTGGTTAGGACTCTCGCCGACCATGCACATGATCCGGGATTCGATCTCCTGCCGACGCTAACCCGATATCTATGGTCGGCCTGCAAAATTCGGGCTACCGATATCCATGCTGAAAATTCCATACTTGTACTGAAAATACGGTGTGGCATCAAGCTGTAATCAAAATAAAATAAATAAAATAATAAAAATAAGTAAAGCGGTCAACGTGCTCTACCACTGCACTTTCTATTTCTAAACTAGGAGTCAATGTAGTCCAGTCATGTAGCATCATCTTACATTTGACGGAAGCGAATCGCATACCAAACATACGAGGATATCTGCTCAAGGTGCTCAGAAGATCCTGCATTTTGTCAGCGTCTTCACCTAGGAGGGAGGACTATATCATCTGTATATTCTACGTTAACGAGATTATTCCCCGGTAACACTTCCAAAAAGGTGGACTACAACTTTAAAAGTTTAAAGAATGTCCAATATGTAGCCTAGGATATCTAGAATGATATGCAGTGAATCAAGTCTAAATTAAACATTGTCAAAATCAAATTTTATAACATAAATGAGTGTTTATGCGTTTGTATGAAGCATATTCTTATCTCCTTTACGGATTTATGAATATTAACTGGTAAATACATTTCTTTAAAATTGTTCCCAAATGTTTATCAGATAAAATAAATCCCAACTGTTATCTTCTCATCTATTCACACGACCACTTCTTAATATGGATAATAAATCATACGAACAATAGATATGATTAGACATTATTTCGAAATTCTGAATAGAGGCTAATTCACTTGAGGTATCTACACACTTCGTTAATTTAGTGACATCGTTTGATTGAGCAGTTTGTGAGTGTGGAATCATTGACCTAAATATGACAGCACTATCAAGTAGGTACTAATTCCCAACTGTTAGGTCAGTGATTTAATTTATTGGTGGGAGCTGACTTCTGAGGTTTGTGATCAAGCGGGTGATTGGTGTTAAGGCGAAGATCTCAGTAGCATTCATTCACTTTAGTCTATATCCATGAACTGGAGGGTATTAAAATTTAGTCCTATAGCATCATATTATATTTCAAGGAATTGAAAAGCATGTCAAACAAATTTATTTGTCCCGAAAGTTGAAGAGAATGTACATAAGTTACAGGGGGTATCCAAAAACAGTAGAACTCGACATCCTTTGTGACCATAACTAGTGACCGTTTATTCGAATAGCGATTCTGTATAAATCCAGAGACAGAATTAATTAGTATAACAGACTGCATCGGCACTTTATCCAAAACTAGACATACGTGAATACAACTCGTTCAATGAGAAACAAGACAACCCTTATGTTAAGAAATATGTCAGGTTGGGGGCTGTCTTTCAAGAAATACTTTAGTCAGACATGAAGCCAAGACAAGCTATTGATGTATGGATTTTCTAAGCCCCAGTTGGCCCCTAAACAATTACGGCCTGTTACTATGTGAAATTAATGATGTATCCTGTTCTGAACACTCACCACTGAAACTAAAAGACGATGGTGATAATACACCATTTCATTGGTCTCAGTGTTGTCAAGTCAGAGTGAGGAGGTAAGAAGCCAAAAGGTTTAAAAATACAGAGTAGTCATACTGTAACTACAGAAGACAAAGGCTAGGCCACCGATCGTTTTTTGAGAAAATCAACAGATATTTATGGATTTCTGTAGGTATTATTGTCAGCGAAGAAGCAACATCTTCTGATTGATTGTTTTCTTGCTGCAGGTTATTCTGTTATCTCTTTGTAGCCGTTTCTTAGAAGGTTAAGCCACATATCTGTGAATCGTATTTGGATGCGTTAAGTCCGCTGTGATCGGTTGGTGAGTTCCTCAAGGTTAAGCTTTGTTATTGTTTTCCTCATGACCCTGATTCAAGACGTAACATTGACGTAAATTGTTGTCTACAATTTTTGGCTTGCAGCCAGCTCTCACCACAATACTGCTCTATAAAATATTGACCAGATTACTTCACCGGTTTCTTTTTCATAGTTAATTAATTACGTCACACACGCCCTTTGATCAGTAGCCGAATTTGACGTCTACGCCAGACGCCATGTTGGATTGGTGTGATATAGACAATGTGTCCCAACGGAATATGATTCTCACATATTCCCACAGTTCAATATTCCATTAGCAACAGAATACTGTATATAGATTAATGTAAACCAAAATCAAACGCTCAGTGATCGGTTAGCGAATATAAACTATATATATATATGTATATATATATATATATATATATATATATATATATATGTATATATATATATATACATGGGGGTTGAGAAATTGAAAATACACCTTTACTTCCGTGTATCATTCAACAGCTGCATGACAGTGTCGCTTGTCAAGTGATTTACAACAGGAATTTCAGCGAAGCCTTCGGAGCGAACATAAGAGTGAGACAAGCCTGACTACTACCACCGATGATATTCGTGATGGTGGTGAATCATGCAACAGGGCATAGAGGGTTGGGGGGTAAGATACTGGAAGATTAGGACCTCGAGGATTTTTTTATGTCTAGTGTGAAACAAGCTCGAAAACTGACAGGCCAAAAACCAACAAGTTGGCGGAAGAGGCGGGAAAGACAGGACTTTGAGTGAACATAGAGAAGACAGAGGTGATGAAGACATCTAACCAACAACGACAGCAAGCAGTAATTACCATCGACGAGATAAATTTGAAAGAGCTCACTTCATTTATCTAAGAAAAAGAACATTTCAACTGCAAGCAAGCCACAAGGATGATGTCGAAACCAGAAACAGAAAGGCAAGACAGAACTTCATCACTCTGAAATCAGTTGGGAAATCTACTGCACTTAGCAGCATAAACAACGAAATTCGGACTTTTCAACACTAATGTTAAGTCAATTCTTCTATATGGGCCAGAAACTTAGCGCGTCACGAAAAGCATTCCCAACAGCCTGCTCCAGTCTTTTGTCAACAGCTGCCTTCGCTCCATAACTGAAGATCATAGTCACAAAGGACTAGCAACAAAAAACTCTGGGAACGAACCAACCAAGAAACTATAGCCCAACAATTATGTCAAAGAAAACAGGGATGCATGGGACACACCAGCCATCATTATAGATTCTAAGTTTCCTCCCTCTACCTATTTCTAATGGTCTTAGAATAGATTTTACTCAAACAAGTACCTAACTTTGCTTTTATTAACAAGCTTAGCTTTTCGAGAAAAAGGCACTTGAACACTACTAAAAGCGTTCGTATTTATGCTGATTTTTTCTAATAAGAAGAGGTAGTGAAATGACATTCAAATCCTAAAAATTCTGTGCATTGAGAAATAGATCAATTTTAATTATATTTCAGTAGTTGTTTACATACATTACCGAAGTCGAATTATTACCAGAGCTGGTGTGACTTCATTTCAACCACTTACCTATAGCGCCTATTGGACACTCAAATAGGTACTATTTAAAATTAGACCTTCGATCTTCACATCCACATCACAATTTTTATGCTTACCGAGCTTATGGGATAACTTATCCTCAGTCTTATACCACAGATTCCATTTGTTATAATGTACATACAAATGATAATTCCTGTCCCTGAGCCTATTATGACACCACAACTAAAGAGATATGGCATTGATATCACCGGTTCCTCCTTAGATGTGTATATATAATGCGTATTTCTGACACTGGCAAAAAAAATTATCAACACGATTTGCTGAGTACAGTTACTTTAATCGATGAGCTTGGAAAAACCCTACACTCCTAGATTTCCTGTTTGTAAGCAATACCTTTTATGTGTATTGAATTTTATTTATTTTTCAAATCACTCACAGCATACACATGTTAATAAAAAGACAAGAAATGATTGCATGTCAGAAGTATTGTATAAAAAAAAGTCAAGGTTATTTTAAAACGCTTATTATGCAATATATATCTGCAAGAGGTGCAGTGATCATTTACTGACCACTATGTAAGGTCCGATTAAAAGCATTGTAAGAAGAATCTAAATCGAAAAGCATCTGACGTACTTCGGCTTCAGATAATTCGTCGGAAGCCTGCATTTGATCCATTTTATCTAGCCTGAAACAGAAAAAATACACATAAAGTACCTTGATAATAACATTTGTGTGTGTGTGTATCCCTATTGTAAAACTACTTAAAAACGACATTTAATGAATAAAGTTATCAAACTCAGCATCGAGATTATCTAAACTAAGTAAGTTTGGCTTATTCATCAAATGCAAATAATTTGAATACTACGGGCACTTCATGCAGTTTATTCTGAGAAACCTAGAGGCATCTTCCGAGATTATTTCAGTGGCCTCGACGTATTTGAAATGTTACTGCAGACGCTTTTATACGACCCATTGTTCGTTGCCTTTAGTTAGAAGAATCGGAGGTCAACAGATAACGATAGAAAGCTGCGGTATTTTCTGCTGGCTTAGCTTCTGTTAATGCACAGTAACTTTCTGGATGGACTAGGGGAAATTATGTGAATTAGTGTATGAACGCACTCGAAATTGAAACCAGTAACAACGCGAATGCAGTTTTCTTGTTTTTCCTACTAGCAAAAGTAGTACAATGACGGACGCCATCATGAATGTATCTAGTGAAAATGTGTGTCTATCCATTTAGTCATTCTACAACATTTCTGTTTTCTACTATCTTCGTTTTGTCGCTATATTATTCTCTGTAGGACATTTTCTCATGTCTGTGTTGTACTAAGGTAGTGTTTAAACAAGTTTTGAGAAACTACAATTTTAGCTTAGTGACCGAGGTACTGTTTGCTCAAATGTCGAGCAACAGGATCGAAATAACCATAACTAATTTAGTCTAAACAAGCGGTGGTTGAGACTGTGCTGTATCATTGTTGAAAGTTCAAAATTACTTTGCTATCTCAATTTGAACAACACTTCGATCATTCAGGGGATTCACTCCGCTAATGTAGGACATGCCTTTGTTTACAATCAATAAAAAGTACCTTAATGACCTTCTTCGTTGTCTAATAAGCTCAGGAAGAGTCATTTATTAGTCAACAATCAGGCTATCTATGAGATACCATCAGATTACTAACACAAAGATGTTGGTCACAGTTGAGGATTTTGAAAGGACAAAAGTAAGGAATACTCCAAGTAAACGGCTGATAAGTTTCCAAGTAGATAACTAGCTTGAAAAAATTAAAATGAATGCATAATGAGTATTGCTGACTGGAGTATTGCAATATTTTTTTAAAATAAGGAATTCTACAAACTAGAGTCAAAAATATTCTTCAAAAAAGCTTACCAAACTTTCACTTTATCTTTACCCTCGAAATCTGAAGGTAAAATGCTTAACCGAGAAATGGTTTCATATAACTCTCGAAGATCTGGATGGATCTGTAGAAGATAGTTATCAAGTGCTTGAATAACTTTACTTCATCCATTGCACGAATTTCTAATCGTAACTTGTCCATAATAGTGATAAACAACTGTTATAAAAAATTAAAAGACAAACAAAGACATAACTATTTACTTCTGGAACAAAATACCATGAAAAGGTTTCACAGTTCATATAAATTCGCTGGGAAGTAAGTCAACTTAAAAACGATAACAGCAATTAATTAATACTAATAATAGTAATAATAATGACGTGTAACTAACCCATAATATAAAGGTTTGCTCAACGGAAAACAACTTAAACGTGTAACTGATCGGTTAACCTAAATATTTCGAAATTGCCTGGATTAGAAAATATGTGATTGTTATGAAAGCATAGTATTAGATAAGGATGGTATGTTCATAGACGAGACTACGCAGCTTATTTGACTGAGATAGCTGGAACAATCGCCACACATGTATTCAATTCTTAGTGTCTCCCAGATTCGGGAAACAATGTTACTCTTTTTCATGTGGTTGTGTTCTCTGAGCTACGTGGTTCAATTTGCAAAGCTTTCATTGGCCTTCTAGATGTTATCCAAGAGACGAATTCTTGAGGCCAGTCACAAACGGCCCATTTGGGGTAGCAACTGAAGTTATATCCGTTTGAAGATATAATCGCCAGCTAAGAACTGCACCAAGGTAAGTCGTGATGTACAATCTTCGGAGTCAACCTTTTCGAAACCCCTCCCCTCATAGAGAGAGAAGGCAGAATAGCTGACCTGCTGGTCGTCCGACAGAAACAATTCCAGCATTGCAATATAGTCTTCAGACTCTACATCATTGTGAGAGACTTACGCTATGACGGTAACTGCTTATAGTTTAACTGCTATCCAAACGACTTTACTGAACTTGTGACAACATTCATTCCAGCCAGTGTACCTCGTTGGGTCATTGCAACATCAAAGTCCGACCACCACGTACAAGAAGCAACTACCCATCAGGGTAAAGAAAACGGAAAAGTGAATAATCTGACAAGATTAGACGGCTTTAGGACCTAACTGTGGGTGTATCGAACAGATATTTACTCCGTCAAATCCTGCAAAACAGGTACACCTGATGAAGCCCTAAAATATATGCATCTTGTGAGGAGAAAGAGACTTTTAACCGATCTGACCAAAGACTCTCTTTGCCGAATCGCCCTGCACTAAATCAATCCCATTAGATTAGTGGCTAACGAAACTCGTACAAATACTGAAGATTGTTTTACGCCAAGCTAAAAGTAACTATATCAATGGGTGGAATCAACCATGAAGTCACTGATTATCGACTTTCCAGTTGGGATGAGCAAAGAAAGTCTAGAGACTACAACTACCTTAAAATAGAGTAGTGTAGAATACATCTTTGTTGTCATCATCATAATTGTCGTACAACATTCCTAAATTCACTTTACTTTTTCCTTTAACCTTACAGCCCCTTTACCGGATGTTCAAAAATAAGGTGAAATTACTTGTACCACTAGGCCGATATGATGACAGTATCCTCCTGTTCGTATATAACCATAACAAGATTTGAAAAACCAACTATTAATTAAGTGGAACTCACAGAAACAGTGTCAGCTATACATTTGTTTACATTTTGTTTATCATCCTTGATGGTTATTGGTCTTCCCTCTTTAATACGCTCTAGAGCAGCTGGACAGTCCATCTAAAATGTAAACGAAGTTTAAGCGCAAACAGCCGCTAAACTTTATATTTTCTCATGAAATCTTCTACAGTAGCGAATTCATCACCTTGAACCTGCTTGAACGCAGCCTTGTACTGGACCAGAAGTTTTGAGCATGCAGCTGTATATCTATTTTATGAAATAATCTTAAGATAATATAACTCAACTCTTTTGATTCAACATAATCCTTTATATATGCCTTTTGTAAACACTGTATGGTATTGATGACAGCATAAAGTTCAGCAAGATTGTCATACCTATAAGGTCCTATAAATTAATTTCAGGAACTAACTTCTCCCTTTCACGTGCAGTACGATAAAGCTTTACTTCCTAAAATAAGATCGAAGATAATATGAATGCCAACATACTTCGTACAACTCAACACGACTATCCACTAAAAAAGGAAACAAATATAAATTGTCACTCAGAAAAAACTCCGTAAATCAACATGAATTAGAGACGATAAGAAAATTTACCAAGGTGTCTAAATAGTGACAGTAAAAAATGAATAAACGACTCGCGGGAATGATGACAAAAGCTTTAAATAATTCACAGACCTGAGGGTGATTATGAAAGAGAACTTTTGAGGCGACTAAGTTGCTTATTCAGCGTTAGGCAACGCATCACTGTCGCTAAACATCTCTTTTTCGATGGATACGTTTAAAATGGATGTTCAGACTTGTTTACTAGATAATGAGCCTTATCTGATAAAGGCTGATGACATTACATCCAGTAAATTCAGATATCATTTTGACAAGTTAATCAGTAAACCTAAGCAATTCTTCAAACGTTACCGATTCATGAAGACTTAAGCGCACAAACTGTGTTTAAATGATGAACACATTATCAACTAAGAATTTCGAGCAAAAACGATGTACTTTCTACAACAGCATGCTACTAAGTCATTTGGTGAGTACGAATAATAAACCCCACTAGCACCAACTACGAATGAGACAAAATAACGGCAGCAAAATTACTTCCCAAAATTGTTTCACATGTGATCCCCACAAAGCTACAAAATCACTATACGGGGAAAATGATTTAATGAAATGGATATACTCGCTCCAATAAGTTTGTGTTAGCCATCATCTGATTTCGCTGATCAGATGAGCCCAATACCACTTTTAGGACTATGTATTTCTCACCATCAGCAGCTTACTCCTTGGGTTCTTAATGGGACATAATGCCCAAAGGACACATCACCACAACACTATTCTTTGTAGATTTATCTTAACTGGCTTCACGACCGTCCAGAAGCTTTCATCTCCTCTTCGCACAGTCTCCTCTATGTCACCCTCGGACTCCCAACACGTAGTCTCTCATTTCAGTTCATCACAAGGGACTGAAGAGTGATGTTACTCGACGGTTTCCTCAGGGTATGTCTAGTTCATTTCCATTTCCTTCGGTATATTTGCAGGATAACAGCTGAGCTTTCCGTTATGGGTAGCTTTATTACACAGTTTTATGCAGCCTTTACAAAACCGATGGTCTGTGTAGACAGTCAATTACTGTTTTACGCTCTGTTCTACAATGATACACTGTGTTGCAATTTGGTCCCCGAATGAGAAGAGCCTGTTATGGGTGAAATTTTGTATCATTCAGTTTCTCTAGGACGATGTAGCTAAACACTTGGCTTAGCGTGGACAGGATCACGGCTCTCGCAGACTGACAAGGTAGCGATTCTTCCTGACGGCCGATACTTTTCCTTCCTTCCAAACATGCTATAGTGGAGTGGCCGTGTAAGTTGACTACTACATTAGGCAACCTTTTATGCCCACTCCAGCGACACATCATATATTTCACATTTTCACCTATTTGGTTGCAAAATATGCATTAGGACACTAAATATGTACTTTTATCTATACTGCTCACTTATCCAGTAACGACGAATCAAAAGGTTTTCTTACTACATAGTGAAAGTGCAGTATGATGTAAAATGGCCAAGTAAGAAGTATATTACCTGATAACCACAACTATTTCCTGGTAATATATTACTCGTCATTCAGAGACACCATTTGCTTGGGAACAAGCTGGCTACTAAAGTTAATCCTCGTTTAAGGGTGGATGAACTGGTGTCAAAACAAGCTTAAGGATTTTAAAAACTGCGTGTCACACATCAATAAGTCAATTCATTTATCTAGAAGACATTTTTTCAATCATATGATTTCGTGAAAAAACTGAAAATTTTGGTTTTCGATTATTCAAGAAATATTGCTAATTTCAAAAATCAAGATTAAATTCAATGGAACTGAATGTTTCTTCCCTCTACTTCCACAGACGTAAAGAATTATGAAGGAAATGTAGAATGGGCTTTTAAGTCTCTTTATGCCTTGTACCACCTAAGTTAAAAATTAGGAACTGTTTGTTATTCTCTAACCATAACATGCTTTGGAGTTATTCTGATGAACGCTGACAGGCGAGAAGTAACACAGTAATCTTAGTGTTAGCAATAGTTCTACACTTTCGTATGTGGTGAGAATCCAGTATAATAACACATATACGAGCAAGTACACTACTACATAGCCGAGGGACTGATACCTTACGTACGTTCAGGCCATAATAAACAAAACGTAACAACTTACTGATTCGGTCGTGTTTGAAATTTCCCGCCAGTCAAATAAACAACTAGCCTAGCTTGTGATTGGTTAGTTTCACTCCTATGAAATATTGCCTGTTGTTTGGTCTTTATAGGAGCACGGAAACGTACGTATACGAAATACACAGCGTTTTTCTGTCTCCTTTTCGATTTGAAAACAATTCTGGAGTCCATTTTTTGACAGAGATGAGAAAAAGTTTACAAAGACCTGAAATTCACCGGATTCAGTTTTCAGACTCAGATTATAAGGATAGAAGGCTCTTGCTGCCTATGTTAATCCTCCCAATATATATCTCTGCAGAGATCCAGTTTCTCTTTGAAAACGTCCACCGATGGAGCTGTTACTACTGAATCAGGTAAGCAGTTCCAGTCGTTGACCACTCTGTGAGAGAATCTAAACTCCAAACGTGTTTTATTCGACGTCGGTTTGAGCACCTTCTTCTGGTGACCTCGTAAATGTATCCTAGATGGAGAGAAGAGGTTTGAAAAGTCGATCCCTAAATCACACTTGAATATACGGTAAACCAAAATTAAGTCTCCTCTCCTCCTTCGTATGATAATGGGAAGAGATTCAAGTGCTCCATCCTCAAGTCACAAGGAAGGTGTGAGATACCACTAACTAATTTCGTTCTTAACCTATGTACTCTTTCCAGGATGTGTGCCTCCTTTTTGAAGCATGGACTCGCCGCTTGTATGCAGTACTCTAGATGAAGTTTGACATATGTTGCATAGAGCACTTGGAACATACCCTCGTCTAATCGTTTGAAAGCCCTTCGAAGTGCCCATAGCATTCGAAAAGCCTTAGCTGCGGCTCGATTACAGTTTGCCGTTGTTTGTAAGTCATGTCTAACAATAATTCCTAAGTCCTTTTGTCCCCTAACATATGGCAGTTCTGTGTCCCCCATGGAGTACGGTGTGTAAGACTTCTGACCCAGGCACATTACCCTGCTTTTCTTGGAATTAATTTCCAGACTACAAAGGTTAGCCCATTCAGCTAATTTGTCTAGATCGTTTTGTAGTACCAACCTATCATCTTTACTATTTACGGTTTTCCATATCTTAATATCGTCTGCAAATAGTAAGGAAGATGAGTTGAGAATTTTCGGCACTTCACTTACGTATAATAGGAATAGCAAGGTGCCAAGAACAGTTCCCTGAGGTACCCCACCTAGTACTGCTTTACAACCTGACAATACACCATTAACCCTTACCTTCTGCCTCCTATCCATCAGGTAGTCACTAAACCACTCACATAAGCTTTGGTCTAATCCATAATGTTTAAGTTTACTAAGAAGACCTAAATGGGATACCTTGCCGAATGCTTTACTAAGATCGATAAATACAAGTCCAGTAGATGGTTTTTATCCCTGGCCTCGACCCAATCTTCCCTAGCTAACAGTAAGTTTGTCAAGCAGGATCGTCCTGGTCGGAATCCATGCTGTTCCACTGCCAGCAAGCCATGTTTTTCCGTATGAGCTAAGAGCTGATCCCTTATAAGTTTTTCCAACACCTTTGTGATAATGCAGGTCAGACTTACAGGCCGGTAGTTAGATACTAACTGCCTGTTCCCATCTTTGAAGATGGGGCTTATAAAAGCATCTTTCCAGTCCCTGGATAGCCTAGCCTGGATCAGAGACATCTGGAAAATCTCCGTAAGTGGAATGTATATTACATCCGCAAAGGAGATTAGCAATCTAGGGTGGAGTCCGTCTGGTCCAAGTGATTTACTTGGCTTCAGCTAAGACAGTAGTTTGAGAGTCACTGCATCATCTACCACAATTGGGGGTATTTTAGGGGCTACATCTGTGACCTCGCCATATCCCTGAGTGTCACGATTAGGTGAGAAAACATCACAAAACTATTCGGGGAGCTTCACAGCTTTTGTTTCGTCTGCCTCTCCAGTGTTGCTAATGAGGAACGGTATACCACTGGTAGTTTTGGTCCTGCATTTGATATACGAGTACAGTATTTTTGGATAATGTCTTCAATAATTTGTATCAGAGTAGCCTGTATCAACCCTTGTATAAAGTTCCCTTCGAAAGGCTTCACTTAATAAGTCAACGCCACTAGGATATTTTTGAAAGTTATATAACGACAACAATGTATGAGTTCAGCGGTATATAATTCCCGAAATTATTAGACTACAATGAGCTTCATTCAACGTCAGATGCTGTCGCGCACTGGTTGGGGTGAAGTTAGGTGGTTAAGCAACAATGTCATCTGAGATGCTGTTGCGTTACGCTCGGTCGTTTGTGCACAAACACCGGCGAGTAAGCCAATAATCACAGCTCTAAGTTCCTGATTCGGAAATATACCTCGGATCTTGATCTATTAACTAGTCGTTTTGATTTGCCTCTGATTTCAGTAGAACGAGCGCTTCAGAATTTACTGTTTGAATACTTGTGGTTGTATTAATTGTGTCCTAAGTAGCCATCGACTTCATCCCTCACCTAAATGAGAAACATATCTCTAAATATTTCTTGTTAAGCAATGCTCTAAATATTTTATGGTGTCCTTCAGAAGGCTTACAGTTTTCAGATTATAAAGGATGGCAGAATTATAAATATATCAACAATCTTGATTTGCAACCTAATGAAATGCCATTCCAGCTATTAGTGCACTACTGGTTGTCAGTTGACGTAATCCGGAAGAAAATGCAACAGGGCCACAATTCGACTTGAGGAAGATACGCCCAGACGTCGATGGCTTGACTGGAGTTTATAAAACTTTAAGCTGATATAGTTGCAAGTAGTCAACTGTAGAAGGGACAAAAAGCATTGAAAATCAACACCCAAATCCTTACTTAAAATGTACACTGCTGAAATGATGTCAACCATTAATCGCTGAAGTGAAAATCAAAATCAGTCCGGGGGAACCAATCTCTCAACGTTATGGAGATTTAAGCATCCCTTGATCAACTTGGTACACACTCTTGAAAGCTTTTCTATTAGCTCACACTTGAAACGGGAGCTAGCTATCTGGCTTACGTGTGTCAAATTAAGCGTGACACAAGTCGGATATAATACTTAAAATATATCAGTGGTAACGCTTACAACTGAATTGTGGACAGCTAAAAGCTTCATGAAACCTTCTACAGTCTGCTACCTTGCGGTCAAACGAGGCTTTCAGGTCATGGTTTACAAGCACCCCTAATTCCCTATGGTCTGCGACCGTTGGAGTTGCACATATTGTCATCATCATGATGTGCATCTGCATGTTTTAACCTCAGAGATCCAATACCTGAACTACTTAACTAAAAGATCTGGATTGTATTTCGGAACTGGTTGGTCAAAGCCACTGTCTGAAACCCTGTAGGACTCAGCATCATATGCAGATGTTAAACAGCACGATTTCATCAACAAAAGTACCTCTGTCTGGCTACTGTTTTACTTTGTAGAGCCTCATTCTCTCCTGTTGGACACCTTCAGCAGATGAAGTTTGATGTTTATATGGTGTAATTTTTAGTGTCACATAAAGGAAAGAATAAATTATGTCTTAGGTGTTAACTCCTACTTTTAGCTTGCTTGGGCTTCTAAGAATAAATTGTCTGGGCTTTAGCTATGAACGACTTCAGGAATGCGACTACGTCGTTAAGATAGCCTGCGTTGCCAGAATTTTGATGATTTCATATTAGGAGACTCATAGAACGTGTCTAACGAAACTTTGCGAGTATTAGAAAATGAATTGCAAGGAATGAGCAGTTACTTCCTATCCTGTCTATTTCCGGTATCAGTTTAAAAATCAGGAAGAATCTTTTGTATGATTGATATTTATGGTGATAATTCCACAAACTTATGACTTATGAGTCGGAGAAGCGGATAGAAAATGAGGGGTACTATCACTAATCAAGGGGTGATTTTCCCATGTAGTGTGGATACGTAGTTTTTTTAAGAACATATTTCACAAAACCATTAAGCCCTACCGTAATGAACTTCGCTCAAAGGCGGATCGCTGCACTGCTCACTGATTCTGGTGGTTGAAAAACCAAACAATATGTAACCCTTAGCTTTGGGCCAAAAATGCTCCTCTTACTAAGAAATGACAATATTTTAGAAGTGTTCTTCTTAATCTTCATAATGAGCAGAAGACTCATGATTCATCATGTATACACGAATAAATATACAGAGAGAGGGGGAGGTGTGTAAACCCACCAGTCCTGGAAGGAAATTATTAGCAGTGAACATGGTCTGCCTGTTGTCAACAAATTAAACATGTCGAAAAACTTGGATGTTGCATTGTATCTCGCAAGACTTGATTTATTTTTTTTCTCAATTTTAGGCGTGTAGCTCATATAGGAGTGCGTATGGCATAACTTTTTTCAATATTAATGATTTGTATTTCGTATTAACACGTAAGAGTATAGGAAATGCATGCCAACTTTATTGGCGCGATCAGACTTGGTACAAATTACAAATGAGAAAATACCAATATACTGGCGCTTTTCCAAGAGTTCGAATAGTCAAATCATAGTACAAGCAATCAGAGCAGGTTCATACAAATTTTATACTGTAAACCCTTCACTAAGGTTATCATTTTCGTTTTGTTTTCTACTGATTATAACAGTCAAACAATGAGCAACCTATATTTGGGTAAACGCTATGTTCACACGTAACAAAAGCCATTTCAGGTGGAGAGGAACACCCTAACAAATTGCAAAGTAGTATAAAACACAATCCAGGATAATGTATTATTGAAAGCACATTTACATGCTCCTACCATCTGCAAGCCCGTTCAGCTTCTTCTCAAGATGCTTCCCGATGAGCCCCACAAAATTCATTTCTCGCTGAAATATCACTTATCTGCCTCACGGTAATCCTTTTACTCACGCACTATTATGCTCTATTTTATCTTAACTACCTAGGCCTTTATTAAAGCTACAACTTACTCATTGTTCCTATTTGTTGCTTTCTTGAATTCTGGTTGCTTTGATGATGAACACAACAACTCCAATTTTTGAACAAAGCTATATTTTCATTGAAAACGTCACAGTTTCCACGCTAAGACCAAAATAGTTAGCATTAAACATTGCAAATGTACACAGTCATTCCAAGGAATCTGTGGCTCCTTCTCGTATATATCTTGTAAATATACCTTCAATGATGTATTATCCATAATTGTATTTTACGCCACTTTGCAGTTTCCGAGGACGTCCTTCTCTTCCTGAGATAGCTTTCAATCAAGTGGCGGCATAGCGCTTACCCAAATATACGCTGTCCACTGGTTGACCATAGCTATCAACATGAAACGGAACGAAGTTTGGGTTTTCGCTCAACTTGGATGGTTACCTTAGTGAAGTGTCTACAATGTCACATTTATGATAACCTGTCCTGATTTCTGGTATATTAGACGAACGATTTAAATTTTTGAAAAAGTGCTAATTTGTGATACTTCAGGATTGTAATTTAGAACATAACTTATTATGCCTGTAAAAGTGGCATTCATTCCTTGTAAACACCCGTTTGTACGACATATTAAATGATTATTGTTATTTATCGAAAACGAAACAGATATAAAGACTATAGTCACCTAGAATTTTATAGAAAGCAAAATGTGAAACAAATAGGTTCGCAAGCTTACACACTGACTTTTCAATCAAAATAATTACTTAGATTACCAACTGACCACCTGTAGCATCACAGAAGACTAATTATGTTGACGAACCTTAATTTCTGAGAGCACGGCAGATAAAAAGTGAAGCAGGGTGTACTTAGTCAAACAACTGAAAGGGCACTCACTGTCCAACACATAAAGATATCATACAGAAGGTATGATACTTACTCGAATTCTTGTTCCATACTTCCGAATTTCTCAGTAACTTGCTACATCTGAGTGGCCATAGCATATCGTGTTATTCGTTGTTGACCTCAACAAGGAAATGACGCCGAATTCCTGCAAGCAATGTAAAAAACCAGACTCATGAACCCTATCAGTATTCTTCAGTTATTCAAGACAAATCCACTTCACTTCCTAACCACTGCTTAGACAGAAGCAATGCAAATACCAGGAGGCCTTCTTAAGTACGACCTCTTTCATCAAATACAGTCTTACCGTCTTACTTATTTACCCTTAACTTCACGTCTTGGTCCCGTTCTGCTGTATTTTGCAAACTCCTCTGCATTATACCATGAATTTCTTAATATCCACAAGAGTAAAAATCTTACACTCTTCAGGATTAAGAACTGGATTCCGGTCAGGATCCATAACGTCGTTCAGTATGTTGTGCTAACAAAAACGCTAACCGTAATCGCCTTTGCAACCACACGTAGGTAGGAGGCCCAGAAGTTGTTAAGCAGTCATAAGGACAAATCTTTGCTTCCTATGTTACAATTCTGTCTTGGCTGCGGTGGGTGGACGGACTAACAGGTTGTCCTATGTTTGGTCTCATTGTGGTATGTGAAGTGACTGATATTCTTCAATAATTTCACTTACATTGGTATGTTTAATTTCACCAGTGGACTCTCTTGGTTTTTAGGTAATTATGGAAACGTCAATTTAAGACATGTATTTCTAAGGTCTATCAAAGCATACGCTGTGTACATAGCAGTCCACTAACGTAATGCATTCATTTAGACCAGTGCATACACACATCAGGTTCATTTCGTCCATTTTAAATAGTAGAGTGAAGGAAATTAAGCAGTAGACACCAATTGTAAGTTGTTATACATTGACGTGCTCACAGACTTGATGAGTTTGTTACAACTAAATTAGCTGAAAACTCTTCAAGATCCTCTACGTACCTTAAGACTGCGATCTCGGAAAAATTTGAAAGCTGTTTCAGAAGGCAGAGAATCCACGTCATGAAAACCTCACTAATGTTTCCACAGTAACTTGAAGTGTTTAAACTTTATCCATCGCGATAAAAAGATTAGTTGGAAGTAGACCGGTGACAAAAGTCATTATCAGTATTCTGCCAGTGACAATTTACCGTTTTCGCCACAACACGGAGGTACTGTTAGTCTATTACACTTGTGAACACACTTTTTGTGGTGTCAGCGAATTGCATGGAGCGATTTGGTAAGCGGTATTATTTGTGTGGAGTGCAACTTTACTTGAAACGTACTTACTTGAAACACATGGCCTTCGGTGTCAAGAAACACGTGTTATGGTGATTCAACTGCATAGAAATAATACACCTAAATCCACAATTACAGAAGTGCTAATGGAGATAGTCTTTGTAAGGGACCACGTGCAAACTAAGTCTTCGCCAATTTGCTAGTTAAATACTTTTACTCTTATACTAACGTCAGAAAAATCGGAATGCGCTCTTGATTAATATGACAAGACAGCCTCAATAATCTTCAAACCGCCTTGTACAACTCTCCAATTATGACCATTTGACTAACGTGTCACCGATGTTGCAGAAGCTTCGCTTCATCTTACCTGACAACCACAGAAAACATTGCAAACATCCACCAGAGAAAGTTGAAATAAGGTGTTAAATCTGCTGATAATGAGGACATGTGTGCCAATAAACATTTGAAGCGGAATTGTTTACCCATTGAACTCTTAGCTGAGGAGAATGAATGAAGTTATCAAGGATATGTAACTACTGCCCTCTACTTGGAAATTTCAAGGTTTGTACACACATATATATAATTTGGTACTGAATGTCCCTGGCATACGTAGAAAAATACTTGTGGCTCGTCCTCTAGGTTTGAAACCTATCACTTTCAGATTTTACTACATGAATGCTTCTAGACTTTTGTGAGTGCTTTGGTTACCGGCAAGGTTCGTAGGAAAAACCTCACTTTCTGGAGACAATTAACTATGACACACCTAACGAACTATTAACTCATCTGCATATTAGTTATGAAATTGTTAGAACAGTTGCTGTCACAACAACACATCCCCGCGCTATATGAAGTAGTCACTAATCATTCCCAAACTATTAATGACTAGTATAATCAACTCATGGGTTTCAGAGGAGTTAGGTTTACAAGGTAGTTTCACTACAAGATATTATTCTAAAATTACAGGCCAATCGGTCGAAAAGGCTTTTAGAACAGGCTACCTCCTAGGGAAACTTTTACACCACCATAATAAATTTCAGAAACTTCACATGCTTAAAAACTCCAGGTAATTATATTTTTATCTTATTTGCTCTAAGTTCGTCGGCTGCAGTAGTACAAAACTTCACAGTTCTTCAGTCCGTTCTCCAAGACCTTGGGATAAACATAGATGCAAATATGACCCATGATATCATCACTGAAAAGCCAGGAAGTATACAGAAAATCCTTTATCAAATTTATGTTATGTTAAATGGAACGAATAGCTACCTTCATCATGATTCCGCTAACTTCTGTAACTATGACCATTCACAACTGAATACTCTTCGAAACTTGTCCTACAAGCATGTGAGTAATAAGATTTTACCGCAAGTTTGGCGTCTGAGTAGTTTTTTTAGTAACCAACACTTAAGTCAAAAAAATTCTTGTTCGTAGTAATTATATATCGCCATCTGTCAATGAATAATCCTCAGATCACTCATTTATGTAAATGTTTGAGTAAACAAAACGTAAGAATTGATATAAAGCATAAAACTTGTGCAATGTGGTAAAGCATAATTCCATTATGGATAAAATTTTTTTGATAAATTCTCGTAGTGTTATACAGTAACATTTACAGATGACTTTTCGAGTACAATTTATTGCTCATAATCATATCAATATGACAAACTTTACCCATAATGGAAAACGTAAGAATACCTGCATTACTCTTGAGTTTCTGTTTGTTTCACAGTTGCTAACATCATTATAATGCCGATGCTTTGATATCATTTTTCACCATATGTGATAATAAATACCACAATATAACACTCATTTATCATTAATGAGTCAAACACTGATTATTTCAGCCGAAACTCGTAAAAACGTAGAAGAAAGACGTTAAAAGCCTTGAAAGTTTGTGTTCACACTGCAGGGTAAATTTTTTGTCTTTTTCGGTATGAAATAAATGCGTATCATATGCACTTATTGGATGTACATCTTCTTTAAATGACTTAGGAAACACATGCTAACACATATTTTCTAATAAAGCCTAATAGCATTATTGAATTTTCAATTGTCATTAGGTATCGCTAGTGAACAAATAGAAAATATAAGAATGTTATAGGACAACCTACATAGTGATCGGATATGCCAGTTGCCTCTAGCCATCTAATATCACTGAGTCAATGTGCACCGCGATGGTGAGCTACCTAGAATGGTGGCCACATTGCAAACCTGACTGATAAAATTCAGTTTGCACAAAGCAAAGGACTAGACACATCGCACTAGTTACTAGTGTCCAACCAAAAAATCTGTAATACTGAAATAATTATGTGACTGCTTTAGAAAAGTTTGGGACACTACTTAAATGGATTCAAAGCAGTGTCGTCCTTTGACAATATCTCAAAAAATGTAGTACTAATTGCCGTACCGCTTGTAACAAATGCTGATACCATATATTAAAAGTGTTGATACATATTTTTCTTGTGTGATCCGTGAACGTCTGATGAAAACATCACAAAAGTGCTTGGATTCGTGACAGTTAATACTATTATTTGATGCAAAATTTGACTGAATCTGCATACTATCAATAATCCCCACTGAAAATGTCAGCAGACCAATGGCATACTAAAGCCACTTATTAAGAACATACACTGGTTTATTTCTGGTGGGGAAGGTTCACGACTCCTGTAGCTGACTTACCTTATTTCTTTGCTCAGAAAGTATTCACTGTGTTCACACATGACAACTAAATGTTGCAGCTTATGAATTTCTTCAAAATTAAATGGTCATTCATCACACTCACAATAAGTCATAATACTGTGTTTTGAGTAAGTCAAACCCTCACGGTATTATCAGGTACTGTACCTGTTTTATAAGTCTCTACCGAAAATGGGTCAACGTTTCACCCATCAGAACTCATATAGCCTTTTAGATAAAGTAATCGACAATCTGATCCAGCTCACTGCTGTTGTTGAGAAGGAGTTTTGGTACAAAGCAGTCTTGATTCAGTGATTTCAATTTGAGAGTGAGTAAACCCCCTAAATGTTTCCTTTGATGTGCGCTATATTCAAACCTGTCCACCGTTGATACCACGACTCCAATTTTTATTTTTATTTCTTTATCATTAATCTGGATTCTACGGCTAAATAATCATTAATGTTTGCAGTCATTTCTAGTCCCAACTTAAATTCACTATCTTTGACCACTTATGGCATCTATGTCTTCCCATTACTAAAGTGTTCACCCTGTGATCCTTAGATTCTCATGGTGATCTTACAAAATCATAAAGACATAAAATTGTGATGCTTCGTCAAAAGCGACCATATTTTGTTTTCTGTTAGCTAGAGAATATAAATACTGAGTCTTTTGAAGAATTCTGCTTCGTCTTTAAATTTAACAAGAGAATTCCGCTTTGTATTCCTATAAGTATTCTACTCACCCTTTAAATTTATCAAGATATCAATTTAATCCATCTACTTTTCGCAAAATATCTTAACATTTTTAATGGGTTTTGAAGAGTCGCATAACCCACTGACGAAAAAGATCGTTTATATTATCTATATGTGAGAGTTTTGGCAATTCATGTCCAGATAAAAAGCCCAAAACTGACATTCTGTTTCATTTTTTACACTTTTTAATCTCAAGGCTCAAACTATTATTACTTTGTTCATATTTGTTTTAAACTTACAAAGCAATTAAAGCAGCTCATGCAAAGGCAATCAGATATTAGTTTGGCACAGATTTTATCACGTTTCGAGAGACAAAAACAAATCAATGAGCAACAGATGAAAAAAGCAGATCTTGAAGCCTTATTAGAAAAAGATGCTTTAATCCAAAAGCACAGGAGTTCAAGGCTTCAGAGAAGTTACGATTTACGCGCAATACAGTCTGAACTAATGGCTAAATTAGAGTAAGTCAATAATTCCTGCACTTATTCTATACCATTACTTTGATGTGATGCGGAGGGATTGTGCGGGTTCACCTCTTATTATATCCATTTATAATTGAACATATTGAAAGTCTATTTCCTCAGAAGACACTGGGATGACTGCTGTTTGTTTTCTCATATTTAGGATTGAAAGAAAGGAGCCTTATACAGTAAAATTTATTAAAATATGTAATCATCGTTATCAAGTATGTGTAGCTTATACTTTTTTACTGATCGCAAAAGATATGGTCACAAAGAGCCTTGGTTTATGTATTTTCGCTACAAGGTCTACGTAAAGTTGAAGAAATAACGCACTACGTATCACTGATATAAAACAACTTATATGATGTGTTGCCACCTTGTTCTAGACATTATAATTTAGTTGCCAAGAGATTTCAGCTAGGTCTTCATCAGATGGTGAGAAAGAAAATAATTACTTAAAATCAGAAATACAATTCAGTTACTGACTTGGTTTACCTGTAAACAACATGGAATGAAATTAAATTACCAGAGATGACCTATAACTACTAATGATAGCGTATTTGAAGCATAAATTCCGTCATTTAAGAGTGACTCAAATGTCTACCATTTCATATTTAGTTAAACGAATGGATGTGACTATAAAAGCCAGGCCTACTGAGATTCTTCTCCAGCTTCACAATTTATGCTTCAGTATTTTAAAAGAAAATGTACCATAAAATTAACTGTCTGGTTGGTCACCCTGAAAGCTTTTTGTGTGGCTCATTGCCGTACAGAACTCACGATGACTTTCTAACAATCAGTTGTCCTCTCATTCTGCCTTTTGATATATACTGAGTATTGGAGATTGGTTAAGGGTACCACTATTTGAAGCGAACATCAAGCGCTTATCGGCTTCCAGGGTTTATTTTACCATTATGAATTGGCAATAATAAGTTTATTAACATTTGGATTTAGGGGAATAAACAGAAAGGATGATCAATGTAGTTTTACAGGCATGTTTACTCAGATAAAATGTTATCCATTCCTTCATTTTTGATCATCTCTCGTTTAATTTATTTGCATTAAATTTGTTACAGAAATGCAGAGAGAAATAGAATGAAATGTATGTTGGAAAGAGAATTAATTGTCATTGCGAGTAGTTTTTACAGAATAATTTTCATAGCTGAATGAACTATACTTGTCAGTATATTTTGTATGGCTTCAACAATTGGTTACCTTCAAGGTTTGGCATATTCGACCTATTTTTATGAAGTCTGTAATTCGCATCTGATATACAGCTAGGTTTAATGGTTTTCTAAATGCTGATTTATCTCACTAACGTTGAAAACCATCGTAAGTAAGAAAATTCAGTCTTAAGTATATATTCTTACATTTCCGATTTTAGAGCAAATATCATCAACCTACCGAAGTCAATTGGGAAAAAGATACAACCTGAGAGTGTTAATACACAAAAATTAACAAATAAGGTAATGGCTGTCCCCGGTTTCTCTTTTTGTACGTATTACTTGTCTGGAACTATCGGAAACTTTAACCAGAAGGCGTACATTTTCATAGAAATATTTTACTTGACCGAAACTGACACCATGAACTAATTCTTTATTTTATCCGGATTATTCCTGATCATCCTTCTATTAGATAACACTTACCAGCACATACTAGAGTGAAGAATAATTGGATATGCACAACATACGTTTCTGTCACGCAGATCGATGCGATTCGAAACTTGTTTTGATTAACTTACCTGTTTTACCAATAGGCCTTTTTTCAAATCTTAGCGATCTGCAGTTTTGGAATCTATATGTTATTGAAAGTTATTCTTCTTGTCTTACCTATATCTTTCGGCAGTATTTATCAACAAAGCCTTCAACCATGTATGATGTTGGTAAACTATATGAATGCTTATCACAGGTAATATACTCTATGAAGCCCCGTGTTGGTTAGACGTAACAGTTAGTAATTTCCCAATTAATATAGAAAGACCCATCTATATACAACTGTGTCCAGTTTCAACTGGTAAACAAAGCACTGTTGAATAAAATGCTGCATTTCTCCAGGGAGTTATTTAAAACTAAGGCACAGATCTTGCAGATATGTGTAAAGTTTTGTGGGTGATAAATACAAACAAGTGTTAACAAGACAAGACTGATTGTATTTATCAAATTTCAGTGGAACTTCTTCACCGGACACTTGGCACTATTGCCAGGTCCCTTCTCTGCTAATTAGTGCTTAATAATAGTCGTAAAGTTCAGTTACTTCCTATTACGATCTTAACTTTGAATCTCTGATACCCCTTCCATTCTTTTCATATTTGAACTTGACATGTAAAACATTTTCCTTAAGTTTTGCCATGATTGATTCACTGCGGTTTATTTATTAGTCAAATATGCCCTTATATATTTCTAGTAGTACATATAAGGATGTATACATAAAATGTTTAAACGAGGATTTATACCGAACTCTGATGGGTTCAATAAATCCACGTGTATTTACACTTAACTATAACTTTTAAATTTGTTTCGGAAAACATCTACCCTTCAGCAGTGACAATAACAAGAAATAATCAGTAAAAACTACCACAGAGCATTTAGAAAGGAGACAAGATGTATCGAATTAAAGGAACTAAAAGTCACTAGATGCAGTCAACTGACTGTGAATCATGTCATTCTAAAGGATCTGTTATGGTTGGCAGAGTAAGGAATTCCGACTTCAGGTTTCGGTAAATCGGTTGTGGTCCAAATAAGCTGAAGTCAGTAGTAAAAAATGATGTCATAATAGGGATAGTTTCATTCACTTGGGACTGAATATTATTAAAATGCCTTCAAGGTGTCAATGGTGATTGTGCTTCTGAATACCAAGTTCCAGAATATCATCTAATTGCTTATGCTTATAGTTTTAAGATCCCAGTAACTTTAAAAATTTACCTCCATTTTTGAATTTGTCAAATTTTTTATAAGTCGTACGTCAGTTATTTCAGTTTCAAGAATATATTTTGTTTTCTGCTCAATAATTCACATACAGAGTAGTATCAGCTTGAGAGAACTAGATGAATTTGATTCACGCTACGGAAGCCGAGAACGAAACAACAATAATAATACGTTGAACCTGCAAGACAAGACCAATGAACTATTATATTCAAACAGCAAGTTGGAAGCAATGAATACATTGGCAAGTGATCTTCATAAAACAGCTACCAATTATATGAAACAAATCCATGAGAAAGTTCAAGAAGAAAAAAGTGCAGTATGCGAGCGTCAGAAAAGGAGAAGACGTGTTATTATGGACATTTTAGAAGCACATCATATGCAGCAAGTAAGTTCCATTAAAATATGTGATTTTAATAAAAGGAACGAAAATGGAAACAGTACATTATTTCATTTGGTGAGATATTTAGGCATACAGTGAGTGACAGGAAATTCTGTATAAAAATTTGACCCTAGAGATGTGCGTTATATTGAACATGGCAGTGGTTTACTTTAGTGTGAAAATTCCTCAAGTCTCTTCAAATGGAGGGGACAGTTGAAGCTTAAGGTTAAAAACAAAAGCAAAGGTATGGCTGCTAGTAATATGCGGTTGTTCACAAGCAATGCTTCATGCGGTTTCAAGTCAATAACACAAAATAGTTGCATCAACACCCCATTATGTCAACTTAATCAGAAATCTGTCAGTCATAAATCAGATGTGTGTTGGTGGCACAGCAGTTTAAACTCTCACTGACCGTGCGCATAGTCCGAAGTTCGATCTCTGGCTGATGCACACCTGATATCAATGGTAGGCCTGCTAAATTTGGGCTAACGATATCACATGCTGAAAATCCCATACTTGTGCCAAAATACTGTGCGGGATCAAGCCATAATAAAATTTAAATTAAAAAAATTAAAAATAAATGTGATATTTAGTAGTTTTCAATTTCTATTTTGCCTGTATATATGAATTAGTTTATAAATAGGTACGCCAAAATGCATTCACTTAATGTCGAGCTTAACAAGACTAGATACGAGTTAGTTACCCACTTAACACTAAATAAAAACCAATTTTAGATTGTAAACAAAACTCACTAGTGTTCTTCCTGTGTGTTATGAAAAGATTACAGCTGAAGATAGTAAAAGACCAATAAATGATTATGACGTTTAAGTAAGCAGTGGTTGGTCAGAAAACTCAGACATCTAAACTGCCCTCCTTTAGTAAAAAGAACGGAACTTCTTGCTTGCATATAGGCATTCAAAGATGAAAGCTGTTCCTCAGATAAATCTGAATGGTTTATTTCAGGAGCAGTACAAACCCGGTTGCAAATTTGATCGTAATCCCTCTGTTTTCAGCCACAATGTATCAATATATATCGAAGTGAACATACAGTAGAAGAAGATCAAGACATCCGACCAACAACAAAAACTAATCACAATTGACGAGAGAAATCTAAAGGAATTACTCTCTTTCACCTACTTGAGCGGCATCATTTCAGCTACAGGTGTCCAAGATAAGCGTCCATTACTCTGAAACTATTGTGTTGACATAGAACAAAACGAAGAAGATCCGAATTTCCAACATTAACATCAATTCACTGCTCCTATATGGTTCGGAGACTTGTCGCATAACTATAAACATTGCCAACAGATTACAGACCTTCCCCAATAGCCACCTTCTTCTTTCGATTTGGAAGATCATATGGCCGTCAGGAAAGAATGAGCAATAATGAACCCTGGCAACGAGTCAGACAAAAACCTGTGGTCCAGTAAATATGCAGAAGGAGGTGAGATGGATATTACATACACTGGGAGGTCCGTCGAGTAGAATCCGATTGAGAATTGACGTGTTGTGCATCTGAGGGTAACATATGAAAGATTATGTTAAGAGGAAATGAAGGATTGCGGGTAGTCATTAAGCCAGCTGAAAATGATAGCAGAGAACATAGTGGAATGAAGATGTACTGCTGAGGCCCTATTTTACTCCAGGAACTCAAGAAGCGAGTATTAATATTAAAATCCGTGCCGTTGTATTAGTCTCTTGAGCACAAGCCAATTAACACTTTTTCGAATGGATTTAAATTTATCACTATGATTTGGCTTATTAACGAAAGTCACTTCCACCATCAAAGTTATGTCGATTATGGCGGCATACCAAGCCATCTTCTTCCTAAAATAAAAGTAAGCTAAAATACGGTTTGAGGTTAGCAGACCAAGACAAGACATCAATGCATGAAGCTACTGAATATTAGTCTTAGTTACACAGGGAAGTGTAGACAGCCTAGTTAGGGTCCTCAGAATACTAAGAATCTATGTATGGAGGCTCTTTGGTGCCTGTGCGTCCAGCCCTTATAGTCCTTAGGATTCTGGAAATCTTTACTAATCTTCTAAGTGAATACATGTTTGTCTGTTGCAGCATGATCACGACTGTCTTTTTATCCAATGTTTCCCCCAAGTGTTGCAGCCTGAATTGATAGACTTCAGCACAAATTTCTACGTTGATTCTTCATTCACACCATTAAAAGTATTCCCTTTAAGCTAGTTGTTTTTTCATATACCCTGGTTCGGTCTAACTGTTTTAAAATCACGGGTCTCATATTCACCAGTTAGCACATATCTGAAGCAGCCGCAGTATGGTTCTATCTCGAAAACAGATTTACTTTTTATAAGGGCCATTTTTGGTCAAATGACTACTGTTTTTATGTCAATAATTTTCAGGAGGAAATTAGATCACTGCAAATGATGCAGCGTTTGTCACGCCAGTCTCACTTGGAAAGCCGCATTTCAGTGCAGCTGGGACAAATCAAACAAGAAAAACTGAATCTTTTGGAAAATCGTCTTGAACGCGAAAGACAGTACGAGGCCCGAAGGGAATTGGAATTTCAGCTTGCAATGGATCGTGAAAGAGTAAGTTAAGCAAATATTTTATGAATTGGAATACATAATCTTGATAACTCACTAATCTCAGATAGCTGTGTTCGATTGGTTTACTTAGTCTAACAGCTAAACAAGTTTTACTTCGACTCTAATCGTTCTGATGCTTGAACAGATAATGCGGATATTTATATTGAAACAAACAATAAAAATAGGTTTAGGCCATATTTATTTATTGGTTTTCGGGGGAAACCGGTCTTACTAATAGTCTTCACTGTTCCTGAAGATTCCACATTTACTGATAGTGATTCTTACATAGGTAAAGAAATGACTTTTAGGGATAATTTGCTGCTTCACTGGCTTCTGTTACATTTCTGATATGTCTTCAGTTCTATATATGTTTTGTTCTTACACCCATAAAAGTAATAATAATAATAATGGCTTTATTCCAAACAGTATTTGTGGTACAGGTATGGAATTTTCAGCGTGCATTACAATATTGCATCTAATTACCTCATAAATTTTATAAGATTTTAAAAATAAAAAGCAACAACAACAAAAAGAAAAAAAGGGAAATAAAAGAAATAAAAAAGTACGGCATTGCATTCACATATTTAAACAATGCACCACAGGATATGAAATATAAAATTAGTGTGTAATAGAATATGTGAGCAACAATATAATAGTTACAAAGAAAGGAGTTTATAAATTAGACCAATATTACTTTATTTACTGCCCTTATGGTTAGTGCTATTATCAGCAGACATTACATAGATTGAAACAATATTTATAGAACACAACTTAAGCGAATACGTATTTTCGGTAAATTCTCATCAGGCTTTACATTTACGTAATGAAGCGTTAATCGTAGGCATTAGAATTAATGCGGTTAATAAAATATACGGCCAGAGTTCAGAGATGTGAATCAATGGATAACAATTACGGTGATCATACTGATAATAACAAGGATAAATTCATTCAAGTGTTTATATAATCTAGGCAACGGTGAGTGTATAGGTAGACTGCGCAAACTGGTAGGGGTAGAGGGGAAAATAACTATTGTCTCATGGCGATTAGATAATAATATTATAATAATGGTAAACTGTGAAACTGAGAATAAAAGGTACAACAACACAGTATTATTGATAATACATTATATTGATAATACAGTTAATTTTTGGATGGTGACTAGCAGTGGAATCCAGCTAGGAGGCACATTTCGACCTATTTGGGACTCGTCAGCTGGATGTACCTGCAGTTCCCAGTGAGTGATGATGTCCCCACCGAGGCTCGAACCCAGTGTTCATAGTTTCAATCACCAAAGCGTTATCCACTAGACCACTTGACGAGAGCCATCCCTTGTGCAACCGGTCATATTAATTATTTAATTGAATTTTAGATTTTCCCGTCGATTGATTGGACCGAAGTGCTCGGTCTTAGGTTGACATCGACGGGAAAATCTAAAATTCAATTAAATAATTAATATGACCGGTTGCACAAGGGGTGGCTCTCGTCGCCCAAATGGTCTAGTGGATAACGCTTTGGTGATTGAAACTATGAACACTGGGTTCGAGCCTCCGTGGGGACATCATCACTCACTGGGAACTGCAGGTACATCCAGTGACGAGTCCCAACTAGGTCGAAATGTGCCTCCTAGCTGGATTCCACTGCTAGTGACCGTCCACCAATTAACCTGCAATTACATACCCAGACATAGTCGAAGCATCTGCACAAGAAGCCGACATGTCAACCTGAGACCGAGCACTTCGTTCCGTCCAGTAAATCAACGGGAAAATCTAAAATTCAATTCAGATAATACAGTTAGCATTACCACTAAAATAGAATAAAAATTTAACAGATTGAACAAAAAATTGTTCAATCTCTCTTCCTCCCTTGGCCTTCACTTTATTAAACACATTAATTAAAATGCCTATGATTTCATTATGTAAATTTAAAGCATGATGAGAATTTACCAAAAATACGTATTTGCTTAAATCGTGTTCTATAACTATCAATATGAAAATTTTCAAACAAGTGGAACAATATTAATCAAATCTTACCATTATTTTCAGTTAAAAAAGAACTGTGACTTGTCACCCTAAGTCGTGAAGAAAATAAAAGACAATTCAGCGAAGAAAATTTTCTTCATCGACAAAATCATCTTCAGAGGTTCTACTGTCGTATTTATATTTACCAAAAATGTATAGTAGTCCATTGTTGAGTAATAGGGGAGGGGAGTGACACAGTTGATATAATTACTCAAAAGTGGCTTCAAAAGTAAAAACAAAAGTTACAAATCACGTAAGACCCTCAACGGCACGGGAAGAAGAAACGGTTGGAAATTTGATAAGGTTAATTAAAACTGTTATTGAGCGAGAAGAAAGGTAGTTGAGTGTCCATTTAACAAGTGTGAAGAGGGTGAGAAAACGCACACAAGGACCATGTGAGATGACAATAGTGAATTAATTACTAAAGTAAAAGCAAACTGATCATTAAAAGTAAAAATAAAAAATTGACAGGGAACTACTAGTGAAGAGGTCAAGGTCATGGTAGAATAAGAGACTGGACAAACATACATAGTTCGGGTTTGTATTGATGAACTGCCAACTCCTTCTCCATACATAAATGCCGAAACTTGATGTCGTTTGTACTGTTTGGTCTCACCTTTTAGACAATCTCGGAAGACGAGTGTGGTTGAACTGCGTGACTTGAGTTCACCAAGTACTCGAAAATTGAACTAGTAGCTGTCTTACACTGTCATTTTTCTAACTTTACAATAAATATCTACTGCCATACAATTACATATAAATAACATTGCATATAACTATCGGCTAGTGTTTTATTTTCAAAATTTGCTAACATGCCTTAATAATAGGTATTGTAGAATCGTTTGTGGATTTGTGAATTTCTAGTTTAGTTAGAAAATTTTTAAACGTACTTGTTATTTGGACATTTTCTTATTACTATCGTTACTGTCAGTAGTAGTATTGGTATGCACCTACCACCTGCATATATGCAGTAATACATCAGCTAATCTACAGTTGGAAATTCTATACTTTTGTACAATCCAATATTTTCTTCATATTACATCCTCTATTAATAAACACTATAGCAGGCAACTAGTTCCTAGTATAATACATACCATGATGTTCAGAGTTGTTTGATATAGCGTCATAGTATTTTGTTCAAATATGTGTCTTAAGAAAAAAAAACTAATTTGGCAGATTATGAAGTTAAATGCAAGAATGAAAATAAATAAGTATAGTGTTGAACAATAATTCCCAGTAAACTATATTTGTGTAAATATTTTATTTACAGGAAACGGCGATCCAGCAGAAAGAAGAAGAGAAGGAGAAAATTGCCGTATTAAAACAATTTTGGGAGGAACAAAAAGCTAAAAGACGTCAGGCTGCATACAAGCGTCACTATGATTTTATTCAAAACGATATTATACCACTGTTATTACAATTTGCTATGAATGTTGCTGAATATCGGACGTACACTGGAAAGTAGGTGTCTCATTTGAAAACTATATATATATATATATATAATATATGTACGAAATGAAACAGTTCTTGTTTTTACAGTCATTTAATTTTGATTTCAGTGATTTCACAGCTGTATGCATGTGATGAAGAAAGAGTTGGGAGATCATGGATCCTCGTCTAACATACTTGTTTATTCATCAGATATTGATAACTACAACAGTATGATGCATTATGGTATATTTATAAGTATTTTCTGTTATCAAGTGTCTCAGTACTGTCAAGTTATTGTAAGAGTTGAACTGACACTTGATGTACATCACACACAACAGTCTATCTTGCTCAACGATTATGCCATTCTCGGGACCTTACCTGGATAAGACTTCGACATTCTCAATGTTCATTTTATTTTAGGGAAGGATGCTTAGTTATTATTCTGTTTGCTATTTATTGTCACTAGGATGTTTAAATCTACAGTAATCGAACAATTATCCCCAGTGAGATAATAGGTGCATATTGGTGGAGAACTCTTAACTTTTCACCACTCCCTGGTCTTCAATAGTTCTCTAACTGGTCTCAGTTCGTAACCATGCGTGGAATGAATAGAGTTGTCAATAGTCGGATGTGTCATCAGTTGCAGTGCAGGTGTCAAATCAGTAGAAGTGGCCAGCTTCAGTAACTGTGTAACAACAAAAGTAACAGGCTGACCGAAACATTTAGCTGATAGGATAGCTGATCAATACAGACTCAATACTCTGGTGAAGAGGGTTTGATAAAGTCTCTTTCTTACAACTACAGACATACACAAACTCTGGAACTCGAATTTTTCCACAGTGCTTCTAAATTAGTCCAGTATACTCCAATAACATTTTACATTGTTAGAATCACTTTTTTGCTCAATACATCGAAAATTATTACAGATAATTCATAATTGTAATACAGAAATTTGATTATTCAACGAAACATCAAGATGTTGTTTTCATATGGAGCCATAATCCGGATTTCTATATTGAGAGAGAAAGAGAGAAAGTTACATTAGGTTAATTTCTCTGTCATAATGTACGGACACATTTGCTAACTACATATTAGTAAACGCATTACTCAGGGAAAATTGAAATGCTTGAGGAAACAACACGACTTATGCTGAGTTCGTGTATTGGAACAAGATAAGTGAAGTTGAAACGTGTGATTAAGTAGTGAAAAGTCAACTCCTCATCCCCAATATATAATTACAAGGCAGTCTAGTGGAGCACCTGCCTATATGATTGGCGATTTAAATATGCTCCGTATATAGGAGTTCAGCATTTCCCTCTGCTTATATTCATCTGGTTTGTTTTAACATTTTATCGCTTATTTTCACCTTCTCCGTGCCTATTCAAACACTAACATGAATAGATTCATTTTGTGTTGGCCAATGTATCTGTTTATTTGTCTGCTAATATACAAGCTATTACTGGTGATTGCTGGCTATTTTTATTTCAGGAATTTGCCTTAAAATTATTCACATAAATGATTATTTGTGTTTTTTTTGAAGACTTATTCCATTGAGACTATTCCGTCAGTGGAAAATTGAATTTATACATGGCTTGTTACTAGATGATTCACTTCCAAAGCCAAAACATATTGAAGATCCTGTTGAAGAAGAACTTACGAACCAAGCCGATCAGCTCGAGTTGGTACCTAGTCAAGTTTTGGAGGAGCAACAAGCATTACTTGATGACTGTGACTTGGATGAATACCAAGTAGGTCATCGGTTGATTTAGTTTTTCTTAATTTGTTATTGTTTCTAATTAACTACGAAGTGACGTCACGCCTAAATAACATTTTGACCTCATCTGGAGATTAGTAACAAGAATTCAAACTATCTGATTATTTATTTCTCAGTAGTGTTATCAAGCAGTAAATCCACTTTGTTAATAGAAAATCACATTGCTGAAATTAATTCTTAAGATATTTTTGTGAGAATTCCGGTGATTTTCAGCTTACTGACTTGAAAGTGCGCAAAAGGGTAAAAGTTAAAACTAGCTCACTTCCAAGAACCACGTATAAAAACAGAGGATTGAGTTGTGACCAGGGAATTTCGCTGATCCAGAGTACGCAGATGATACTGACCATATGGATGAAGATAGGGACAAAAGGCAGAATCGTGAGTGCCACCAAAGTCAACACTAGTTGATAAGATCATTGAAAATGAAAGGTCACCGACCAACTGTTTTGTCTTGATTCTGGGCTGCCTAACAGTGGGCTCCCACTGTTCTGAAGGCTGTTTGGGCCTGCGACGTCAGCTCACAAGGATCACAAATTATCACTTAACCAGTAAGTTGAAATTCAGGGAACAATGATTTCCAACATTCTCCAATTTGTGAAGGTGAGGCAGTAACTCATTGAAGAAGACATTGCGAAGTGGTCGTGCTATGTTATGAATTGGCAGAAGTTAGAATTCATGGACTGGCCATTGGATCGGGTCCCAGTGGCTTAATGGTCTACGAGCTCGCCTATCAACCAGAAGGTTGTGCGTTCGAACCCTGGCGGTGGGTGCGTACTGTGAAGAGTCCCAAACTACGCCGAAACAGCTGTCCAGTACTCCCAGGTTTTCCAATGGTTCTCTTACTGATGTTAGCTCATGATGAAATCCTCCAATCAATTTGTTATATGTCCATTCATTTTTTTTACATTTTTTGATATATTCAATTAATTCAAACAAAAGGCTGGGCACAAAAAATGGTTTCAGTTTTGATCAAGAATTGATGTCAGTCAGAGAACCATTGGAAACCGAGGAGTATTGGACAGCTGAAAATAAAAAGTCGTGCTAGGCACATTTATCAGAATACACGTTTGCAAACAAGACGCCCCATAACAAGTTGTAACAATTAACAGTTGCATGTGTAAAAGTGTTGAGTAAACAGGAACTGATGACTTAATAAATAAACATGAAGATATTTTAAATTCCGGAAATTAAAGTCCATTTCATTCTAATGTCTATATGGAACACACTTTACCACTATTACCTTCAAATACTAATGGGTACTGTAGTGTCAGCTTTGCTCCAGATGCTGAACTTTATCAGGATAATGCTACTGAGTATTAATTGAATGAGACTGCTAATTTTGAAAAGTGTTTAACCATCTCTACTTATGCCAAGATATGACCGAATCTAATTGATTTATATATTCCCAATAAGATAAATATAGAACACAATTTAGGCAGATGCGTATTTTCGGTAACTTCTCACCAGGCTTTACCATTACATAATAAAATATTAATCATAGACACTTGAAACCAATGTGGTTAGTAGAATTAAAGTTTAGGCGTATTAATTAGTGGGTACTAGTCGAAGTGATCATAATGATAGGGATAAATTCATGAGTGTTTATATAATCAAAGTAATCGATCGTCTTAGTTGTGTAAGTAGAATGTGTAAACTTGTAGGAGTAGAGGGGAAAATAACAATTGTCTCATAATGTGATAAGATAATGGTGTTTAGTTTTATAATAGGCTGACAAACTAAAATTAAAATATGCAATTACAGCGCAGTATGATATTGATAACAAAGATAAAGTTGACAAAGTTTCAGTTAACAGGACAAATAAAGATTATAGTTACGGTTATCCAATTTCACCGCGAAAGATAACTATTCTACGCTGTGGGAGTCAGAGGGATTGAACAAACTTTTTCTAAACAGATACATTGGATTGAAAACTTCTTATGGTAACTATGTCAAATGCGCTTAGCAATCAAAGGCGTAAAAATCTACAGAACTGAGGTGACATCTTTACAATGTCCAAACAGTAATGAACCACATTGGTTTCAAACGTTTATAACTAATATTTTATTATGTAATTGTAAAGCCTGATGAGAAATTATCGAAAAAACGTATTTCATTAAGGCGTGTTTTATAATGAACCAAACTATAGAATTCTTCATCCCCATCATACAGATAATGAATAAATACTAAGACTTTTGTGATAATAAAAATTAACTTTAATGCAACTTCACTCCCACTTCGCACTCAGTTATTAGGCTTAAAAGTTAACTAATCAGGATTTCATCATGAGCTGACATTGGTTAGAGAACCATTGGAAAACCTGGGAGTACTGGACAACTGTTTCGTCCTAGTTTGGGACTCTTCAGCGTTACGCACCCACCAGGGTTCGAACACACAACCTTCTGGTTGAAAGGCGAGTTCGTATACCATGAAGCCGCTGGGACCCGATCTAATGGCCCCATGAATTCTAACTTCTCCAATTCACGACATGGCGTGACCCCTAGCCAATGTCTTCGGCGAGTATTTGTCCTCACAACCAACCTACTACACCCTACTGGTCACGACTTCTCACTAGAACCTACCTAGTCAGCATCTCGTCGATATTCAAGTGTTGGTTTGTAGGGATTTGGCCAAGGGTCGCGCTATGTCATGAATTGGCGGAAGTTAGAATTAATAGGCCATTGGATCGGGTCCCAGTGGCTCGCCTTGTAACCAGAAGGTCCTGGGTTCGAACCCCGGTGGGCGCGTACTGCTGAAGATTCCAAAACTAGGACGAAACACCTATCCAGTACTCCCAGTTCTTGGTTCTCTAACTAATGTCAGCTCATGATGAAATCCTGTAACCAATCAAATCCCTATAAACCAACACTTGAGTTAACTAATCACTTTATCATCTGTAAAATAAGCTTCATAAGAATTTGATGGTGATACATATTTGCTCAGTTAATTAAAACTAGGTAGAGATTGAAAGGATGGTTAAGCATCTAAAGTTTATCAAGTAATTGAAAGCTCATTAGTGGCTGAGCTGATCAGCCGTATACAAGCTTTGACTTAACTCAGAGAGCCAAATCAGTTCAAACCACTCTAATTCTGCCTAGCTACTTGGATAAACCGGGAATATGCTAAATCAAATTAGCAGTGCGCAAAATAATTTGATTATGCACCTTAATTCACTGTAAATGTATTCAAATTACCATCAGAATAATATTTACATACTCTGTAGGTAACTTATATTCATTAAAAAGGTTGTGCTGTTTTCTGTTTGACTGATTTAACGTTGAACGCAGTACATTTGTCAGATACTTTCAAAAAGTGTTTCTTCTTCTTGACAGTTCAGTTGATTAATGTTTTATTTGCCTTTCAGAATCTAGTGGGTGACTGGGACTTGACAAAAATTGGTACAGTTCATATGAAATCATTGCCAAGTGAACTAACACCACACATCCAAGGTCAGCCTGTTGAATGGATTGATTTTCATGATGAATTGAAATCTAGTGAATTGAAATTACCAAATGATATCTGTCTTCTTAAAAGTAATCCAGTTCTAGAGTGGATTATTAAACGACTTTACAAAATCAACTACCCAGCAGATGTAAGTGTATCAATAATTTTAACTAGTGAGCACAACAGTGCGTTTTGTGCCTCATTTTACTTATTATTTCATCGGATAATCAGCAGGCTTTTGCTTCATTCAAAATGTCTGGGCCAGTAAATGTAGTCATCACTTGTCAATCGTCATAAGTTTCTATGCTGGTGAAATAATAGTTTCTAAATAAGATGTGTATATAACCCATAACGTTAACAAGCTATCTAGCGCATGAAACAAAGAAAGAAAAGATAATATACTTGGTTTCAGCCAAGTGCATACACTTTAAACATTGATTGTATGCAAGCAAGTCAGGTAATTAACAGTATTGCTTTCATATTCAGAGCATAGTTAAGAAAGATGAGTCACATAAGAATAATACTTCCAAATTAAACGATATTACTGGGATTTGTATGGTAGATAAGTTGTCACTGGCTAAGATGATGAAACAAATATACTAAGCCCTTTGTAAACTAGTGACTTTTGCATAAGGGTAGGGATGAGGGCAGGAATATCTGCGTTTAATATCTGACTCTAGGTGAATTGAAACATATGTGTGAATGCATGAAATAATAATAATAATATGAAGTGCAATTAAAACTAAAATGTTTATGATTATAATCGTAGTTAAAGGTCAAGTGGCAAAGCAAATTAATGTCATATATAGAATAATTCATAGGATGGATAGAACTTGAAAAAGGTGTGCAATTATAAGATTAGTAGACAAATCGAAAAAATAAAAACGTTACGTAATATTGTGTGAAATTTAATAGCATAGAATTTAATGTTGCATAAAGGAATTGATTTAGAATGACAAGTGGAACAAGTGAAATAATACCGGGGACAATTAAAAGTGAGAGTAGTAATAGTAACAATTGACTTAATAAGGAAGAGTATACAAATTGAATAGACAAAAAATGAAAAAATGAAAAAAATGAAAAAATGGAGAGTTGGTAGAGCTAAAGTATGATTGGGGATTACCATACTTTAGCATAGAGGGATTAAGACCATGAAAGTTGGAGGGGTTGAACGAACTTCTTCTGTACACAGAGATCTGGCTTTTCTGTTTCGATAGCCAAAGCTTCAGCAATACAGATGAGTCGGGTACGTAGGGATTTGGGTAGATTACTCTTTGCCTTGTAGATGACTTTGAAGGCGGAGGCTATAGAGATAGGGTGATCATTATCGACCAGATGTTCAATGATCGCGCTTCTTATTGCTCCACTGCCACCTTTTCGTAACCATGCAGGATAGTGTTCTTGCACCCTCTTGGACAAAACTCGTGTCGAACGACCGATATACCTAGCTCCACAAGAGCAGGTGAATTGATAAACACACATAGAGTTGGTCAACAGCGGGATTTTGTCCTTCAGGTTATTGAACAATAATGGTCGACTAGAAAAGGCTATTCTCAGGGATGCAGCAGGGAATGTTCTTTTCAGGGATTGTGATATCCTCCGTTTCATGATATCGGAAGCTAAGTCCCCTTTGAATTCCAAGCACATGTAAAGTGTCTTCTTGGGTACGGTTGATAACTCACGTTTTTTAGGATTTGAATGAATATTCTTATCTATAAAACGTGGTGGAAATCCATTTTCTATTAGGACTTTCCTCAAGATGTATAGCTCATCTTCCACAGTATCAGGGCTACATATGCGCCGAATACGAGTGGCAAGCGACCGGATCAGGTTTCGTTTTCGACCAATGGGTACCCAACTGTAGAAATTTGTCAGTTGACCATTCCATGACAGCTTGCGATAAATCGATCTTTTCAGAGTTCCATCGGTCCTTCTTGATAAGTTCACATCGAGGAAATGCATGCTAGACTCGTTCTCCATTTCGAGTGTGAATTTTATCGCCGGATGGCAACCATTAAATACATCTAATATATTATTTAAGTTACAATCACTATTACAAATAATAAAGGTGTCATCTACGTACCTTTTATACATTTGAAAACTTTGGATTATAGGCTTCAGCTGATCATTTTCTAGACTGGACATAAAACAGTCTGCAAGGAGAGGACCCAAGGGAGAACCCATTGCAATACCATCCTTCTGTCTGTAGATTGCTTCATTAAAAGTAAACTGTACATTCAATGTACATCTCAGAAGTAGTTCTTTCAGATCTGTAGTGGGTATTCCTATATTCAATTTGTTGTCTTCTATATATTTGCATATAAAACATATAGTTTCTGTCAGTGGAACGTTCGTAAATAGGGATTCTACGTCCAAAGACAACATATGTTTATTCGACGCATTTATATCCTGTATACATTCAACAAATTGGAAGGTGTCCCGGAGAGAATGATTAGATAGCTGTTCCCTGACAGGTTCAAGGATTTCAGCTAGCCATCCAGCTACTGGATGATAGGGCGATCCAGACATATCCAAGATAGGGCGGAGTGGAAGGCCAGCTTTGTGTATTTTCGGTAGACCGTAGAGTCTTGGTATTAGAGATCCTGTTGGTCTGATCTTTTCGTATAATTCTTCACGAATGAGATGATTGTTCTTCATTCTTTTTAAAGCTTCTGTAAGTTCTTTTTCAATTAATTCCGTCTTATTTTTCTCGTTCGGTTTCGAGAATTTACTGCTGTCTGAAAGTAGACCTGACATTTTGTCGATATAATCCTTACGATCCATAATAACAACACCTGCACCCTTGTCAGGGCGTGTTAGTAATATATCGTTGTTATGCGTCAAAAGTTTAAGTTCTTCTTTGTGCTGTTTGGTCAGAAGACTTTGCATTTTTGATCTTGCATTAAGGTATTGATTGCAAGAGTCAGTGATTGTAGATTTGAAGCATTGGAAGTCCTGTTCTGACGATGGTGTGAGATCATAAGTTTGACTGAGTAGATTCTCAAACTGGACATGTGTATTTAGCTTGTTGATATTGAGATTAACATCGCAAAACTTCGAACCCATTGACAAGGCTTCCATTTGCAATTTTGATAGGGATATGGAAGAGTGATTGAACACGTATCTCTCACAATTCTCAGAAAATTTTCGAAGACATTCGATAGATTTTAGGCTATTAGATAGCTTAGAATTAAAAGACATTGTTTGTTGGTTGGTGACCACGTTGACATATTCATTAAACGTTTGACGTTCTTCAATCGATAAGTCATATAGAGCAGAAGATCTTTGCGATATATTCTTTAAAAAAAAACCATATATATACGATTGTAGAGCTTGATGATAAATTCGTTGAAAAGAGTCTCTTCGCTGAATCATTTGTTTTGATTTTCTATATGTTACAATGGGAATTTTCCATGATCTAGGTGAATTCTCTGGAAACCACTCTGTAGTGTTCAAATGCAATCTTATTATATGTTACTATAATTTGATTAAGGTATAATCAGCATATCTGAAAAGCTAATAACCAGTCAGTTAGGCATACGGTGATTAAATATGTGATATTAACTCTCAAGCGACTTTTTACTACAGTGTTTGACGTCAGTCGTATGCAATATGAGGTGAAGAGCAATTTTTAACGAAGCAATGTTTACGAACTGACTTCACTTAGAGAACCACTGAAAACCAGCTACTGGAGTAAATTCCAGTGGCCCATGAATTCTAATTTCTGACGAAAACCTGAAAATAATTATCACAAAATTATTGTTAAAATATGCACAGTAAGTTCAAATAAAAGTTTTATTAATTCCCTTTAATAAAGCCAAGTCATAGCCATATTTTAAATGTTCTTTAGCTTGTCACAATTATGTAAATTAATCAGCTCATCTTCATATATGTCTGCGCGTATTTTTTTCTCCTACTACAGCCTGAGCCAACAGAATCAAGTCTACCACAGTTCCCCATCAAAATGGCGTTACTTGGGAAACCTTTAAGCGGGAAAACAACTATAATAAACGAATTGGAGAAAAGTAACTTGAATTTCGCTTTAAATTAATTGGTAGCTTCCTTTATAATTGTTCTGTGTCATTCATTTCTACTATTTAGCATGCTTACATAGAGCTACATTTTCAGGAAAGCATGGTAATGACAGTTTTCAATCAAATTTGACTGCTTTAGAGTAAAACTGACTATTGTATTGTCAGCGATTTTGTAGTCCATTTAGTAAAGCAGGTTATCGGTTTGTTGTACTTTGATTTGCAGTAGCCCAAAATAAAGTAAAACATTCATATACGAATAAATTGCTGGCGATATTGTCTTAATGACCTACTTAATACAGTAATCAAACTGTCCGCACACAGGATCGACATGTTTCTAGGAGCTTAGGCTTGCAAATGTATCTAGAGCAGTGGCTTACAGCATGGATTCATGAGTAAGTGATGGTTGCTAGTCTTAAGCGTCACAGGAGACAAGAACAAAAAATTCATGATTTTTTATTTAATTGGTGACAAATACAATGAAGACGGAGTCGTTGATTTTCAGGAAAATCAGGAAACATTGTATGGAAAAATTTCTTTGATCAACACGAAACGAAGATACATTTCGGAGACGTGGTTTCAAATCTCAGGGAGGATATTTTTCAGCTAGGTTGCATACAAATCTTGCTGAAGAGTACCTCTAATTATCCAATACAAATTACTCTTTTAAACCTTAAGTCTACTTCATCAGATCTTTTATGGGACTCTGAGAAATATTTAATGTCATTCAGATGAAAGTTTAGGATATACAGATTGATATAATCAAATGAGAATTAACTACACACATAACCAAGTTGTAACTGAAGTGCGGCAAACTCTGATGGATAGGAAATATAAAAATGAAGTCATGCTAGATTTTGGCGTAATCAGAATCAGTTTTTGGATGTACTGATTACAACTTATGCATTCAATTAACTGTGGTCAAACAACCTAAGAAATTAATTTTTAAAAATAGTCTGTCTCTAAACTGTAGTTTTAAAAACTACATACGGAAAGACTTTGCCTTCAAAAAATATTCATTATTATTATATATTAATCACTGTCCACCGTACAATATCAACCTCTTTAACAAACCAAGTAATAATTATGTAATCGAGTTAAAATAACGTTAAAACCAGATTAGTTACAAATAAACTGACAAAATTGTTTTTATTAACTGGTACGGAACAAATATTGTTAAGAAAGCATAGTTCAAAAACTGTATTTTGTCAGTATTTCTGAATTTGCAGGCACATGATACAATCCTGCATCTTCCATAAATAGGATTACGTCAGCCTACATGACACCTTGAAAGTATAAGATATTAGGGGGCGAGTGGACTATGGACATAAAAAAGAATAAATAAGGAGATATACTTTTATTTTACGTGAGTGTTTTAATGAGTTTGTGTGACATGATAGTAAGATTCTCCTTAATAAGGCGAGTTTATCAATTACTGCTATTATTCTGAACCTGTAGTTTAGAATTTTCTTCTAAAATTGAATATCAAATTTGTGAGTAAAAGACAGTATGTTTCCTTTTTATGAAGGATAAATTATACTTTTATAACTAGTGATATGCAGTCCTACCTTCATCGAAATAAGTCCAGAATCAGATTTATGATGTTTCTTCTTTGTGTTGTGAAGTAAAACTAAGCAAACTTCAAAAGATTTAATCTGTCGGTCTTATAGCATTAAGACTAAACCTGACAGTTTCTCAGTTTTAAACCTGTTATCGTATAGGACGAACAAAGATTCGACAATTCATTAATTTCCTATCTCCATTCTTATAATAACGGCTATTATTTTACTGACGAACTTGATGATACTGATACGGTGTTTGTAAAATCAGTTACTCTTATAGAAGCTTAAAACTATGTACGTTTACATCTTTGTTTTTCTTACACACTTCAGTGCCTGTCTAATAAGTGTACTTTCCTATATCTAGACCATCGGTGTATTGGAATAAATCCACCCCGACTTATCAGAGAAGCATTAAAAGCCTATGAAAACAAGGAAACTGAGGAGTGTTTCGGAGAAACAGCCGAAGTTTTGAACTTGGAAGAGTTGAAGCCTATGCCATCTTCAACAGTGAGTGATTTAATTTATCAACTATGCGTTAATGTATTAAGAAGGAATGATGACGATGTTTTTTAAAAATCATCTCATCAAATGCTTCTAAATCAGTCATGAATTCCAGCAAATACAGGGAGATTAGTAGACTAAAGATTCACCCTTAGCTTTCTTAATTATAGGTCGGAAATTTGTCCTGGATACAGTGATGATTCTATGAATTTTGGCAATTAGTTGACGTAATGGAAATATTGATGTTCACTTTAATCGCCTTTTCTGACTGTTACATTGCCTACTGCTGTTAAAGCTTCAATAGGACATTATTTTATTGTTGACAGATCAGTATATGTGCATAAATCATTTGTGTAAATGCACCAGCGGTGTATTTGGTGCATCTGATTACCTTGTCTGTATTATAGTTATTTTAGAGTTATATTTTGTCATATCAACTGTTTCACTCCCCTCCCCTATTATTCAACAATGGATTACTATACATTTTTGGTAAATATAAATACGACAGTAGAGCCTCTGAAGATGATTCTGTCGATAAGGAAAATGTTTTTTGCTGAATTGTCTTTTACTTTCTTCATAACTTAATGGTTTAATTTTGGTGAGAGGATAACAAACGTGTGCAGATTGTTGCATTTGATGATTAGTGTATGAATTATAAGAACGATATCTATTTACAGACTGAAAAATATTCATTACATTTGGTTAGCTATATAATTTCGTTGGGGCAGGGACAGGAATGGTTGAATTCAAGTCTGACTCTGTCTTAATTCATCATTCTGTTTTAGTCTATTTGGATTCCATTTAGTGGGAAGTGGTTCTGCTGTGAAACGCTCTTTGTATTTCTTCGATCGTTGAGATTTTGTAAATTCTCTTTTACGATTACTTTTATATAGCTGTTAGCATTATTGAACAGCGAAATATAATTAGAAATACCATTCTTCGGGTTTTCATCCACTGAAAAATACAAAATTGTTATGGATCTTTGTGATTCATTCTCACCTAAACTACTACTGATTAAGAATCTGTCCATTCAGGTTTGCCAAGTTTGAACAACTGCCATTACATGCACAAATCATGTTCATAACTGTGCCCTGTCTAACTTCCAATGCTTCAAGAAACCTTGCAGGAATTCTCAGGATTGGGTTTCGTTCACATTTATCAGTGTTGCATATCACCGACTGAAAATTTATTAATACTTTCAAGGAAATTCGAGCGCTGGTGCGTGACATTTAGTTACAGAATGTTAATTAAGAACAAAAGATGGACTTCACGTTTGTAGTCAATATATAGTTTTGGTTAATAATAAAGAACAGTTTGGAAAAACTAAAGGAATCAGGTCTTTTGGACTATGGTTACCGTCTTAATTCCTAAACAGACTGGTGCACTTTATGATATGTATATACATATATGTCATTGTTTTCTCTATTGTAGTTGTCGTCTAGGGCCAAACTTGGGGAAATCATATGGAATGAACTAAAAAGCGGAAAAGAAGTATCTGACAGTCTTATAGTCGACTTAATATATGAAAAGATTAAGTAAGTTAGAAGTAATCTTAAATATTACTTGGTAGTTCGAAGACTGCTGTGGTCTAATTTTCTGTTTCACCTGAGATTATTGGCTGTTGCATGGTTGTATAAAACCAGAGAGGAAAAAAACAGATCCTGTTATTTGAATATCAATCGCCAGCTCACTCATGATTATTGGATGAATATCCTGGAGCTACAGTGGAAAATCACGACCAGTGGGATTCGCCATGTTAAGGTGAAGTGGGTACTCATAGAAGGCATCGGTGAGAACAGCGCTATATGACAAGTTGACAGTCGATGTGTAGTCATCTGAATTACGTCACTATCTACTTGTTTGGGCTTGCAAATACTTCAGGTTAATGATCCATGAGTCATTTGGTTTGTCTGATTTTTTATCCGTCTAAATCCAGCTTAACTGTAAATCTACTTTTTAAAAATTAGCACAGGGAAAATTTAGCAGTATTAAACTCATTTCTTGTAAATCTAAAAATTCATCAACTTACTTCCTCCATTTGAAACGTCATCAGTAATTTTCTTTTTCTTTGTCTACTGGCTGTTTGACCAAGAAGCAAGTTCTGTTGTATGACATGAATCAACAGATACAGGTTATTTACTGTTATCTACCATTCGTGATAAAATTAAAGGCAAAGTAGTAAAGTATGCATGTATCATAGTGAATGTGCAGACGTTTAATTAATATAACAAGTGAAATATATAGATAAGCGCTTCATCTTAACTGTGAAACTGTTTGGGTCATACAGTCTATAAAGCCTGGTGAAAAACATTGAGTAAGGTGGTCACAAAACTGAAATTACCTGTCTTTATTTCCAAAGTATATATGAATTCAGGCAAGCCTACAAATTGAAGCTGCCGTCTCCTATGGATGGAAAAAATCATATTTGATTTGAAAACTTCTTACTGGTTAAGTTCTAAGATCATCTGTTGTCGATTTTGATAAAACAAAGAGTCATCTATCCTGTCAACTATAAAGTTTCACATTTCCATCCTGCTGACCATCTGCTACGCTTGTTTAAACCAATCAGAAAATCATTGGTGATATAAAAAGTCTGGTGATGAAATCTCAAACGGTCTCTCCTAGTAAATGAAGCTTAAATCGGTGATGAAGCATCATTCTCTTCAAGACTAAGCAGAGGTCATCCTACCAACCACCAAATGTTTACACATGACCCTTCTATAATATATTTTTCTGTCTTGTATGATTACTTTTCGCTTTCGTCTAGGACCCTTCAGCCCACAACAGGATTTATACTTGATGGGTTTCCAGCCACTTATAATCAAGCTAAATTACTTGAAGAGAAGTTAACTACATGTAAATCAGAAAATAATACGCCATCGAATAATTCATCTACAAGACCGAAATTAGAAGATATGAAACGATCGAAAGGGTTAGACTGCGTACTCTTAATAGATATATCAGATGAAATTGTTTTAAAGCGTTTAGCGCATACAACGTTAACGAAGGTGGACTCAAATTCGTCTTCAGCATTAATGACACTGGATGCTCAGGAGGACATAAAAACAAATCCAGTATCTTTTCACAGTGATCCAGCTGAAAATGATAGTCATGGTGCGAAAGATATAGCGGATCCTGAGAACTCCACAGCGCAACCAGATAGTTTTAACTATTCCTTAACTCTACAAGAAACAGAAGGAAATATAACTGAAAGATTAATTGGATTTATACAGTCATGGCCCAAGCTGTATAAATTCTATCACAATAAATTATCAAATCTTTGTGTAGTGAACCTAACAGATTTACTGGTCAATTCAACGTATACGCATGATTTTACTGAGAATAGCAGCCAAGGTGAAATTGAATATGATCGTGAAACAGACCATGAATCAACGAAATTAGCAGTTTATTTAGAAATTGAAAGACAAATTGAACTGTTGATCGAGCAAAAGGAAAAAGATCGAACCAAGACACCAGGGACTCCTACTAATATAGATCAGAATGAAGATACGGAAAGCAGGCGTACACTGCTACCGAGTTCTACCAGTGAAGTGGTGGGCAATGTAAAGGATGGTAAGGTGAGTTATGCGTGTTATAGTGTAATTTGTTGTTCATACAAACTCACTTGAGCATATTTTGTTTGTAAAATATTTTAAAAAACCAAATAGTTGGAAATTACTCAGAGGAGAAATCGCCTAACCTTTACACGTTCAGTATTATTCTCGAAGAGTATTATTTAAAAAATTGATTTATAAACTGTCAGGATATTCAGGAGTCATTTTATGCATCAGAATACATTCCTAGGTGTCCACCAATTCTAGTTAGGTTATGTACCAGGGGCCAAGCACAAAGCTTTAACATAAAGGATCCAGAATAACATGTGTGCCTCAGCATACAACAGTATTATATTACTTAAGTTCTGATGTGTGCCACTGGTAAGAGTTTATAAGAAGTGTATGTGATGACTTCTTCAAGGATCTCGCATAGCGAAGTGATAGGTTAGATCTTGAAGAGGAGGAATGATAGGTCTATATGAAGCAGTACTGAAAGCATGAAACGAAGGCAGAAGAAGTAGAATATGACGAACTTATGCAAAAGGAAATTGCAATGTAAGGTATCTGTATCTTTCCATTACAGCATATCTATCATTTGCCAGACTGGGAATTCTGATACCAAATACGACCGTGTTCTGCTGTTAAAATTGATGTCGCTGCCTTTGACCAGATAAAGTTCCCCTGACCTGCAACTTTCTAAGAGGAAGACATCCGGAGCTTCCTATAGGACTATAAAGGCAGCTTCTGAAGTGATACACATTCAGGATCACAGGTTATTCCAGGTTCTTGTAGAAGGTATCACACACAAAGCACTACGGGTAAACGTTTTTCAATAACATATGTCACAAGCTTAGGGATTGCTACACTGCACAACGGATCAGTGGCTTAAGAGTACTGAATAAGTTTCCCATCGATGACTTGTTCATTCAGAATCTTAGTTTTAAATTTAATTTCACAATTTACTGCAGAGTAAAATTCCTTTGAACACATGTGAGGTGCTTCAACCGACTGCCTCGTTTTCTTTTATTCCTTTATACAGGGTTTCAAAGCATCAGCTTTAAAGTTTCGGTAGCAGTAGCTTTAATTTACGGGGTGGGGTTGCTGGCCTCATGCTTAACCTTCTCTTTTTAAAGGGGTTATTACCGACGAGGTTTAGCAGAACATCAGCCGGGGATAGAGCCCTGAAATATGTGGGTTGTTGGTGAGGATTATACAGCTGAACCACCGACGCACAACTGCCTCGTTTAGTTGGATTTTATCAACCCATTCAAGTACATATTTAACCTGCTGTCAAAACGAAATAAAATAATTCAATATACTAAAACTACATGCTATAACTGTAGGTCTGAACACTGGATCGACGAAAGCAAAAAATCTTGACTGAATTTAGACCCTAACTGATAACAGCTGTTAGCGAGAACTGATCAAATACATTTGAGTTAGACTTCAAGACATTTGTTAATCAATATATTGCTCATATTCTTAAAATCAAACATTAAAATGTTATGGATGTAATGAGAATACGAATTAAGCATTTTTACTGATGCTAAGAAAATTGGAGTTATTCTCTTGTCATCACTTATTGTAGTTAGATGTCTTAAGATGCCTTCGACCCAAAAGCCTAATAGAAAAAGCGGTTAGGTAGATGCAATATGCCATTTATTAAACCAATACGCTTTAACTAGCATAAATCACCGGTCAAAGGGATAACAACACTTTTGCTGCGTCACCACCTTCCTAATCGCAGCTGCGAACTAAATTAAAAGTACAACATTAAGTAAAAATACTCATTTTTCTCAATAAGTAAATTAAATTATAGAGGCTGCAGGTGTAAGTGACGAGATATAGGCTGCATATTATATGCCTATAAAATAAGAACAGAATGATTAATTAAGGAAAATATAATTTAAAATGTATTTCTTTATTTAGTGAAGCCTTTGTTGACAGTTTATTATTTCAGACATTTTAAGTTTATGCTGCTTCTAAATTGGGACGATCCTCTGTTGAGTAAGAGATTAACAAAACTAGTTCCCCTTAAACCAAGTACTAGCAAGCCTGAAGTGTAACTCCATATCATAAACTGATGTAGCTCACTGGCATTATTTCAATTGCCTTTCTTGATCATTTTTCCAAAAAAATATTTTTACTCCAGAAATTAGATTTAAACAGTGACAACAAAGAAGATGAAAATATGAAAGTGACAAGGGAAAATACGGGTTCCTCACCACCAGCACCACTCGAACGTCCTATGACAGCTAAAATCTCACCTAGTGCCAAGAACTCCAGAAATTCCCGACAAAGTGATGCGAGCAAAAGAGAGAAGAGTGTTGAAAGTCACAGGAAATCAGGTAATTTACCAGAGATAAATGTATTCATCATTCTTATATCAGCATTTTTTTGGATCTTTCATTGTTAATAATTAAATCGGCTTATTACCATAGTAAATTAATTGAAATAAGACCAATGAAAACAAGAAGTTTTATGCGATTAAGTATTCTACTAACGTTGTAATGACTAGTGAAGCTAGCAGTAAATATGGTTTTAAATTGAATGACTTACTGAGTAACACATGTAAAGGATTTGGCTTTCCTTAAGTCCTAAGGATTTTTCCTAGTTTTCTTATAGATAAATTGACAGTTGGAACGAAAAGTATTCAACATCATGAGCATACAAAGACAAGCAATTACATTCCAAAAAGGGCGACATAACCAATAAAGTGAAATACAGAATCCTTAATTTAAAAAAAATTCTAATAGGTAGGAATGTCCACTTCAGTACGGGTAGCTTCGCGTTTAGTCACCTAAAGGTTTAGGTTGATCATACTCAATCTTTCTTCGTAATTTAGGAAAAGTATCTGTGATGCTAACAAATAGTGAAATCGCCTTAGCTTCCTACCAGTTATAACTAGTCACTTAATCAGTCATCTTAAATAGCTTAGGTTCACAAACTACATGATTATCTGACTTTCTCCGGAAACTTTGTGATACTCGTGATGGCTTTGGAGAAATGGGAACAAACCTATGTTAATTGAAACATTGACCAACTCACAAACAAAAGGTAATCACATAATAAAAACTAAGTCACATTTCAAATGGGTACTTTCATCACTTCAGTTGACCCAATGGTCAACAGAACATTTCTAAAGTACATTTAAAGAACATTTAATTTTTTGTCGTGATCACTTTTACCTTCAGTTGACCTAACAAGTGTAAAGCAGCACACAAACAATTGCAGTGTTCTCCCACTGTATGCTAGTTTTCTCATGGACACAAAATGACAAATATCCGGTCAATATCCTTTTATCTCTCTCAGTACTTCTTCAGAATCGATTCAAACACAAGTGATTCATTCCATCGGATCGAGTGGTTAGTCAGCATAGACAGTTTACTCCCCTTCTTTAAAGTAGCTTCGGATCAGTACTGAAGTACCGTCCAAAGTTTCGAAAACAGCATTTAAACAATTTTTAGTGGTCATACTTATCATACTGAGTGGTGGCAATTAATCTTAGTGGCTGAACAGACATAAGAATAATTTATATGAGCATGATGGAGATGTATTCAGAAGGATCTCACAAATACTTTCTAACCTCAAGGATAACAAATTAACAACTTTACCACTTGTTTGTCACACGAACTAGCTTATTAGGCCTTTAAAATTATATATTCTCAGCAGTTTCCAAATCTTGTGACAAATCCACATATTAGAATGTTTCATCTCACAAACAGGATTCAAAAGACCGTAGACTTAGACCTTTGTGTATTTAGAGCTTGTGTACATTTACTGCATAGTGTCCCTAGCCGCAATCGCATGCTACGTTAAAAAAGATATCAAACTCCGTGATTGATAAGATTTTTAATTGTCGGGCATGTAAAACATGTATATATAGTCACAAAAATAAAATGATCGAAGCTGTATATTTTCAACAAGGTGCTTTAAAAAGACAAGATCTGAAATACATGAATCAAAATAACCTAGCGAATTAGATGAAAAATCGTGATAACAAATCCATAATAGTTCACTTCAATCAGAATGAGTGAAATTCGAAGCAAAACAAAATGTTTAAGCATTGAGATCAGTTTTAGCTATGCCACCTACTAACCACGGATAATTTCTAAATTCACGCGGATATTTGTCACACTGTCGGTGGAATCAAAATCATCATCCATTAACATGATAGATAGATGCTAATCCTTTGTTTAGTACCGAGTATTATCTCTAATTATCTTTAATTCATTTCACAAGCTGAAAGAAGATCTCCATCTACAGGGAATACTTCGAAGCACAACGACAGTAAAGGGAAGAGTACAAATTCAGGGGATCATAACAAACAGGTAGAATCTCTTAATAGGACAAAGTCTAGAAGTCGTTCTAGTAGTGAAAAGAAACAATCAAAGAAGGCGAAATTAAAGCCTAACGACTCACCACAGTTGGTTAAACCACCTGATGAAGATCCAACTCCTCGGCCGAAATTACCACAACCTGGCGATGAAAACTATAGGTTTGTAGATATACCAATCATGCAAGTAAGTTTTAAGAGTTAAAACTTTGAGTTTTACAAAATTTGGCAAAGTTAAACTTTAAGCACCTTTAACTACCAATCAGCAAATGACTTTGAACGCAACAATCACATGAAGGAGGGATTTTTGTGTATGGAATACGTTTATTTATGAAATACTGCATAAAAACTGTAGAAAAGTGTTACAGAGGATACCTTGCTCTCACATGTGATAAATATAGCTCCCAATTTTAGGTTGGAGTATCAACAGAGTATAATTCCATTGTAGGTAAAATTTATTTTGATAAAGTTTCATAGTGTAATACAGCAATATTTACTGAGCAATAGATTGTGCTCGAAACGTAAGCAGTAAATATTACTGCTGTATAACACTATGAGACTTTATCAAAATAAATGTTACCCACAATGGAATTACACTCTACCACAGTGCACAAGTACTGTCCACATTCTATGTATGTAATTATTTAGGTCCCTAATATTTCCTGAACACAATCCTAAAGTGAAAATATCCCTTAACTAACTGTAATCTAACTCGACCAAACTTACTGCCACCTTTGTTAGGTTAATCTAATCCTAACTTGTCCGTGGCTTAAAGCGTAACCTTAATCTTTTCAAACCTAGGCCGAAACTTGCAAGAAATCCTAAATAAGATTTAATAGCATAACACTTCGATAAACATATTTTATTGATGACGACAACATTATTTGCTAGGTTCCACTAACTTGCTCAGTGAGCGTTTCAAGGTCACTGGTGCGGTTGCACTCCATTGGTAGTCAGTGGTGCTAAAAGTTTAACTTAGCCCTTTTCACGTACTATAGAAAAATCTGCTGGAAATCAAAGACGATTAGTTTATTCTTTTTTTGATCTGCGTAAGCATAAACCGTTAGGGTTTTCTGTATAATCAAGCAATACTTCGTTGGTGCCTAGTAACCTTTCTTTTGATACTACTGGACAGTACAAATTGGCCACAAGTAAATTCACTTTACTAATTTGTAAAAGCATTCATATTTCTGGGGAAAGTCGGTGTACTGGCAATACTGATATAAAAGGATGAACAGTGTGTTATAACTGCGATGAACTAAAGTAAACCCCGTCGCCAATTTGTTATAACTGTAGGGGAATTAAATGAAGACGTTGTCGCCTTGTTCTGTCTGCGCCTGACTAATATGCCTATCTGCTTCTGGTACCTTCCGATTCAGCGAACCACGCAAATATCAAAAGACAAAGTCTGGTCTGTGACTGTGTATTGTAGTACAACAACTACGACAAACTACGACGACGACAAAGAAACTTATTTAGGAAATGGTATTTATACATTTTTACAACCAATACAGACAGCTAACAGTATTTGAAATAATTGGTCGTAATAGTCAATAACAAAATGCGTGGGAAATGATGATATACCACTTATGCGAGATTAACAGTCGTTAAAATAATTGAACAATAACAAAGTGTGTGGGATCCTATCACAGTGGACCACATAAATCGCCTGAATTAGGAAGAATAAGTATTTAGTAAAAATGTCCACATTTAAGCATTGAAGAATTTCAAGATCCATATTCACTACAAACTCTGTTAACTGAAATTTAAAAAGTAGCAGTGTCATAGATGTGTACCTACCATCAAATACCTTAGCACTTTAAATCTTGAGCTGAATTGGGTGTAAAATTTTCTGATTTTACTGTAAATGACGCTTCTGATGATGTTTGAGTGAGTACAACTAACAATCAGAAAGAAAAATTCATAAGTTGATCACTTTAATTATCTCTACAATTTTTCCACTTAAGGCACTTAGTCACTTTTAAAGGGTATCATGATTTCGTGTGCTAAATTAACTAGATTTCATGGTAGTAAAAGGCAGTTTACACTCACCCTAACATAAGCTTTCGTATAATATATATATATATATATAACAGGACCACTAAATTTTTGTCTGAACGTAGTAGTCAGATACCAACTGGAAGTCTAGGAAACCACAAGATCCTGCTAGTCACCGGATAGAAACTTTCTGTAATATGGATGAGACCAGTGATTGATATCATCAGACAAATCAATGCAAAAGTAACTGGAGATGAATAATGTTCTAGAGATAGAAAGGATAAGAAGAAACACTAAATTATGCAGTAGTAATTTCAAAGAATTATTCTAAAATAAACTTTCACATACCTATTCTTTCCTAATTTAGGAGACTGCACAGACATTATTAAAATTATGGGATAGTACAGAAAATATATACCAAAAGAATTTGAAGTCGATCTTCCGTGAAATTCGCCTCCTCAATACAAATGTTATACCATACATGTATTATATTAAGCAACAATTTTATAACTATTTGTACAGACCTGATTCAAAACAACATTTTGTCAACCAGTTTATCAGTGTGAGTTTCCAAATTACTTCTTTTGAAATTTGTTCAATTAATCTGTACACATTTTCAGTATGGATCTTTATTTTTGTATAAGTTAAACAGGAAACAACTTTGTACCGTCAAGCTGAACGTTAGTTTGACAAGCACTGATCATTGAAGCTAGGTGAATAATGATAACTGATTAATACTGTTTTGGAAATGAAATTTTGTGGGATATTTGAAGAAAAGGGATATATACCGCCTTAGAGACTTATGAGCTTATAACCTATATTCTCAACATGATTGCATTATTTGAGTGAGACGAACTATTGGCTTGTTTCTGTGTGCGAAAACCTTAATTAGCTTTCTATGGTATTACTAGTGGACAGAAGTATTTGAGTTTTAATTGACACCAGTTTTTTGCTGGATGACAACAGATATCAATATTTGGTTTCAAGTGTGTGGAAAGGAATCCGTGGATTAGTTGCCTAAAGGGCTCATTAAGCTAATGTGATTCAACACTTTTCTACGTTGATATTCACTTCTGTTTTGTTGTTGCGTATTGGGTGTTAGTCAGTAGGATGCTTTTTGGACAACGCTGTTACTAAAGACACTGTTTTTCTGGGAATATTTTAAGCTTCAAAAAGAATAAACACAGAATCAGTGGTAAACGGAGTATTTGTAATTGTCAGTCAAACAGATAGCCAACAGGACTAAAAAGTTTCAGCATTTGTGATGGTTATTAGCTTGTAAAACAGCGTTAATGATGATGAAGTTATAAAGAATCCAGTGAAGTACGCAGATTTGTTCAAAACGGAGATAACTTCAACTTCTTACTGCCATAAGGACTTGAATTAGTTTAGTGACTGCTTTTCACTTTTCAGTTACCAAGTGCCGTAGAGATTAATAAACGTTACCGAACCCACCGGTGTGCATTTCTGAAAACGTACTCAGTTTGACGTTATTTGGTTATTTGACAGTAAAATTCATGGTGCTTATTTAGTCTTATTCGAGACTCAGTTAGATAATGTGACCAGTGTGACAGTGTTCTCAATGAGACTAAAGCCCAGCAATAATTGATCAGAAGTCGAAGCCTCCTCCAACTAATTACTGAGTAAAATTTTGTCTACTTACAAATAAATAAGTAGGTAGATAGCACAATAAAAATTGAAATGGAGAATTCTTTGTATAACGTATCTATGCTTCATATGTACAAGTACTATGATGGTTAACGATCTATGACACAAACTGATTCAACTTTTTCGTCCCAAACTTGAAAAGATATTAAGGTTCTATACGCACTGGAGATCGTATCACTTTAGTAGGTCCTGTCTCCTCTGTAGGCCTAATAGTTTTCGGGATATTAATTAGTGCAGATGTATTTCCTATTACTTTCGTTTTCGCCGTTCACCGTCGTCTCCAGTCTTTACGAAAACTTATTTTCAGTTTACGTTAGGATAACTTTTCCTACGTACGATGTCTGCATCTTGCCAAAATCTATCCCACTGCACTTACAATCTTTTTAATGTTCACAAATTAATGACAATTTATTTCTCAATTTGTGCACAGAAAAGACACCTATATAAATCCATTTGTGTTCAGCCTTAAAATTTCTGTCTAAGGTTCTATGTTAAATTTTATGCCTTCTTCTGAGTAGATTCACGCGACAATCTCAGAAGTTTATCACTTTTACGTTTATCTTCATTTCAATCTTCTTTAGGCATTTAATTCATTACCAAATGACATGCGAGCAGACAGAGAAACAAAAGCTGACCTACACTGTCGAACAGATGATCTCCGTGATACTCTGTACGAAATTATAGATGAGTCAAAGCAAGCGAATGAAAATCAATTAGAGACATTGCTTGACATTCCTGGTTGGTTTACAGATAAGGAGAAATTATTGGTTAATTTATACCTCTCCCTGTTCCAAGTTGAATTAACCCAGTTTCAAGAACATGTACAACTAATAAAAGATTACTACAAGTAAGCCACCAGATTTTTCAAAATTTACTTTTCAGTGGTACTGTTTCAAGTGCCTAGAGTCACTGGCAGTGAGTATCTATTGCTGAGTGGTTAATACATTCAAAATTTTCTAAGTGAGTGATGAATGTGGGGAGAACCTCAGCTAGGAAAATTTTTGGAACTAACGGGAAAAAAGGTTTAATTTGATCTAGATATCTGTGGTTTGATAAACCCCGATAGAGGCGTTGGCCGCACTCAGCGTCTTGAAATAATAGAGATTTATAGATCATGTGAAGGTTTTTGATGTTGTCGTGTTTCTAGAGTTGGATGTTTTAATTACAAAGCTTCTATTTTTCCTCAGGACAACAGCTTTAGCACTAACCTCTTGAGAAACCAGATTTCTGCATGATTTAAATATCCGTTTTTCTGGCTATCTTGACTGTGATTATTTGTCACTGCCTGATAAATCAGTGCTTTTTGAGTTGAGAGTCTATTTAGGAGGCTATGTCTGTCTGATCAGTATTACTTTCATTGGGTTGTACCATTATATAAGATGGAGACCATCTACAGTAATAGATATAATCTTGAGATACGGACTTTGGTGACGGAAACACGTGTTACGAATAGCACCCAAGAGTAGCGCTTACAAGAGGCATGGTTGGCCCGTAAAGTAGTGCTATCGTCTGATATTTGTTGACGTCCGACACCTACTTGAGTGGGTTCGGAGAAAATATAGAATTCAATGGAGTCATCAGATGTAACTCAAATTCGAAACGAAACGTTATAATGCTGAAGTTCCTATACTTTTTTTCTACTTCCTATCGTAATTACTATCAACATGGTTATTTCATGCATCTAGTAAGTCCTGAGTGAATAATAATCTCATGTACTCAAGTCACCATAATCCTATCCTTGTAGTGATCTCGTCAGAAAGGTCACAAGCAGATCAGCACAAAGATCTTCAGCTGTAAAGGTCAAATATACTACTTTAATAAGGGTAGAATTAATGCAGTGTGGTAGAATATAATTCTATATTAAGTTATTTTATTTTATATAACACACAATTGAAGATAATCAGTAACTGGATAACGTTTTGAGCTCAATTTCTCTTAATCATATCCCTATGTTCACTTAACTTCACAACTTGCTTTGTATAGTTTTCAATACCCCACTGATTGTCAACGAGATTTTTTACATATCCGAGATTAGGGTTGAGTCATCCCTGTCCTGTGTATCTGGTATTGAGGAGGTTAGTTAATCTCTCTTCCCACCCAACTATTACTATTACTTTTTTAAAACTTCTGCCGTACGCCAGCCCATTGTATGGTTATATCCAAACTTGTGCATGGCAGAGGCCAAGCCTTTTTTACATTACGTGACTTAGCGGAGTCAGTTATTCTACCTTCGGCTAAATTCCCACTTTACAAACACCGGGCAACCAGTTTGACGTATGTAATTTACCTCATACACATTACATGGTATTTGGTAAATGATATTAGTTTGCCTAATTAGGTCTTTAAGATGACAATGTTTGTCTATATATGAGTTGGTTGATTAGCATTACACCCTAATTCCTGGCTGATTAAGAATCTTATGCAGAGTCTCTGATGTTCCTTACTGATCTAGTATTAGAATGAAAACTTTAAATTCTAAGTTATTCCTACTTACATTACTACTTCTATTTCTCTTATTCATCTTAATAAACCGTCTAGTGAATTCTAGTGAGTAGTTATTCACCGGTGATCTTTTTTTCATTCGTTTCATTGCCTTATTTAAATTTGATAACTCATTCTCGATTAGTTGAGTTAACCAAGTCAACCTTTGCTAATTCTGAGTGGGATGATTCAAATTCTAATTAACAACCAGAATGCAATGATTTTTTTTATAGATGCTAGTATCTTAAACCCACATCTTGTTTTCATTTTACGTTTACATTTACACGACACCCGATTCGGTATGTTCATTTTTGAACTCGAAAGTGAATTAAATTTCATTTGTGTAGAGAAACCAGGGATAAATGCAGACCTCAACGCTGTGAATATGTTGTCTATATATGTCCACCAAACCTTGAGAATGGAATTAAACACCCTAAGAGCCTTACGTTTTCAATTATTCATCAAAATATGTGCTACTACTGGGTATGTTAGTGACTGCACTGCTACCCCATTTGTACTTTGTGTTTCTGTCATTAATACTACATTACACATTAATCAAGCATATCATGCAACTAACTTCTACGCGTCGGTGGCACAGTGGTTAGGACTCTCGCCGACCATGCACATGGTCCGGGGTTCGATCCCCTACCGACGCACACCCGATATCTATGTTCGGCCTGCAAAATTTGGGCTACCGATATCCATGCTGAAAATTCCACACTTGTACTGAAATATGGTGTAGCATCAAGCTGTAATCAAAATAAAAATAAATACCTTTAACTGAACAAACTTACTATATTAAGCGACTGTTAGGTAAATGCCGCCTGCATCTAACGTTTGTATCAATGGATTCATTCCTCCAACACTGCCATTTCCCACATACTGTCTTGACCACTGAGTAGCACGGACTCCTCTACTCTCATTGGTGAAGTGTCACATGGAATGAGAAAGTGATTACTTCATCGCAGTATTACATAATTCTCATTAGAGTTAAAAGTGTTAACTAAATCTTATACATTAAGCAAGTATTCTGCATCCATTCTAAGATCTTCTATCAGAACGAGTAGTTCTATTCAATTCCGAATTTTATTTACCGTATTTTCTCCTGAGCTCTATCCAAAATTTATGTTGAAATTTTATCACGGACTAGCAACTATAATAACCTGGCATGCTGGGGGTACAAGTTTCATACTAGTGGAATAAACATATATATTTATATGATTTTAAAACAAATGTGTTCTGCAAAAATCCTTCATTTTTACCGATTCTAGTGCCATGGAAGCCAAACCTCAAACAGTCGAAGGTGAACCAATCCAGTCTTTGGCTGGAACAGTGGATGCAAGTCATATGGAATATACAAGAATACCACTACTGAAAGTTAGTTTACCAGTACAAGGAATAATCTAGATATGTACATTGTTTACTATAGTTAAAATATAAAAAGGATTGTTTTTTAAAAATATTTTGATGATTTGCAACCTTCGTCCGAAAGAATTATTTGAGAAGACTGAAAATTACTTTAGTCGAGTTTTCTTCACTAAATCCTCAAGAAGGATGACAATCTAATAATATTGCAACATGACGAAAGTGCAAAGAGAAGAAGAAAGAAAAGCATGCATGAAACAAGATTATTGTTCCTCACACAGAGTAATACAAATCAACCTGTGATTATAAAATCTAGTTCTGTTTGGAATATTTTTTCTCACTATTGGTATCCATTAGAGTTCACGATTTTCGACCGAGTGAGCTTACACCTTAAGGACCACAATAAACGGAATTTTGCCTGCAACATAGCCAATAATTTTCTGAATTCATGAGAACTAAGACTTGGCTGCTGAATTATATATATTCTACAGTTATTTACCATCAGCGTCTTTGTATAATTTTAATTATTTTACTCATCTGATCTCTACTACTTTATAGTTCTTTTTAGTAATCTCTGTAAAGTGATTTAATACAAAGTGTTTCTTGACTTTATTTTGGTTGTATTTGCCTTACTAAAAAAGGATCTTGAAACTGCTTATAGCAGTGAGTCGCATTCACCCAAATGAATTGATTATTCACTGCACAAAATGTGGTAAACAACACGACTGTTCTAGAAGTACTCATCTGAGGATCTGATTTGAAATTTAACAATATTTTGTGAGGTGACCTGAAAGATAATGAGATTTTAAATAAAAGCAAATATGAATAAATGTTTAAGTGTATGTGCAGAAAGTGTTGTCCACGACCTCGTAGTTTTGGGTGACTATGTCGCTACTTTCTTTTTATATACAAATTATCTTGAAGGAAAATCTGGTCACTTTCTAAGATGAAATTACAGTTAATGGGAACTGCACAATTCTAATAGAAAAGTATATATATATAAGAATACATTAGGCATACCTGGCCAAAAATAGAAATTGCTGCGAATTTATTTTACCTCAGTTACTCAACACGAAGAGTTAGAAAAACATACGACATTTGATTGAGTCTTGTAAATAATGAAGATTGTTTTAGGAAAAAATAAAATAGTGGTTTTACTTTTTGTCTTACACAGTCATTATTCAATTGAGTAATGTCATGACACGTTGTCCAACATCAATATCTAGGTCATATCTGTCTTCGTTTATAGCTTCCCGACGATCAGTCAGAAAATAATGATAATTCTGATCTGCGCAAAAGTGCATCCACACGACAAAATTCGTCAAGATCCAGTTCAAATAAAGGAAGCAAAACAAAACTTACAGATTCAGGAAATAATTCCTTATCACGATATCCAACCCCAATTGATTCAAAGTTTCAGAACTTGCCTATCGAATTCCGTAGTCAGATTAATCTACTGAATTACAATTCCTCGTTACAAGAAGTGTTTGCATCATTTAGTAAAAGTAAGTTTCCTATTAATCGTTTTACAAGACTTTTCGAATTCCATATTAGATACGTTTATTTAATATGACACACAGTAATACTTTATTGAAAGTGGATACCTTTTTGAGCACAATTTATTGCTCATAGTGGTATCAGTTTATTCACATGGCTTCACAATTTGCTTTTTATATATTCCTCCTCTCCCCTTTATTGTTTCTTGCAATTTTCCATATATCTGCTATAGGTGCTGCGGTATTGTAAATACCATTAATACAGCTGTAGAAAATAAATCGTCACAAAGAGAGTTTCCTAGTCTGAAATCGTTATTTTATTGATATGGAGAAATCATGTTTAGTTACACATCATAGTGGTCCTCCAGTTATCTAAAACCTATTCTTTACACACCTAATGCAGTTCGAACACCTTTGCTACGTTTTAAAATATAAGTAGAATACATATATGGTATATTGTGCATGTAGTATGTAGTGTATAGATTTCCTTAAAAGGAACTAAGTTCTTGTTTTCTTGGGTTGTCACTACATACTGAAGAAGCATTCATATACCTACCAGGATTCAGAAACAAATTCTATCACCTATCAAGTCCGTGACACGTAATCTCAAAAACTATCTCCTTAATCTAAATACATAGACCAGCAAGTGATTTATCCCTATTTCCTCTATCGATATACTGAAAAACCTTTATGTCGTCACCATGGATTGCGTAGCTTTCGACAACTAGCTAGTAAGCGAACAAATTCAAAGGAGGAAATTTTGAGGCCAATATCTCTTGCATCTAGATTAGATGACTGAAAATTCGTCGTTAATTAGGTTGTTCTTTATAACATAATTTAATGGCAAGTAATTTTTTGCCATTATTATTACTATTACTGAATGCAGACTTTCAGAGAAAAAGTCAGTTTCTTGCTATATTTCTCTACCTCTGATAAACGTTAGGTGAATAGTTTCTGAAATAATTTGTTTACCGATTAGTTAAAGGCTGGAATAGTTGAAGCTATTACCTGTCACTTGAGTTACAGCTACTTTAACATTTAACTATATAACCAAGCCAAGAATTCCATGCTGTTCTACTAGTATAATTTCTATAATAACTTATAATAATCTTGCTAGGCATTAAGATATACACCGTTTTGAGAATGCACTGAAACTGATGTGCTCGTTGGAATAAAAGACTACCTTCACAGTAATGAGAAAATTACAAGATATGGCATAGGATAACAGACGCCCTGTGCCGATTAAAACAAACGAGGCTCTAAAACCATTTGTTGTTTATTAAAACTTTATCGATAGACTCATACCATTTTCATTTATTATTAGTACCAATATTATTTTGGAATCTTTAGAATATGGTGATCAATTCGTGAATGTTTTTGGGAATATTTAAATAATTTTAATAATACAATTACTTCCTTATGACGCATTTCTGCTGTCAGCGTTCCGAACTCTAGAGCTAGTTTCAGCACTGGGACTGTCTGATTTTATAGTCTTGTAAAACACTTTGTGTTCCAGTTTACTTATTCATTAGCTTACGTTATAGTATAATGTTATTAAATTATTTCATTTGCCGATAAAACTACACATCTAACTTCTATTCTCCTTCACGTCTAATAGGTGGATTCGCTTCGGCTACTCAAAATAATGCAATGCAACCAAATCAAAAAGGAACTAAACCTACTGGTGCCGGTAAATCTAATCCAGCACAAGAAAAAATATGTCTATCAAATCCGACCAATCTTCTTTTGGATAAAACTACCTCACCGTCGGATCCACCCTTGCAATTCCTGTATAATGTTTGTTTAAGCGTAATTCAACTTGTTGCAAGCCAGGTCAGTAGCTCTGATTATTTTCCTTCTATCTGATGTGATGTTATTTTGTTTTAGCATGGTGCATAATTTTTCAAAAGACATAGCCTTAAAATACTCAGTCTTAAACAGAGATTCGAATTTATTCACAGGAACATATGTGCGTCGGTGGCACAGTGGTTAGGACGCTCGTCGACCATGCACATGGTCCGGGGTTCGATCCCCTGCCGACGCACACCTGATATCAATAGTTGGCCTGCGAAATTTGGGCTACCGATATCACATGCTGAAAATTCCATACTTGTACCAAAAGCACCGTGTGGTTTCAAGCTATAATCAAAAAAAGTAAGAGATATTTGCAAATTAAATTCAGATGAAACCAAGGAAACAGAGAAGAATTTTATTATACACTGGTGTTTCATGGAGAGTATGGCAGATTATTTGCTGTCATCGTTTTCAGAAAAGTAGTCAGGTTTACGGTGAATAAAGCCTAACTGACAGTTTACTGACAAATTTGCTTCAATTGATTCTATGTAGCTATTCCTAAAGATATTTTTTGCTAGGTGACTACTAGGCTCGACAGTTAAGACTGGCTGAAAGTTTTCTCCTATATTTCTGCTTACGATTAGTGGAGGTGGATTCATTGGTACTAAGCCTCTCCGGAAGCAAAGCTTATTTTGTTACTAGACAGTCTTCATTACAAACATTTCTGATATCTTAATAATAATGATTTACTTTATTCCAAAAACAGTACTTGTGATACAGAATGGAATTTTCAGCATTAATCACAATATTGCATCTAATTTCCTCAAATTATAAATAAAATTAATCACACAGAAAATTTCCCACTTTTACAAAAGGGGTATTTTCAAAAACATGCAGCATATAAAATGGAAATAATAATGATAACAGCCAAGGTAATAATAATAATAAAAGTGAAAATTGCCGTGGGCTTGTTTCACACAGTATTGTCGATGCGGTATACAAATCCTAGCATGTTTAAAAATATTGAATATAATGTTCTGTTTACATGATATGGTGAGGGAAAAAACAAAGATTACAGCAGTCACAGAGATAAGTTGGTGTTTGCAATTATGAAAGTAAAACAAAGAAGCAATAGGACCATAAATATAATAGAAATAATAAAAGTAAAACTTGAAGGTATATAAGGATGGATGGAGGAGATTGTTTATTTACTAGATGAAAAAAGGTTAGTCAATTTTTGCCTGACGCTATTTTCATCACATAAAATACGTCCCAAGTATGGTATCATAGAATTTTTATACTTAGACGTGCGAGCACACAGTTTTCTGAAGTTACTTCTTGTTCTACCTGAGGGGATGCAAGGTGAAAGTTGAGGGTAAAGTGGATGATCCAAGTCAGACAAAATCCCTTTAGCAAATTTACTGCACGAAGTCAAGTGCCTATCGACAACGACGTTAACTATGTGGTCCACTGGGACACCACTCACCCTAATGACAGTCTTCAGCATTCTACGAATTGTGATAGCAACAAGACTTCCCAGAATGTTCCTAGAATGGTATCAACCAATTATAATATCTCCTCTGACTTACAGTCCATGTTATTTATTTGGTTGTCGAAAGTACACCACTTCATAAGCTAGTAGGAATACACAAAGTTATCATTCTTTACAAGCTATCACGATTATCTTTAAGCCTTACTACTTTTCTGAAAGCGATGACAGTAAATAATCTGCCATATCCTCAATGAAAAGCCAGTCTACATCTGAATTTAAACTGCAAATATCACCCACATATGTTCCTGTGAATAAAACGCACGAAAATTCAGTGAAAGTATCACCAATGTTTGATTATGATTCCCTATGGTGACGACTTACTGACTGAAAAACTACTGAAGCAACGTTAGTGAACTTTTATTTCTTACTTCCGAAATCACAACTTAGATAGATTAATACGTGAGTGGATGAAAATCTTTCTTAGTATTTGCCCAATTTCATCTGCAGTGCATTAAACAGCAGAAGATATTTTCATCATCTTATTGAGTTGAACAACTCCGGAAAATTTTAGTACCGAATTTTATTGCTTTCATGTTACTGAAAGCAGATACACATGTCTTGCAGAATATATGAAAAATGTGAAGGGAGTTCGTATTTCACTAAATTTTTGTCTGAAAAATCTCTTATCAAGGTTTTTTTGTGTAACAACGCTTCATAATATTTGTCCGACTACTTTTCTTCCCGCTACCTGCTTTTTTAGTAAGTTTAACAGACCGAAGCACCTTGCATTTGGCTTTGATATATTATAAAGATAGCAAACGTTATGTGTCATTGTTTTCTTCCTCCTTCTACATTTTTCTAAGGTGCAAGCAGAACGGAATTTAAGAGCTAGTGAAGCCGTACTGGATGGATATACAATGGAATCGGCGATTAAACCTAAAGATTCGAAAGTGAACAAACCCGGGTCTGCCGAAAAAAATAAGGGTGGACAAGCTCGTAAAGGACCAAGAAAATCTATCGCATCCAAAGACAAAGCTTCTAAATCTGATGAACATTCATTTACTCCAGGCAAGTTACTACGTTGATTATTTGATAATCCACGGAGCAAGTGCAGTTACTAGTATGCACTATTAGATAATGTCTTTATCACTGCTTTACAGCCTCTAGTGGTACTAAGGTCTTCAGTCTCATTTAGTGCCTATTATACAATCGGACGCTTTCACTGCCGAACACTTGAGGGGATGATGCACTAGCACATGAAACTCGGAGCTTTGGGTTAAATGTTCAGTAGAAACCTTGTCCTGTAATTAGTTCTAGAGGCGAACGACAAAAATTTGTCCTGGTTTCCACCGCTGGATGCCAACAGTATAAATACTGGTAATATTAAGGTAATGGTAGAGTGATAGTGACAATTAGGTTTTATCTAGTTACATATACGTCTGCACTTAAACTCTACAATTAATGCAAAAACAATCGGCTTACTACAAAAACGCTGCGTTATTAGAAGTTAGGTATAAAAAAAGGAGAGTACGACTAGTCTGTGGCTCTAATAAGTGAGAGGGTCTTTTCGAATAGTTTTTTACTAGAGGTATACCACAATTTTAGAGTTTATTCTTCCCATTTGTTGCCACTCAACTTAGTGGAAACATATTATTTAATTATTATTGTTCCCTTGGGTTCCTAGTGGAACATAGGGCTTCAACTGCACGCCTCCACTTGCTTCTGTCTTCTGCTGTATTTTTCACTTGCATCCATAGTGGAAACATATCGAATCTATAATAAATAAACGATCAAACTTTAAGCTGATGGTTGAAGGTGAAAAGAAGTTTGCCAGATAAAGTGATTGCTGTAAACTTATACGAACAGTTCAGCATAATGATTTTCCGCATTCATTTGTAACGACAGAAGAAAACGGGTAGGCCTCAGATTGTTTATTGAGTAAATCAACAGAAATTTATAGATTTTTATGTACATTATTTTCAGCGGAGAAGCAACGTCTTCTGATCGGTTGTTTTCTTGCTGAAGGTTATTCTGTACTTCTTGTGACCATTTTTTTAGAAAGTTAAGCTATATATCTGCTAATTCTGTTTGCAGACGTTAGGTCTGCTGTGATTGGTTAGTGATTTCCTCAAGGTAATGCTTCGTTATTGTTTTTCTCACAACCGTGATTCGGGACGTAACACTGACGTAAATTGTTGTAGACAATTTTGGCTTACCGCCAGCTCTCACCACACATTCATACATTTTATGAGACTTGATAGAATAGACTGAAAATATTCCTTTTCACGTAACCATGGTTACGAAATATGAATATGATAACGGCTCACAGTAGTAGTATTTATTCTCATCCTTGCTGCTATATATATATATATATATATATATACATATATCATTGTCATTAAATTACTTTTTAGCATAGATTGTTCATAGATATTCATTCAGTAAATAATTTAGTTCACACTACAACAATACCTTGTTTCATGCTTAAATAACGTTATTGAACTTTAAGTTCAGGGTAGAATGAATCCAGTAAACACTCGCCCTTGTACTGTTGTTAAAAAACTTGATAACATTTTTGTGATAAAACATTTTTTTTCCTTATATGGCTTAAACCATTCAGTAATTCGTTCTTTTAATTTCTATTAAGTGGAACTGACTGATGAAGAACAAAGAGCTCGAGAAGTTAGACAGCATATTCGAGAGGAATGCATAACTGCATTGGAAAGAGAAGGTAACTACAAATTCAATAATATTTATGATATTATGGAGACAATTTCAACCATTATATCAAAAAAAATATTTTTACTGACTAGTTTGTTGTTAATGTTGGGAATAAGGCTGATGATTTCAGTAGTGTAGAGAAGTGCACATTTGCTAGTTGGGGTTATTAAGATGTTGAGTTACAATGGCTAAACTTAAATATATTTGGTCTTTATTTTTCGTCATAAATTAAAAGTATGGCTTAGTCAATCCTAATCGACTGATACTGTCCTCTTCTTTCCTTCTTTTTGATAACTTCAGTACTACAGTATTTTTATTCAGGCAGTTCACCTATTTGTAAAACTGCAAACTACAAAACTGGTCACCGTGTAATAAGCAATGCGGTTCTGCAGTTTTAGTTGTATTTATCAGAGTCTATTGATTAAGTCTGACATATATCTAGTAAGTTAACTGAAACGCTATTGGTTTGCAATATGATGCATTTTAATTTGACACTAGATATTGGGAAATTTTAGTCAGCAGTAGGTCTTGCATTTAGACTACATTACATAGGCTGCTGCTGCTGTATCAAGTATTTTAGCTGGTGTTATCCGGTTCTGAGGTCCGTAAGTTTGCCACCAAGCTAATCCATGGATAGCTGATTCCCTTTCGGATTGGTAAATACAAATGCACTTATCGTAGGCTTATTTTTGATTGACTCCTCTTATCATTCAATAGTATAAGGTGTGTTAGCATGTGTTAAAGTGTAGCACATGCATGTAATTTTGAATAAGAGCAACAATATGAACTGTCACACACAGATGCACATGTTATAGGCCAATAATTTAATGATTAAGTCAAAGTATTCATCCATCTATTACTGGTACATGCTTATGAACTTGAGAAGCGGCTATAAAATGGCTTCAGTGTAAACTTGTACATCATCAGTGTTACAAAACAGTCGATTTCCAAAGTAGAATAGTAAACTGCTTATTAGACAGACTGACAGTGTTTATTGATAACTTCAATTAACCGATATGTTACTGGGTTATTCAAAGACATTAGAATAACTGTGTCCAAATACAAAGCTGCTCATAATCCTATGTCTTTTGAATGACTTAATAACATGTCGTTTACAGTCTGTCCTTGCTCTTCATTTAATTCAAACAGAATAGTACAATAAATCTCAAAATGACTTTTTACTTTTGTCTGTTTATTTAGCTCAATTTTTAAGAAATTGTTATTCGAATCATTAAAATATCCAATAATTTCACCGAGAACTGACAACCAGCGGTTAACTTTCAAAAACGACAGTAGGGCTACTTTGTTTGAGTTAAATACTTGTCAGTGGTTTACACATTTGTAAACGAAACACCTAGTTTCCGATGTAAATGGATTATTATCAGCCAGTTAGTCAGCTGAGCTGGAAATCTGTTTCGAAAGAAGTACTAGGCCAGTAGACAATTACAATAAATTTTCAGGCGTTTCCTCAATATAAAGACGATCCAAATTGAACAATTCTTGACTCTAGTATCTCAAGCAATACAGTCAAACACTAAATCAATAGTACGTCCAGCTGTTCAACCTCATATAGGTTGGCAGTCACATCCTAGATTCTGCTGCTCAATATTACTAAGTTAATAGGTTCACAGGTTACTGATTCAAATATTCTTATAAAGAATACACAATGAAGATACTTAATATCTAATTTCTAGTTGTTTGTACACATTGCACATAGCAAACAGATCTTGTCTCTGTTTTTATTTCACATTCTAATAGTGATTTTTGGTTCTAGACAAAAAAGAAAGTAAAGAGGAACAGCAACAACAAAAGCAGACAACAATCAGCATAAATGGAAGGAACCTGAAAGAAACAACCTCTTTTACCTACCTGGGAAGCATAGTTTCAACTACAGGCCGACGGAAATGACGAGGATATCAAAGCAAGAATCGGAAAAGCAAGACAAGCTTTCACTACTCTCAAGTCTGTGTAGAGGTCAACAGCACTGATCAGCATCAAAAATAAGATCCGGATTTTCAACTCCAATGTGAAGTCAGTGCTACTATACGGATCAGAGATTCGGCGTGTCACGAAGGGCACTTCAAACAAACTGCAGACCTTCATTAACAGTCGTCTTCGCTCAATACTCAAGATCAGATGGCCAGCCAGAAAAGATCAGCAACAGGGATCTCTGGGAGCGAACCAACCGGGAACCGATTGTGAAACAAATAGGCAGGAAGAAATGGAGATGGATTGGCTGGCCATACTCTGAGGAAACCATCAAGTGACATCACTAGACAAGCCATTGCTCGAGTGGAACCCGAAAGGGAAGCGGCGAGTTGGTCGTCAAAGGTTGATTTGGAGGAGGTCATGTGAAGAGGAGATGAAAACGTGTGGGCAGTCTTGGAGCCAGGTGAAGACTCTAGCAGAGAACCGAACGCAATGGAGACGCACGGCTGAGGCCCTATGTTCCTCTAGGAATTAAAGGAAACAATAATAATGATAATAATAAAAAGAGGAACATCTGAATATAACATCGAAATCCAAAACTATTCATGTGTCCATCAATTATGCATGTACATGAACAAGCGTAAACTCCCCATGCACTAATCACCAAGTTATTCGATTGTACGCAAGATACAAATAATCGTACATGACAGGATAATATGTATACATAAACTCATTCTATGTAAAATACAAAAGCTCTCTGATTTTTATTAGTGTTTGTGTTTTCATCTAGCCGCCAAAACTGCCTTTCGTCTCACATTGATACGAGCCCAGGGGACAGCAATTATTTCAGATTTACAACAAAAGATACTGCAACTGAGACAATTTATGACAGATTGTATTGGAATTAAAACATTAAAAGAACATGATGCGTAAGTATAGAAAAAGAAATACATTGGTTTTACAGTTGTTTTAAAAAAAATATTTTCATTATCTAGAACAGATAAATCATAATTTCACGTTCCTGAAATTTTCAGTAACTATTACAAAGTGCGTGGTAGATAGATACTGAACACGAGACAGTGAGAGAAATCGGCTTAAAGATTCCTTAATGAACACGTGTAGTGACGGCTGATTTTTACTTGTGTAGAAGATTAAACCAATGATTTTAAACATTTTGACAGGACATTTATAAGTTTTTACGAAATGTAAGACGATACACTCATCACCAGCAGCTTAAACTTCACTGAAAACAATCACTGGAATGTTATTGAAATCTATACATCAAAGAATGTTGATACAAAGAATACATCAAACAGAAAGGGAAATATTTCCCATTAATCTTTCTACTTTATCCGCAAGTGGTCTTGTAGAGTATCCACTGAAATTAATGGTGATAATATACATGTCTATTGTCCTACATATTACCTTCTGACGTATTCATTCCACTACATATTCTGCATTACTCTGTCATTATTGACCGATTGTTTTTGAATTTTCCTCTGAACATTGATTTGCTCAATAGATATCATAGTTACACTAATCAGATATCGGAATACTATTTCCACAATCTTAAGTCAAACAGTATGGTGCACATAACCGCAAGAACACGTGTCTTCAGACATTGTCTCTAAAACTTATCTAAGCTTGGGGATTGAAGTAGTTGATTTTTATATCAGTAAAAATTTTAGCATTGTGGATTAGATCAAATAAAGTATAATTATATTTCAATAGTTTACACACAATGATAAGTTTTGTTATTGGTAATATTTCGAGCAAAATTACTGCCCGTGTTCACACCACTGTTGGAATTGTTTTGTTCCGAACACGGGCAGTAATTTTGCTCGAAATATTACCAATAACAAAACTTATCATTGTGTGTAAACTATTGAAATATAATCATACTTTATTTAATTGATTTTTACTTATACGAATTCTAATGAAGTTTTACAAACATTGGACGCTGAGTGAAAACCAGATCTGTGTAAGTATAATTCCATTACGGGTGGTATAGCGGTTAGGACGCTCGCCGACCATACACATGGTCTGAGGCTCGATCCCCGGCCGACGCACTCTTTTACCACGCTAAGCCAGAAAAAATACTGGTGAAGAGGAAAGGTTGGGCATGAGGCTAGCAACCCCATCCTGTAAAAATAAAGTACTGCTAAAGAAACTTCAAGTCAGTAGCTTGAAGCCCTATGTTCCACTGGGGAACGTTAAGAAAAAAAATGGGTACAATCTATTTTGATAAAGTCACACAGTACTTTGATTCGACACTAGTAACTAGTGTGATGTGTCTAGTCCTTTCTTTGGTGCAGACTGAATTCTATCAGTCTAATATCATAAAATCAATGTGCACCATGATGGCGAGCTACCTAGAATGGTGGCCATATTGCAAACCTGACTGATAGAATTCAGTCTGCACCAAACAAAGGACTAGACACATCACACTAGTTACTAGTGTCCAATCAAAGTATTCACTACAGTCCTATAGGAGGTCAGTCGCAAGCCCGAATAGCTCAGTGGTAAAGTCTTTCACTGCAGCACTGGGTGACGCGGGTTCGAATCTCAGAAGTGACTCGAATTCCTTCAAGTTTGCAGATACTCCTTGCTGACTAGCACGAAACCTAGGTCAAAGGCTTCCTGCCGATTGCCTCCAACCACCTAATATCATCAAAGTCACACAGTGTTGTACAGTAGTATTTACTAATGACGCTAAGGGCACAATCTATTGCTCGTGACGTCATTAGTAAATATTACTGTACAACACTGTGTGATTTATTAAAATAAACTGCATCCATAATGGAATTATACTCTACCACAGTACCCAAGTTTTATTCTAATATGTGTGTATATTATATGTATAGAAGTCTCAGCGATATTGAAATGAGTAATTTCAGCCTTTCATTTGGAAAACAGGTTCAAACTTCTTCAGGCTAATAATCAGATACTTTTTGCATTTCTAATTTTTGAAGTTCAGACTAGTTTGCCAAACGAAATATTGAATTTGTAAATTTCAGCATTAATGAGATTTTGAAAAATTTAATTTTCACACATGAACTTTTATTTTGCTGAAGTGTAAATTCACTATGGGACAGTGAGTAAAAAAGCATCTGCAAATTCTTAAATTTCTAATGATCAAATGACTCTTTGCTGTACATTTAAACATATTTACAAACATTTTAGCGTGAATGGCCTGCTTGAAGTTATACGATACACCATTGAAAAAGAACAAAAACTACCAGAAAGAATGATTTTGGATGGTGAACAATTCTATATTGATGAGGTATGTCTCCGTTTTGTGCTGATTACGAACACCTTTTAAATCTTATGTATAATACTTGAAGTTTTGAACACTAATTTGTCGGTAATGATGTATCCTAGCGTACCTGTACAGGGAAAATTGTTATGATCATAATATTAAGTTTTTCAACACCACTCTCAGAAAGAGCACCTCTTCGCCTTTTTCAATAAGTTCTGAGGCTAAGAAACAGTGATCGCATTTATAGTGTATGTCCAAGCCATGGGAGCCGGTGTCATTTTATTAAAAGACTGTTTCTACTCTGCATAAAAAACGCTGTTGGGCCTGAAGATTATTGGTACAGTTACGCCATAAGGAAGTTTCAAAGAACTCGCGGAATCCCAGACATTTTTAACGAGACGCCCTTCTAAGCTGCAAACTCCGGGTCCCCTTTCGTGACGTCGCCAGTGTTCGCCTATACTAGCTTTGAGTCTAACTCAGTCTGAATTTCGTCTGAATTAGCAGTTGTGGCAGGTTTGATTGTGTCAACCAGTTTAGGAAGACGTTTATTATCAGTACCAAATAGACAGAAAAATCTGATGCAGGTTAAGCATGATAGGCATCTAGACGAGTACTCGAAAATGAACGATAGTCTTATTTGTACCCGAGACCTGGGTAGTGGAGAGTAATATGACCTGTTCGATCAAATGCATGAGTCACATTTGGAGGACATCTGATAGCACTGTAGGGATGGTTATTGCGAATGTTGGTTGTAGTTAGATACAAAGTGTGATCTGCGCAAAGCTGCATATCTAACCTGCGACCATCTAGTACTGATAAACCATTAAACGGTTTTTCTTCACCCAGTTTATATATTTAAGTCTTTAGCTACCATTAAGATATCTGACGAGTGTAGTTGGTTGAGTGTGGCACTAATTTGGTGGCATAACTCATCTTTAATTGCATCTGAACTGTCTTCCATTGGTGGGCACGTGGTGGAAACGAAAAATGTTTATTTGGTTAGCTGTTTCTTACCCAAATATAACTTAAGACCACAATACCCCATTTATGACAATTAATAGGGATCCAGTCTGCGAGTGTACTTTCGACTCTAGAGCTTTCTGTGACACCTGAACCACTCAGTTCTGACATCGGTGTCACAGATTTTCTTGATAAACGTACGGTAAACACACTATCTGAGTTAGTCGATGGAGAAATTATTCGAGGCACTTTACTGTTTTCTTTCATGCTGGCCATAAATACAGCGTATATCAATGGGGATATCTTCTAGAATTCCAGCCAAGGCTGAAAGGGTTATCTGTTTTCCATCAGCGTCATAGTTACAGAAGATAAGCTGAATTCCAAGGTGTGGTGTCCCAATATCTGCGTAGAATAACATACCAGAGCACAGCTTTTCAAAAGCTTCAGTTTAGCACGTCTAACCCGTAGAGTTAGACTGAAATTTCAAACAGCAATGAGCAGTTGATGAAAACGAAATTAACGACTCATACAGAAAGTGACAAAAATAAAAAAGATACTTCATATGTGGAAAGAGTAGTTAGAGTGTATTGGAAACGCACTGAATGACTGAATCTTCTGTTCATCAAGTACTATGTGAGATGAGATGAACTGTCATTCCATAACCCATGTGAGAGCTGGCATACTACCTGGACACTCAGACTGAAGCAGATTGCTGTTTTCTGAGCCTTTCAAACGAAGTTCGATCTACGAGTTAGGGGAGCAACAACTGTTGCTGTTGTCCAAAACAGTTTCATATACCATTCATTCCCATCCGATGGTGTACTACACGCTTACAATCAGATTTATTCAACTCTTCCAGTTCATTGTAGATTTAGTGGCTGGTCTAATGACCTGTAAAGTTTTCGCTAAATACTTTTGCTGTATTTAATTTGGAAATAATGTTATTTTAAAAAAAAATCACTTTATCTTACAGACTTGTATTGCATCACTCACTCATGATGATTTCTCAATGATAGAGAAGTTTAGAATCTCTTCCCCGATTCCGAAGAAACTAAGTGAATCAGAACCTCAGTATTTTAGCCTCGTTCAGCTGAAATACCTGCTAAACGAAGTAAGTCACTGAACATTTCTTTATTTTCTTCCCTTCATTTAACGGCGTGGTCAGTTCTAATCATTTTTAATGTGTTTCTGTTCTGCAATATGAAAGTAAGAACATGCGTCGCAGTGAAAGTGAACCAACCTTGTCTGTTGTCATATACGTCGTTAAGTCGATACAGCGATTTTACAGAATTAATTTATTTCTTCTAAAAGTCATTTTAGTAAGGACCCTCAGCCACAGGGTTAAAGATATATGCTCAGGAGACGTAATTAAAGATGAACTCTGCATTGTATATGACACTCTAATTGAAAATAGCTATCCCAACAAATTTATCAAGAAACACATGACAAAGAAAGCAGAAAAAGGCTATTCTCTATCTGTAAATGACAAGCCCCTACACATACGACTGCAGTTCAAGGATGACACACCTAGTGAAATAATTACGAAGAAGTGAAGGAAATCAGTTCAGAGAACTTTTAATGCTGGTAAAGTATAAGTCATATTTTCTACACGACCGATGGTGATTCCTCACTCAATTGAAAGATGAAGCACCTTGCCTAGCCACCTCCAGTTGTATTTACCAATTCAAATGCACTTGTAGAGTGAGTTATATTGGCCGTTGTCCTAGGAACTTGATTTTTCGTGCTCGTGAACACCTATCACCAGTGTGACTAAATGAAGGTTTAGTGTTAATGACGACTATTCTAGAATATTGTATGATTACTAACATATATATTTGTAGAGCCAGAAGAGAAAATTATCGAGAAGGATATTCTTCGCTTATTTTTTTGTTTTTTCTAAATGTTTGAATGAATATTTTTGTTATATTATTATTATTTATACCTTGCGTTCAATGGCTTCATTCCAGTCGGTCCTCGACTACCTTTTTGAGCTGGATCCACAAGTAACGACAAGGTTTCATTTCCTCTCCATACTTAATATAGTTAGAAGTAATACTGGTATGGATTTGATTATACTAAAATTTGTCTTCAGCTGACCTACACTTCACATTAATCACATTTTAAATCGTATTCTTTCCTATTATTTTTACAGCTTTTAGCTTTGGCTGACTCAGGATTTATTGATGTACCTAGTTTCAAAGCTATACTGAAACCCATTGTCACAGAACGCATTGCCGAGTTGACAGGATCTTCTTCCAGTGACATGTCAAATGAATTACTTGAATGTTTTGTACACCAGTACCGTGCATTATTTGAATCAGATTCTATGAAGAATCCAATTTTATTAGATAACAACAATGAAGTGATCAATGTTAGCACGAAAGACAAACGTCAAGTTTACTATGTCGATTGGCGCCAATTCTTATTAGCGGCTGCTCAACCTGCTATTACACATCACAATTCCACTTTGATCACTCAATCCAGTCTTGTAATATTATCTCAAAGATTAATGGAACTTGATCAGTCAGTTCAACATGAAAGTCTGCTAACTGTTAACGTCACTCGAGCTCAGTTTCAGTTTGCTTCATTTAAATGGTTTCCGACTGGAGTTAAGGTATATCTCATGATTAGTTTAACAGTTAATAGGCTTTTAAATGTTTTCTTTTAAAATTCGTTTACCGCATACTATTTGAAAGTGTTTATTGAAAAACAAAAATTACACAAGAAGCGTCACGTTCGGCTTAACGTCACAATCAACTGTGAAGAAGTCTTCGACAAACTTTCAACAATGTGATAGCGATATAAACCGTTCAACTGGATTTGAGAAATTTCACTATGGACTCTCAAAAGTGTTGAATTTATTCATTCGTGGTTTTATTAGGCTTGCAGATATAAGCTTACTATCCTTCCCACATTATCTAAAACAGGTCTCTCAGCTGTTGTAAAGCATTGTTCTTAAAATAAGGTAAATAACTGTTTGTTTCCTAGGTCAAATACTTTATTTAGTAGTATTTTTGAATATACGTTACCTTCATCCCTTACTAATGATACAAAACATGTGAAAATAAAATTCACAATTGGTATTAACTACCGGGAGGAAACATTGATGAGGAAAGTGTTTTATTCATATGAACAATGCAGAACCATGATATTTGCTGATATCTTTACCAAGCCTATGATACATCACGTACATTTGTTGGCAGTATATCAGATTAACAGGGTCTTCAGTAAGAGTGCATTAAGAAAACCATGAGCTTTTATAAATGTGAATAATTTCAAAAGAAAATTCATTTCAGTAAGTTATGAGCTTAATGAATGGCTTCAAACATTCAACACATAAAAACACCTTCAGAATATTTAAGTTGTACTACCATATAAATTCATTCATAAGACTTTCAAACATCAAATCTCATACAGAAGAATGTAGACCACCACTATGAAATGTTTTAATACTGTGTTGAATATTATTCAGATAAGCTTACTCTACTTTCACTGTTCTTACCAAGCTCGAAGTTAGTATCCATTTTCCTCTAAATGACTAAATAACAACCTAGTAGTTCACACTATCGTTTCCTACAAAAACTAAACATTACCTGCTTTACCTGTTTGTGGCTTCCATTAAACAATTCAAGCTTATTCTTATCATTCAAATACCTCAGTAAGGCTACCAGTGTAAGTGATGCTACTAGAGCCAAATATGAGCTGTTATTAGAGTCTGTATTATACCTGCTATCAGATTTTCAGTTACTTCTTCCTTCACTTTCAACTGGATAATTAGCTTGACATTGTTCTGAGTGTGATGTTGTTGCAAACTGCCTCTTGAGATTCTACTTTATGTGTCAGAATTTATTCATCACCTCTCTATTTTATGAAACCTACATTTATCAGTTTGAATAGCTAACCGTTGAAGTTGATTTATACTTTCCGTTGATTACTTATGTTGGATCGAAATGGTCGATCTCCACTGTCATGTTGGCTCCTAATACACGGGTATTTTGACGATGCCTGAGAATTAGAATAATGTTATTTGACTGATGGTAACCATTAGTGGAATCAAGGATACTCATTCCCTCCTATTTAGGTCTGGTCATCCCAAGTGAGTGATCGTGTTCCCACGATGACTCGAATTCAGCACTCATCATTTCAACCTCCAAAGCGCATCTTAAATTTCACTGCTAGTCAGCAATAATCAGAATTGGTTTAAATGACTGATAGGTCGACGCATCTGTTGGAAAATCACTTCTTGTGATAGTAATGTATTTTAAGTACAACTGATTACCTGAAATTTGTCATATCAAGCTAGGATTCCTTTAATACGGCTAAGGTGAAACCCTGGTGCATACGAGGTGTGAACGTTTGTGTACAGCATTTCTATTCTCAAAGGTACCTGTATATCATTTTTCTGATTAATTTTACAACAGTGCATAGGGACAATCATGCAGGTGTCGAGTCGTAAATATTTTGCTAGTGACAGAATGCTCATAAGAAAAATTTAGATTTTCTGCAAAGGCTTACTCTTCATTATAGTGCATAGAGTCTTGACTGGTTAATTCCTGTTAGACTAATGTACTACTCGATAATTCAAAACAGTGACAGAGTCGGATTATGTTTAACTTTACATCAGCTATAGCTTGATTAATAGCATTTAAAGAGAACTTTCTGGATTCTTAACCTACAAAACAGTTCCAATCTTCAAAAAAAGAATGCTTCCCATGCCTATAAACATGACATTGATCTGACATCTTTCACCTTTTATTCAATCTCACCATTCAATGCGCTACCTCCCACTGATTACATTTTTACCAACTATTTAAACCTTTTTTTGCAGCAGGTGACATACTGTTGGATATTATGAAAGAAAGTTTAGTCATTGTGATTAGTTAACCTATTAGTGAACAGATTCATTTTTGAAAACCTCTAAAATTGCCACCTTCCGTCTTGCCACTCTTCTAATACACGTTTTAAAGTAAATCGGTAATAAGATCTGAACATTGATAATACAATGAATGTAATCCTTTCTTAAGATCTCTTCAAAAGAGGGTTGATTATATTTTAGCTACCGTCTACGTATCATCTGCCAATATCATTGGTGTTTAAAATGAAGCCTGTGATTTTAAGTCATGATCACTATTTATTTCAGCCACAGTACCATTGATTACGGCACCAGTGTACAGAGGAATGGGTCACTAATAAGTTGTCATAGCCCTTACTGACCTTAAGCTGACTTGTCTAGTTTTGATTAAAACCTTGCTAACTACATTTAATCGAAAATCGTGCTGCATGTAACTGAGTAAGTCGTGCATCACTCTCTTAAAGTGTGTTATTCGTGAACGAATTCTCACTTATAAGCCAAGAGGTAAATTAGTTTTTAATAACTTCGGTAAGATCTTATTTGGTGCTTTTCATGAAGTCAACCTACTTTTTGCCTACCTTTATTGCTCACCTTGCTGTCATGAGGGACTAGGTTGGCTTAAATGAAGTAGACGCTTAAATTTATGAGAGTAAACTGTCCTTTCATTTGCATTTTTCCTCTTCTCCTAGCACTACGAAGAACTGCATGACTTTGTATTTGGTATATTTGCTAAATCAGCTGAGGCGAATTCTAAAGTCAATCAGCGAACAGAAAGTAAATCCAATTCACAGTGTGGAGCGAAGCCATCACTTGAAGAGACTATCGACTGTTCCGATCTTATGCTTTACATATCACTTTTGGAAGTAAAAACTCCCTACACTGGTTTCCTGCGTTGTCTGTCCAGTCTTCTTGGTAGACATGTTCCGTATATTTCTGTTCATGGTCTATTAACAGTGTAAGTACTTTTACAAAGAGTCCGATGACAGTTTTGTTAGTTGCCACTAGAATAGTTCGACCCTGTTAAAACATACTACAGTAAATATTCGATAGTCTTTAATAGAAATACCACAATAAAAGGAAAAATAGTATTGAAACTATTAACCGTGACATAATTAAGAACGAATCTGAGACAAATATAGTCTTATCGTATAAGAAAGGGACATCTAAAACCCTGCGTAGAATTAGGGTAGCATTTAAGCCTACTAACTCACCCTGGGACAAGCTTTGTAGAATAGAGGACTCTATTGAGTCAGTTAGACAAAATAACTCAATATATAGAAGACTTTCCAATGACCGCAAGACCAACTACATTAATCAGTCCAGTAGATAAAATAAAAGGCATTCAGATCATCGGAATATAGCTGAGTTTAGAATAACCGACCTAATGAATACGCATTACTTAGAGAAAACTCAGCAATCGCAATTCATTTACTAACACACAATTACATACTATGGTAGGACACAGCTGTAGTCTTAAAAAGTAGTACAGTTAAGTGGAGGATAAAAAACAAAAATAATTAAATTATTGAAACAAAGTTTGAAAATTATGTGAGTGCCTTGATATGACTAAGCGCAGTCATTTCGTGCTGGAAATGCCATCATTAAATAATAATGGATCATTGTGTTTTTTATCAAAAAAATTATTCTATGGTGGAATCTTTAATAGTATTCCTGTCAATTTCACTGAAATTTATATATATATAACGTATGAATAATAATTACCCTTTGGTGTCTTATTTTATCCAGGATTTTTTTATGATGGTGCATGGTATGGCCGATGTACTCAGCTCCGCATGAGCAAGTATACTGGTATTTGTACGTTGAAGTGGTCCAATGAGACAGCTTGTCTTTCGCGTTCTGATTGCACAGTTCCTTGCAGAAAAACGTCAGTCATAGGCTTGCGGTGTAGTAATTTTCCTCAGAGATTCGCAGAGGCGTTTACGAAGCATTTCTGCTTCATTTTCACCTTTGAACTCTAAATTAAGCAGAAATATTAGAGAAGATTTGTAGCTCATGTGGATGATTTGCAATTAATAGTGTTCTCTGAGCTCAGAGAACTCTATCAACCACTTCTTCGCTGCACATCTTCCGAATCCTCGAGGAAAGAGCGTATATAAGTCTCCTCTTTCTACTTAGAGGCACGAAGCTTTGAAATTTGAATTGTCCATTCCATGTAGACTTTTTGTATATGTACTTTTCCAGAGAGTTGTCGGCATTTCTTGTCAGATAGACGTCCAGGAAGTGGAACACTTTTTAGATTCAGCTTCAGGAGTAAAGTCAATGTTTTGGTGGGCATTGCTGAAGGTTTGAAGTAAGTTTTCAAGGTCCAGGTTCTCATCACAAATGATGAGAGCATCATCAATGTATCTCTTGTAAACATGGAGGTCAGTGATAGTCGATGACAAGAAGCTGTTTTTGAGGCTGGGCATAAAACAGTCGACCAAAAATGGTCCCAGTAAAGAGACCATTGTTATGCCATTTGTGAAATTTTATCGTTGAATCTGAAGTAGACGTTGAAGGTGCAACGTAGTAACAGCTCCTTCAGATAATGGATCCGTATGCCGACATATATGCTGTTGCATTTCATAATATCACATAGAAAACAGTGGAACATTGGTGAAGAGAGAGACGACGTCTAGGGAGACCACTTTTTATTTGCGAGGTTGAAATTTTTAGTTGAACTGACGAAAATGAATGTATCGTGGAGGTTGTATCTCGAGAGCTTCTCTCCCACTGGTTCGAGAATTTCCACTAGTCACTTCGCGATTAGGTGATATGACGTGTTGATCATATCAAATATTGGTTGGAGCGGGACGTCCTTTTAGGTATTCCGTACATTTCAGGCGATATAGAACCAGATGGACGAAGATGTTCATACAGTTCTGTATTAATAGTTGATTCATCTTTCTTTTTTTACAATAATTTGGCTAGCTGAAGCTCCGTATGTTCAGTTGGATGTTTTTTGGATCGTCTGTTTTTTAAATTCGTCGTCATCAGACAGAATTAGCCAGAGTTTCTTCACATAGTCTGACTTGTTGAGCATAACAGTTCCATAACTTTTGAAGGGTCAAGTTATTATCAGGTTTTCATTTGATTTCACTTTTTTGAGCTGTTTTTGATGTTCTTTTGAGAGCATATCGCGAAGTCTTGGTTCTACATTCTTTTAATACTGTCGATTTTGACGCTTTGGCTTTAATGTCTACATGTTGTGGTCTTATAACTTTTTGTATACAAAGGATACCTTCAAGACAGCTGCAACTGACGAAGATGACATACCCTATATTATTGTGAAAATTGGTTAATTTAGTAGTTTCATATCACTCATGTCAATTCAAAGACTTAAATAAGTAGCCACAAGTTGGATAGTTAATCTAACAAATGGTCCGGAAAGACTTTATAAATATCCAGGCCATAAATGTTGCGAATTTCTTAGAATAGCTTGAGGGATAATTTTGAGTGAATCATTATAAAAATTATTTAAAATAATCCCAAAGTATTTGCAAAGCTGAAACAGGACCTCGATAATTTTTTTTACTTTTTAAACAGAAGCATTGCCAGCTGAATTACTAAGACTGGATTTAACACCAAAATATATATGATCAAACTGTCCATAGAATAAAGTAAACTTGTACGAAGGTCATTTGTAGGTGAATATTTCTACATACTGAACAAATGTCATTTGTCGCCATATATTTATGTTGTATCAATTAGTCATTATTAAATATTCATATGTGTGTATATATGTTGTATGTATGTGTATGGAAAACATGTTATTTCATGAATGTTAATTATGGTCATTGCTCAAAGGTCCAACGAACTAACGAATAGCCTAAAAATTGTTTTGATAGTGAGACCATCTGAAATGGCTTTGTGTTAGCAGACTGTTACTGATGTAGTTGGTGATAATTGTGAAGGTGCAATAAAAACCTGGGTAGAGGCCAGATTCAAATCGATGATAAGTCTATTCCTTTTATCATATTTATTGCACTCGATATCGTTTATAATAAGCAACACCACATAGGTCAGCCTTTCTTTGTTCGAATGAAAACTCCTTCCTTCTCTTTCGATTGTTAAAACAATTAGTCCTTTTGATAAATTTGAATGAAGCATTTAGAAGACAAATTTCGCGAGATGATATCATTTCGTAGTTTCTTTACAACCGCTTTACAACTAACGTGGTTAACAATAATAAAATAAAGTTCATAACAATTACTCAGTTAAATAAAAAAAAACTAATGACCAATCATATTTAGAAAGGTCAAGTTATCCATGGTAGGCGAAGGTTGAAGTCTATTGTTTTTTGTACACACAGTTTAGGCTGTGTGTGAGTAATCCGAGGTGCTTCCATCACCTTCAATAACCTTGAATTAGAGTTATGTGAAATAATTGTGGAACAGTCATTAATATTGATTTTGTGACCTGACAATCGATGATGCTGGATTTCTGTTCAGATTAATCCCATTGAGATTTTCTATATGCTTTAATAATCATTTTGATACATGTTCCTTCCGACGACATTGGAACATTCTGTTGGTTCTACCTATATAGGTGTCACCGCAACTGTAGGTGAACTTGTAGATACAGTTTGAAGCAGAGTTCACAGAATTTCATCCTTTATTCGTAGGTACAGGAATCGAAAATTTTCGGCATGTGAGGAAAAGAGATGCGGCGTAGAATGTGCATTTGATGGCTGACCGAAGTTTTTGAGCTGTCAACTGCATAATCTGGTCATCCACCTTATTTGTTAAGCGATTGTAAAGAAACTACGACATGATATCATCTCGCGAAGTTTGTCTTCTCTCGATTATATCAAAATCAATCTTATATCCGCTTTCTATGACTTGTATTGCTATAGTTGATCCTTTTTCAAGTCTTCGTATTACTTCATTCTTAGGTGGATATTATATACGTAGTCTGTTTTTATTCACCGTGACTTTTATGTATATATTGCTCCTTCCTTTATAGTAGCCCTCGCATTCCGAACATTTTATCATTTAAATACAGCTGTTCTGCATGTGTATAAAACCTGGATATTGTGGTAGTGTGTAATTCCAATATTAATTCATTTCAATGTGTGGCAGATGCAAATAAACAAATTTACATAGAATCGCAGTGATTTTGTGTCATTTTATGAAATGTATCTTCCATATTGACTGAAGCTTTCTGTCAAGAATCTGGCTGCTTGAAATGGACTTTAACACCATAAGCAGCTAACATTCTTTGAAGTTAGCCAGCAGTCTCTTTTCCATATTGAATAGCTACATTTAACATTCACTACTCCTGCCGCTTCTATTGGAAATGTTGTTCAGAAATTATTTTCAGATAATCTTTTTCCCTTAAAATTTGCCTTACATTGGAGACTTGATTCTCTACATTATCATAATTGGTTACCATTTTTCGACTCTATTTGGTAGAGTTCAAAGCACTGAAACTTGCGTGCTTATCAAATGATCAAATTGGAAATTAAAATATTTATTTCATTGTATTAGTTTCCTGCATATTACGGACAACTCGACTTCATTTGTAGGTTTTGTGAGAAGCTTTCTCGGTCAACTTAATAATGATAAATTTATCATTGTTTGTATATATATGTATATATATATACCATACCTAGGTTAACAAATAAAACTGTGTCATCCAGACAACGACTATCTTCCAAAGCACATTTCAGTATTTCATTCCTTGTTTTATCGTTCACAGAGATACACCCTCTGGTCTTGACTGAATATAATTCTTTTTGAGATTAAAAATTTAATGTTTCAAGTTATTCATCAACTCACGGAATATACACATTTGATCATAGGGAATAAGAAGACAATTGCAGCGAAGAAAATTTTCTTTTCGACGAAGTCATCAACTAGGCTGTACATTCGTGTATTTATATCAAATGGATGGGAAAGTTCCAGAATAATTTCTGGTTAGGGGGCAAATTAATAAAAATTACAATTAGGAATT